GGCAGTGTTGACAAGCAAAAACAAATGTCGAAAAGTGTAGTCTTATACTACTAAACCACAAGCCCGTGTTATTTGATGGAAGTTGATGAAGAATTTGAGAATATATTAAGAAAAGATTTTTATCATGCCACTTTTGATCTCTGGTCACGTGGAAGCGTTCTGGAAATTGATAGAAGATTACAAAATTAATAGTTTTTTATTAAAATCTAAGTAAAAATTTTATGAAATAAAATAATATTTTCAATATAAAGTCTTGTAATAAAAATATCTCTTATTTATTTAGTCTTTATTGATTTTAAATATATTAAATAATTAATCTATCTTTGATTAATCTTTGATTTATATTAAAATAAATTAAATAAATAAACTATTTGATTTATATACTTTTATTTTTATTCACTTATTGATTATAAATTCTATTATAATATTGTTTATTGAATCTAAAATTGTAAAGCCTTAATGAGTTATATTATAAGAAAGTTGGAATTATAAATCAAATATATAAAGGTTTTAATTAATCAATCATATAACCTTCTATAGTTAGATATAAAAGAAGAACCTTTTGTTTCTTCTTTTCACAACAATCAACCTTCTATATATATACATTTGAATCTATATAATATCAATCCCAAAATCATTATGAACTTTGTTTTATTTATAAATGATATATTACAATATAATCTAATTCAGCTTTCTTTTTCAATTCCCTCTTTACAATATATTATCGGGACATATATATCTCGACCTACCACTTTTACAATATAATTTTGAAATTGTATTATTATTACAATTATAGATCTTATACTAACCGATTGTATGTTTACGAGATATAATTTAATCAATTTAATATAAGATTAAAATAATATAAAAAACAAATATATACAAATCTTATTAATCTTAGATTCAGTTCAATAATAATTATAGAATTATATAATAAAATATTAAAAATTTAAAGACTTTTATAATTCTAATAAAGTATTAAAAATTTAAAGGTTTTTATAATTTTAAAAGAATATTGAAGATCTGAAAACTTTTATAATTTCTAAATATGAAGATTTATATAACTAAAGAAAACTTTTTATTATAGAGTTTTTTTATTTAAAATCAATTATTAATGTATTTTATTATTAGTTACGAATTACAATTATTGATATTATTTTAAAGTCTTTGCTTGATGTCTAGTTATAAATCCTTCGAGGATCTAGGCCACTTCTATATGATCTAGATCGCAACCCTTGTAACAGTTACTCTGATGTTCGATGTAATATTGTTATTGAAAATTAAATAGAAATATACTTGAAGGAGAGAGGCACTTTGGATCCTTGTTTGAGGATAAAGGACTATATTGTAAAAGTGATAGGTCGAGATATATATATCTTGATAATATGTTGTGAAAAGGAATTGAAAGAGAAAGCTGAATTAGATTATATTGTAATATATCATTTATAAAGAAAACAAGATTTATAATGGTTTTGAGATTGATATTATATAGATTCAAATGTATATATATAGAAAATTGATTATTATAAAAAGGAAAAACAAAAGCTCTTCTTTTATATCTAATTACAAGAAGTTATATAATTGATTAATTAAAAACCTTTATGTATTTGATTTATAATTCTAACTTTCTTACAATATATCTTAGTTAAATATATAGTTTATTGTATAAGTGAAATTTACCAATGCCGATTCGTCGCGATTGAAAAATTTAGATTTGCTACGGACTTTCCTTGAGGATTAGACTTCATGTCTTTAGCCGATGTTCAAGTTTTGATGTCTGTCATTGGATGTCTCAGTAAGTCTATAATTATTCTCTGATTCCCCTATACAACATCAGCTCAGACCTAGTTCGCCTCTCTTGGAAGGGCGACAAATTAAAGGGCGCACTTGGAGATATATATTGACGCACTTATGGTGTCAAGATTGGGTTAATGAAGCTGTGGAGAAAGTGGCGGACTGCATGGAAGAACTTTATATAAATGGGCTTGCAGTTTTGTCTGATGATAAATCGGAGCTAAGAAGACAACTACTGGAAGGCAATTTTCCTAGAGTTCTGAACGTTGAGGGGAAGTTCGAAGACTTTGCTGGCTACCTTATGAGAAAAAATAACAAATGGTTTGCAAGAACGATAGTTAATGCATTTCGTATCCTTTGAATTAATTGATAGATTGAATTAGCACCACGATTTATTCATACAACACAAACACTCAAGCGGCTTTAGCTCACTTGGGAGAGCGCCAGACTGAAGTTCACTTCGGCCCATTAATCTGGAGGCACTGTGTTCGATCCACAGAAGCCGCATTCTGCGAGTTGAGGTTAGACTCAATCAATATTCTTTTTTGCATTTTTCAGGTGGAATTGCTCCACCGTATTGACGAGAAGCCCCCCTTTCGAGTCTCCACTATCAGAAAGAACCGATGCCCACCCATCTAAATCTTCTCTTCAAAAAAAATTCTTCACATTTTCTTAATTTGGTAATATATATATATATCAAAATCAATTCCCCTGACCCATCTAACAGCTAACGAAGGCCGGATGGTGTAGTTGGTTATCACGTGTCCTTAACAAAATTGTTAAAATACGGACAAGGTCCTGGGATCGTGCCCCAGTCTGGTCATCTATTAATTCTTTTACGGCTTTTTTATCTTCCGAGTTCTTCTTATTTTTTATTGTCGGTGGTTTCAATTTCTTTGGCTATATATATATATTTATTGTATGTATGTATGTAACCTTTGTTTGTTATTTATGTATGCCTTTTGCGATCTACGGGTGGATAATTCGGGAAGGGGAAGAAGGGGGTGCTGGGTGTGGTACGCGAGGAGGAGAAAAGGATTGATTGGGAACTGGAAATATAAGGAAATAAAAACGTTTCTGTCTACTTTATATATAACTAGCTAACATACATACATATACTACGCAGATTGTCCCAGGGTAAAATTTAAGTGCATCCATGAATTTCAGAACGGCGAAACTTAATTGAAGACGAGTCATCCATCATCCATCTATGTTTGAAAGAAGGGGAAATAGTTAATTAAGGGAGGTAGGTAGAAAGTCAATTAATATATCAAAGAAAAAAATAACCTTAAGGATATCTATCTATTGTATATATATTGAGCTGACTGACTGACAGATTAGATCTAAGCTTTTAATGCTCCTACTTTCCTTGAATGTTCAAAATGAAATTCAATATGTTAGTTAATGTCAATATCCCAAATGAAATCGGAGATTCAAAAGTTTTCTATTATTGAATTATAATTTGGATGAACTAACGGATGCCCTACTGACTCATACAATATTAGTGAGTAAAATAAATCCTTCGCATAGAACCTGTAAGTAGTAAGTCCAATTCCTCTGAACTTACTACTAGCTCCAGCTTGATCAGCCTAGCCTCCTCTTTGACTCGCTCCAACATAAATGCTCTTCTCCAACCCACTGAATCCTTCAACAAGGGTACTTCTGTATGTGATAGATATATGTCTGATAATTATATGTTCCCATAAGCATTATTCCAGTTGCCAGCCATCTACATCCACATTCTTCATCGAAATTTTCTTGCCCTTCCCTAAATTCGAGCCAGTGTTTAAAATTTCTTCTCGATATTTCCACTCACAATCAATGCCCGTGACAACGTTGCCACCACAAACCCTTCAGGTATTTTAATTACGGACAACGGAGTCTTCATAAACAGTTCGAGTCCCAAAAGAAGCCTGTCAAAAAATGAAAAGTACTCTCCTTTATAGCAACTCGCGTATACCGTACACATAAGTCTAATATCCTACTTTTCGGTCACCTCTAATTTCGGGCACCCTTTTACATCAAAAATCATCATTTTCATCTATTAATAACTTTATAATCAATTGATATAATTTAATAAAATTTGAATTATAGATTCTGAAAATTTCTGATTTTTTGATGGTTGATTTTATTGAAATTTGAAAGATTAAATTTTTGAATTTTTAGTTTATATAGGATTTATATAAAAATTTGAAAAATTATTAAAATCTTGAATAACTTTTCAACAAAAATAATTAAAAACAAATTATAAATTCTTTTAGAATTCTTGATTTAAAATCTATTAAATAAATTAAATTATTTCAAAAAATTATTTATAGAAATCCAATTAATCAAAATATTGTGGTTTTTAATTTTTGTAAAAATTAAAAACATTGATAAAAACTTTCTTTATAATTTAAAATTTTAAATTCTTATTCGTTCAATCAATTATAATATAAATATTTAAAAAAAAAAACTTGTAGTTTATTTTTAATAAATTTTTTTGAAAAGTTATTTTAAGTTTAAATGATTTTCAAATTTATATATAAATCTTATTTAAATTAAAAATCGCAATTTCAAATTTCAAATTTCAAATTCTCAATCAATAAAATCGAGAAAAATCTGAAAATTTCCGAATCGATTGATAATTATATAAAAAATCTATAATTGAAATTTCAATTGATTGTATTTATTCATTATTGAAATATTAATAGCTGAAAATGATGATTTTTGGTGTAAAAGGGTGGCCGAAATTAGAGGTGGTTGAAAAGTAGAGTATTTGACTGTACAACAAATATCTGCAGGGAGGGTTATACCTCCCATGGATTACCTATAACTAGGTAACTTATTTATAGGGCGGACCATCCATAGATGCCTATAGCTATGGGTTGCAGACTATTTCTGTAGAGTCCGCCACCTAGGTGCACGCCATCGATTCTCGATAAAAAGTATATGTTGAGAATCGAAGAGAGATCTAGATTATAGAAATACTTAGATATAAATACCTGTTTAGAATTGAGATTAATCTTAGTTATAAAACTGTTCAAAAATCAGAGATGAGGAATATAAAGAAAAGAAAAGAAATCTTGATTTCTTTGTAATCTTAATTTAAATATTATTATATATAATTTACTGATCATAATATATCTTGATCTTGAATATTTAGGATAATTATCTTATATATTGATCCAGATTAGAATTCAATAATAATAATAATAATAATAATAAAAAAGCTTTTGAATATATTTATTTTCATTGAAATACTAAGATGTCGACATCTGCGAAAATCTCAAGCGCTTCTTAAAAGACTTTCCAAGCTCAATAATCCCATCCTAATTTTTCCACTTCCAAATTCCCATTTCTTTAATCTACATTTAATATAAACCAATCAAGTAGAAGAAAGTGACTGCTTGCTCATAGTCTGCTTAAACGCCTGCAACGCCAAAGCAGGTTGATAATAAGGAACCTCATGACCGGCACCAAAAACTCTCAACCAACTCAAGTTTCCAACATTCTTAAAGGTTCCACTCGCAACTCCATTGACGGTATAGTTTGCGACGGCTTTAGCGTTGAAAGCGGCAGTGCTGGCGTAGGTAATAGCATTGGCGGTTGCGAGACCTCCGAACCAGTTACAGATGAAATCGGCATCGCCGGCCCAGAGGAGGACTTGGATTCCGGATTGGACGACTGATGAGAGGGTTGGGAGGAAGGAGCGGGAATCTGTTTTTGTATTTGTTAGTTTTGTTATTAAGCGAAGGAATGGCAAGATTAAGGAAGGGGTAACTGACCATCTCCGGTAGAGGCAAATTTTTCATAAGGTGCATCTGGACATTCTTGGTATGTAGTCTTGGCTCCAATAGCTTTCACTACAGCAGCGCTTTGCAAATAAGTAGCATAAGTTTCTGGTGGATATGGATCGTTCGATGGTTCTCGAATATCATAGACGTCGAAGTTTCCATTGGAAAGTGGCCCTTCAATATCCTGATAACAGACATTATCCGCATTTACGCAAGCTGAGTTGGATCCAGTGGTCGATGAACATTCTTCTAGAAGAGGTAGACATGACTTTGTGTATGTGTTGAGGTAGCTTGTGTGTTGTGAGGCTGAGATGAGTGGCTTGAATGTGTTGTTGTAGGAATAGTCGACGTATGCCTTGTAGGCAATGATAGGATCATACCAGCCGTTGTTGATACCCAAGGCAATGAGATCAATTTTTTCACCAGAAATAGTGCCAGCAGCAATCTTGGCATTTTGTTGTTCAACATAGTATGCAAATTCGGGTCCATAGTGGCCACCATAAGATTCTGTGAAGATACCGAAGTCGCGGTTCTCGTAAGCCGGGAATGAGGCATAGAAGGCTTGGAGAAGATTCCAGACATATGGAGCCGCTGTAACAGTGGAAGTGACAGAATCGGTACCGTAGGAGAAGCCTACTCCGATTGGTTGATCAATGTAGATCATGTTTGCGAATTCGTTAAAGCTGTAAGGGTTAAGAGAAGGTGTTGATGCTCCGTTGTAAAATTGACATGGACCGTTCTCTTGGAACAAACCAATCATGGAAGAACATCCGGGACCTGCCTGTCGTTAGTAACGTCTAATGTACCAGAAGCAATGATGTGCGTACCTCCATTGAACCATGTTGCTAATGGTGCAGTTGTAGGACTGTTTCGGCTTTCAAAAAACCAGAACCACATGTTCATGCCCTATTTTAATTGTTAACATCAAATTATCAAGATAGAAATATCTTGAACTCACGGTTCCGACAGTCAAATATCCCGAATACTGGTTCACACCTGGTGTCGTCTCGCAAATGCCAGAATTTGTGACAAAAGCGAGAGTCGAATCGGTGGCAGCATGATAAAAGACAGTATGATTGACTCCATCACGAAGCTCAAATGTTCTTTTGTCTTTCTTCCCTTCAGTAGTAGGGGCGGCTAGAACAGCCGGGAGAAGACAAGCAACCAGAGAAAGCGAAGAGAAACGCATCGTGATTGTGTTTGAAGAATGAAGACTGGAGATGGTTTCACCACTGCAGTTTCCATTCTGGCGATTTATGTAGAACTTATATTCGTTCTTTACACTTACTTCCCCTCATCTTCACAACGCTACTACGCGCTTTACATGTGAGAAATCCAGATACACATTCGGAGAACATTCTGAATAGAGTAGGTCTTTGGACTCAGGTACATGAAAAGCCTCAAAAGCTTAAAACCCCACATGCATCAAAGATAAAGTTGAAGATTTTTGGACGATCATGGGAGATAATTCCACAAAATTGTCCAATTGCTGTTGATAAGAACAACGCATCTAACCCCGTAGAGAACGGCTAACACCGCATATTGCAAACTCCCGAACCTAGCCAGAAGTGCCAGCGGATATATGCATAACATGGAAACCTGAAGTGATATTTAGATATCTAAATTCCCGAAAAAGGCAGTTGATAAAGGCTTGGCAACAAATGATAAGCTTTCGTAGCAAAGATCTTTCTTCAAGGGCTAAATATCGACATTCCTGTTTAGGGGAAGTCTGTTGATTTGGTGGCGCAAAATGTGACCTGTCATTGCTATCAAATGTATTGATGCTGGTACAGCTGCAGATGAAGATATCAAACAGAGAAGAACCTATGATTGAGCCTTAAATGTGAAAATAGAAAATTCTGCAGTAACGGATATCTTTTGGAGATATGACAACTAGAAACATGTCAGACGAACACCCCGCCGGCCAATGTGTATGGAATTCGCTATCTTGCGATAGATGGCGAGCTCTTCACATTAAAATGATTAAAATGGCTCAAATGTTTGCACGAGGTCGAGATTCGAGGCGGTTTTCAATTACAGGGTCTTCAGCGCCAACTTTAGGCGAGCTTATTAGGCTCAGCGCCATCGTAGATCCGCCCGTCTTGGAAACAAAATAGGCTTTTATTGGCAAAATGTGCTTGAAACTTGGCTCTTGGCGATGTAATAAGAGAAAGAATAGTTCCGAGATACTCTTTTTTATAGTTTTGTTGTGGAATGAGTGTCATATATAGATTAACAAGTTTTCCCGACTCGTCTAGCTTTCAAGCAACCATGTTGGAGAATACGTTTTGCAGTCAGGTTATCATTGATGATCCGACTACCCCGCATAGCTCATTTTTGTTTTAGATGATTACAACTTTCCTTAAATTTTACTGCAAAACCTTGTCTTGATATATTCATAATTATATAGCTTGCGAACTTCCTCACTCACATGTCCAAGCATTAGCCACCAATTTCCCGACTTTGCGTCTTGCAGCGACTTGAGTCTTAAGTACACTCTGCACTGCATATGCCTATACGAGTTGCTTCGACCTATGAAATGGCCAGCTGGTAGTCCGTATTATTATGGTTTCCGGATGGCGAGACAAGAACTGAACTGCCTCATCTAATTGTAATTATTTATTGTCTACCTACCAGGCACCATCTGTCAGTGTTGCGGCAGTGGATACCTTAGTTAACGGTAGATTGTGTTGATTGGTTTCATTGGGGCACGTATGGCGGCAGAGGACTTAAACTTAGATGAAGACATGTCAGACCAAGAATGATAAAATAAAGTAATTCTATTGAAGAAAGTAGTTACTTTTGAACCCTGGGTATCGTCTCCAACCTCCCCTCCACCGATTCATCTGTCTGTGAATGCGTTGCTAAACAATTTACAAGATAAATTAAGATACATTTCCTTCAGAAATCATAACCTTTGACCCGGGATAAGTAACATTATTATCCAAGCCAAGTACCCAAAATGAAAAAGAACGCCCCCAAGGGTATAATACCATGAATGATAACCAAGCATCCATAAATCATGATATCCAGATCCCATTTGCGTAAATTACCAACCCCTACATAAATTAATCATTTCTGAATCCATCATGGGCAGCATTTCCACGGTGATGAGCTTGAGGGACGGCTGTAACGTCGTCTCCATCACTGCGGCTCTGTCTTTCCCTTCTCTCCCACTGGGGCTTCTCTTTCTCGACATCACTTGTGCTTCTGCTCTCGACATCTGCGGTCTCGAAACCATAATGTCTTGCCATCTGCTCAACTTCGGACGGGGATAAGTATGGCAAATCATGAGAAGCTTTGACATAGGAAATGTTCTCGGTGTATCCCTTTGCAAAGATGATATCGATTTCCTCGAGAGATCTGCGCTTAGTTTCTGGGTAGAAGAAATAAATGATGGGAAGGAAACAGGCGTTGACAACGGCGAAGAAGAGGTATGTGCCCCAGGAGATATTGGCAATCATAATTGGAGTAACCATAACAATGGTGAAGTTGAAAAGCCAGTTGGAACAGGTTGAGACGGCGTTAGCTCTGGCACGAGTGCGAAGAGGGTTGATTTCAGCTGGGTACAACCATGGTAGTGGCAACCAGGTGGCACCGAAGAAAGCAATGTAGGTGAAAAGACCGACACCTGCACCCTTGGCGGATGGACCCTTTCCAGAATCTGGGATAAGACAAGCGAATACTAGAACCATGGAAAGACACTGTCCGATAGTTCCGATGATGAACAACTTGCGGCGACCGGCTTTCTCAATAATGAACCAGGATACGGTAGCAAAAATGGAGTAAACAATCATGTTAACACCACCAAGAAGAAGAGCCAAGTTTTTCGAGGTACCAATAGACTTTTGAAAGAGAATTGGGAAATAGTAAATAACTGCATTACATCCACCAAGTTGTTGGAAAAATTGCGATGAGGATCCGAGAAGCATACGGCGGAAATGTTGGGTTTTGCCCCCAGTGAAGAGAGCGGAGAAAGGTGTCTTGGTAGCGGCTCCGGATGCCATGATACTATCCATAATAATAGTCTTTTCCAATTGAACTTGTGGGTCGTTATTTTCGAGACCAGAGAGAGCGGCAATGACATCGAGACCTTCCTCGTGGCGTTCTTTAGCTAGAAGCCATCTTGGAGACTCTGGAAGGAAGTAAGTTCCGATGATGAGAATAAGACCGAAGAAAACCTGGAAAGCAATGGGGAAACGCCAAGTGAGGTTGTCTGGACCATAAGAAGCACCGTAGTCAATCCAGTAAGCGATCATAGTACCAAAGGCAATCACACCACCTTCAATACAGATGAGTAGACCACGATTGGTAGAGCGACTACATTCTGCCTGATATGTTGGAATGGTTGATGTGTTGATTCCGTTTCCGATACCAGTTATTGTTCTACCAATAATGAATTGGGCAGTCGCATGGGAACCTTTAACAGCAGTAATTTGAACAACAACTCCGATAATCATAATGACTCCACCAAGCATCATCTGCGAACAATTTATTAGGATTCCTTGTCTTATCTGGGAAAGCTGGGGTTGTGGGGAGAAGTTGGGGTAAACCTACAGCTCTTCTTCGACCAATTGAGTCTCCATACCACAAGATGAAAATAGCACCAATTAGACATCCAATTTCGTAGATAGCTGTAACGAAACCTTGGTAAACACTGTCATTTTTGGTTTCAGGGAAATAGGCATTGAAAGGGTCTGCGTCGATAATTCCGGACATAACACCTTGATCATATCCAAACAGCAAGAATCCAGTTGTGGCAATCGTCGAGACTAGAAGACCCAACTTTCGGCCATGGAGACCTGCAAAGGTCTTTTGCGTTGGTGATATCTCAGGAGAAACCATTTTGGATATCGTATGCGGTGTATCGAAGCAGAGAAGTCGTCAAAATTTGAAAAACGTCTGGCTCAGCCAGCAACTGTCAAAGTAAGTCTCTCTAACACAACGCTGTTGCGTCAACTGGTGGAGGTCTGGGGAAGTAGAGGGAGTTGATATGGGATGGAAATAATGGAAAAATGGATCGAGGGGGGAAGATCTATTACTATATACTTGTTAATCAGTCCCCCATCCTTTGGCTTAGAAACTCAGTGGGTCAGCTATCTTCCAGTTGCAGGAGGGTAGACTCCACATTTCCACATGTTTAACCCTCCAACGTTCGGAATGACAGTATTAGGCAACCCGCATGGAATGGAAAAACTAGTTATTCTAGTAAACAAACTGCAGGGAAAATGTCAGATTTGGAGACCATTCTTACAGGGAATTTCAAACCTCGTTTGCTTGTTGGATCACGATGTCGTGCAAGTTCAATGTTTTCCCTGTGGAGCACCCAAGCATTGGGCTTGGGATCTGCATCCGAATCATTAGTAAAAAAGAGCAATTGAGAAAGCGGTGACGGAGTCATTAAACTTTCGAGAAAATATACAATGATATGATTGGATGATATTGGCAAAAATCCAATGAATCGACCATACCAACGGCATTTGCGTGATTAGCTGGAGATTCTGTGTAGGGGTACGAAAAGAGAATCAAATAGATCCACACAGACGTCACGGGCTGGCTAAAAGCTGCGTGGGGTTTCAAGGTTAAATGTGGGATTGAGGAGGAGATTGTGCGTATGAGAAGTGAGTGGGACTATCTTAATCTTCGGAGTGGAGAGATAGCATGGAAAGGTAGAACTTATGATATCTAGAGGCTCCTCACTCGTGAGATATGGAATTGTCCCCATTGTTTTACCAGTCAAACACAAACACAAACATGAATAACAATAACAGTTTAACCGTAGTAGGTTGGAAGTAAGGTTTCTGAAAGACGGAAGGCTTTTTGACTTCGACGCTTATCCGGTTCACGGGCTAGTGAACTGCTGGCCCGAAAGTCAACATTATCTTGGCCTACCTCGGTAAGTGCTTACTTGGCATTCGTCAATGAAGGGGCACTATCTAAATTTTCTAATTCTAACATACGCCAAGCCGAAGGCAAGTATCTTTGCACGAAAATATTTTCATGAAGCGCACAAACCATGGTTTCAAAAATTAATGACGGTGATCTACCTCCAAAAAATCCTCACGTTATTCCAACCAAAATTTTACGAAAAACACATGCAAAATAACGTCATAGAGAGACTCCCAAACCAAAATAGACCGAGGGAGATCCGAGATAGACTGGATCTTTGAGTGAAGGACCCTGCAGCGGAAATCTATAGGCGGAGGAAGGATTCCTTGGGTGGCTGGCGCGAGGATGGTTATGCTTTTGGGAAGCGACGGGAACGAGTAAGGTGGTGAGGAGAAGGAAAATTTGTGGGAAGTGTTCCGATATTGTAGATTTAGTATGGTTTTTGTGGATTTCATGGGGTCAACTCGACAAACTGGAGCAATAGAGATGTTAGGAAACGTGTATTGGTTCCACTTTCTTGAAGGCTGAAGCAATCATTTTCCCATCATCCACGCCGAAGATAATGCGTCGATATGAACCCTAATGCATTTACGGAGAAGCACGACTGACATGTTGTCCGTATCGATAGCGTATCATTGCAGATAAACACACATTTCATGTGAGACCAAAATGCAGACGAATGTTACCATATCTCCCTGCGTATTTAACCGATACGAACGGCGGAAAAGGCATGGAAAGAGGAAAAACGAAGGAAAGCAACGAGGTATGATATCGGCAGAGACCATTGCTGCGTTGAACCCTGATGTTAACGCTGATGTACTCCGTACATAGTTGGCTACATAGTTGTTAGTTTTTCCCATTGCCCTTGTTGGTGAAACGCGGAAAGATGGAGGAGTTTGGTGGAGAAATGGAGATATTGAGGTGGAGATGCTGGGTCCTCCACACCCTTGAAGTTACATTCAACTTCCCCAATCACAGACCACCATATCACGAGTTCGATAACTCCGAAAAGCGTGACTGGGGCTCATCCACATTTATCCTGGTAAATCGTCTCATTATTATCTTGCGCTTTTGCTGCGAGGATAACATTCGGGACTGCAACCCATGTGTTGTATAAGTAATGACAAATATTCTTTGGCCCGCGATTTACTGACAATATCCGAACTTGAGCGTCTAACCTGGTATTGGCATCCTACTCGGTGCGTAGTATTGTCGATCATAACTATGTGTCAAGGATTTCCATCCTCAAGCGGTAAACCACAGAAAAAGCATAGTATTTTGTTCACCTCAGCTCTAGCCTCCATTCACATGCTTGAGGGTTGAGACATGCTTATCTGTGGCTCGAGTATACGATATAATTAGGAGCGGTCTGCGGCCTACCGTCCATGAGATAAAATTGGGGTTATCTCCAACATTCGTCAAAACGGAAAATTCGGCACAGATGAATACCACAGTGCCAACCGAGTATAAAGCTCTGAAGGCAGCAATTATCTCATCCCATTTGGCGGTAAAAATTCCCAGAACAGCAATCGAGACCGGGGCGGCTCGAAAAGTTGGAGAGATGGGGAAACGGGCCACTTCATCCCCGGGTTAAATTGGTGGAGAGTCAGCTCAGAAGACGGGATGATGAAGTCATTGTCTGACTGCATTACCGTCCTCGCATTTATTGCTCAAGGAGGTATACACGATGTCTTTGTGAGCTTACCGCGCACTGCCGCGACGGCTTGCTAAACTTCGAGAAAATTCGACGTCGCAAAACTGAAAACCAAATCATATATGATTCTCGCACTCTTGGGCGAGTAGCTTTTCCCTAGAAATTAAGAATGGTCTGGGTGATATTATGGGTATTCTGTCAGTCAGGGGTTCGGCGTGCATTTGACAACTCAAATGCGAGTGATCGAGATGATCACTTCTAAACACAGCGATTATCAAACTACCAACAAACAAACATCAAATTGGAGGATCAACGGCTGAGAAATCTAATTGTGGGACCTAGAGAAAGCAAGAATGAAAAATAGTCGGTGGGAAAGAAAAAAATCATATTATTGTTTGGTGGAGTTTAAAGGGGAAGGCTTTTAAGTTACCTAACTAAATCCCAACAGGTAATCCGCTAAATCACATCTCACTCCCACCACACTCAAGCATTTACTCAGCACTTTACTTCCCCGTTGCTGTATCTTTTCGATCCTCAGAACCACCTCCACCGCGCAAAAGCTTTTCAGCCAGTTCCTCTGCCCTCTGTCTCGCTGCCATATTCTCTCTCTCAATCTTGCTTTCTGTTGCAAGACACTTATAGTTTTCCTCCCATTTAGCTCTTTTATCGTCTAATTTCCTAAGTTCCTCTTGATCTGCTCTATCGTTGTATGAAACCATTTCCTCCCTTGGATTTATCATATTTTCGCCCTCGCTATCTGTGGGTTCATCAGCCCAAGCGATAGCCTTGTCCTTTCCTTTTCGATCCCGCTTCAATATACCTTTTAGCCCAGCTTGCTCATTCTTCCTTGCAGCTCCGACCTCTGCTTTATATTTCGATTTATCCTTTTCGAAATTGGCCTTGGCCATCTCGCGTTGAGTACGAAGTTTCCATTGGGCTGGACTTCCATTTGGTAATAGACGTGAATCTCGAATGGCTGGTACCGGGAAAATAACGGGAAGAGGTTCAAGCTTCGTCTGAGGTTTTACTACTTTTGGAACCAGGGGAGACATCGGTGGTATTTGAATATTTGCTCCCGGCAAAACGACGAAACAACTCTTCTCTGCTTCTTGTGCTAGTCGGAGGGTCTCCACTGGCACATCTTTTCGAAGAACATCGTTCGCATGCTTATGTCCTTGATGAAGTGGCGGTCCTTTGGATGGTGGTGTTCTTCCGGTGGATCGTAGCGGATCTTCAACAGCGCGCTCTTGCTTTCTTTTATGTGTCTGCGAGTCTGAGGAAGTATCTCTTGCCGCGCGGCCTCTTCTTCTTCCTCGCTCCTCTGGTACCGGCGACCCATTTCTGTATTCATTTCCACCCCTACGCCTAGATTCTGTTTCAGCATCTACCAGCGGCGGCGGTGCATGTCCTGACCCGGGTGATGCAAGATAATGTTCGTCTCGGAATCGCGAGTCTTTATTTGTATATTTGGCTTCCCCATCTGTCGTGTCACTTCGAGCTCCATCTCTATCTACAACTACCTCAAACTGTCCTGCGCCTTTCAATGCTGCCGCTTCAGCAGCCGCTATAGCGCGATTGACATTTCTGAGCAAATTATTCCGCGTACTTTCGTCATTCTGTCTTACTGCCATTCGATGGCCTCCGCTGATGGCCCATTCCTTATTTAATTTTCTTCGTGATTCAGCCAGGTGGTTTATTCCTTTGGGTGGCGATTTCTTTTTATTCACTATTGGTCCAATCCCACCACTCCCGAGGTCATTGTCAATAGCTGCCTGTTGGAGAACATCCTCATCATGATCAATATTATGATGAATCCTCTCATTATTGCCGCCAGCATCGGGTACGGTATCATAATTAACCTTCGCTTTGTTTTCTCTCCAGTCTTTCAAAGCGCGCTCTTGCCATCGAGTATCAATTTGCTCTTTTGCAGCTCGACGGCGCCCCTCCATTTCCAAGGTTTCCTTTTCACGTTGAAGATCTCGTAATTTGATTTTTGCTCCTAGCATATAAGTAAGTTCTTCTTTCGACTTTGGTGTTTCGTGCTCTGGCTGTGTTTCTGGAGTCTTCGGAGAGCGATCATTTGGATCAAGAATAGCGCTAGGTAGTACAGGAGCGTGGTGAGGGGCTTGAGATCCTGGATCCTCAATGTCTGGGCTGGGATCACGCTCAAAGACTGCACCTTCTTCCAGTGTAAGACCTGTGACATGTATTCTTAGATCCGGTGGTGTATTTTTGTCAGTGTTGTACTCAAAGATCCGCTGAAGCAACTTTTGTCTCAACTCCTCAGGCGATGATGTTGCCCTTGGAGTAGCACACGATGAACTCGCTTCAGAGGTAGACATGTCTAGGAATATGATGGATATTGTGGGATAAGCTGATTCAAGTTTGAAATCTATATTTTATGTGTAGCATTGTTCACTTAATATTTATAGCTGTTACCTACTACGGTATCTGCTACTACTGCAGATCAATAATTTCTGAATATTATTCACAAGCTAGCTATACACAAACAGAGTCGTCTTGAGTATTTGTGATTGGGTTCATGAAAAGGTTTGTATCTCACTAACAGCTAGAGTTCATGATGATTCAATGGTAGGACATATAAGTTCATGGTATCTGACAAAAAATGTCTAATTACAAAATATGGCAGTAGAAATAATTTGTTGGAACTTTCAGATAAAACTTTTCAAGTCTGTATATGAGTTTGTATACTGATTCAAGACTTGAAGTATATAAATAGCATTAACCTTGAATCTTTCAATTGCATTTGAGTAAGATAATCGACTATTTGGATAACAGTAACTCTCTCGTTCCTACTATGAAATGATAGTTTGATAGGCTGCACAAAATAACCCGCGGACTGCGGATATCTACAAATAATCCGCCCCGCGGGCTACCTAATAGATCTACAATCCATTCTGCAAGTTACTCATTGGGATTTTAAAATAATCTATATTGTATAGATTATTTGTGGATTATCTACAGATAATCCGTTAATTTATAAAGATTGATATAAAAATTAATATAAAAAATATAAGAATAACTTCAAAAATTTAAATGAATATCATTTACAAATAATTTACAAATTATTTATAGATAATCTTATCTATTTATAAATTGATAGATTATTTATAAATTAATAAATATCTACAAATTAATTGTAAATTATTTACATTTATTTATTCAAATTCTTCAATTATCTATTCTACAAATGGATTATCTACAGGTTACTGTCACGATTTACAATTAAGATAAGGATATGTTGAGGGGCAGCAGTCAACGTGTCCATATGAGCTTAGGCCTTATCGAAAAGCAAGGCGATTCGTATACAAATTTGTATGGTAATCGCCTCATGTGGTCTCCTCATCTTTAGCAAGCTCGGACATATAGTCTGATCCTAATTATGTGATAAAGAGTCTTGGGAGTTTCGAAAGCTTTTAAAGCTTTAGGAGCTTTTTGGAGTTTTAAAGCTCTATAAAGCTCCTTTACATTCATTAATATATAATCAGAATAGTTTTATAATTTAAGAGCTTCATACTCAATTTAGTTATCAATTAGTTTATCTATATTCCAATTGATCTAATAACGTATTCCTCTTCGAATAAATAACCAATAATTATTAACCTTAATCTACAACTACTAACCAAACGAAAACCTGAGGCAGCCACTGCCTCGACCAGATCGTTACAATTACTCTTTAAAGATAATAATTTATTTTATAAAACTGTAACGATCTAATAAAGGCAATGACTGCCTCAGGTTTTGTATAGTTGATAATTGTAGGTTAAGGTTAATAATCATTAATTATCCATTCGAAAATGAATATATTATTAGATCAATTGAAATATAAATAAACTAATTGATAATTAAATTGAATATAAATTTTCTAAATTATAAAACTATTCTGATTATATATTAATCTTTTTCTTGTATATTAATTATATTAATTGATTAATATAACTAGTATTCTTATAATACTAATTTTATTAACTGATTAATAAAACTAATATATCATATAATTGATCTTGAAGCTTCTTATATCTCAAAGCTTTTTCTTTCTTGAAATACTTATCCTAGAAGTTTTTCTTTTAGGAATTATAACTTTAAAATATGATAATCTTTAAAATAATAGTTTTATTACAATTAATTAAATAGAATACTTATTCTATTTTATTATAATTATTTAAGATAATTATCCTAGGAATCCTGGGGTTTTAAGCTTAGTTAATCAGGATCTCCAAAAGTAATAATTAAATCATACTCTTTTTATAATCAATATATAAATTATTAATATCAATAATACTATTATAATGAAAACTATAAATTGTAACAAAAACTTTATTATATAATTTATAATTTGATATATTAAGATTTAATTATTCTTAATTTTTTTTTTTATAATTTGATATTATAAATCTAGTATCTTACTTTTCAACTACTTCTTCTTTCGGTTACTCTTTTATATTAAACATTATGATTTATAATCAATCAATATAATCTAATAAAATTTAAATTATAGATTCATTGAATAATTATTAATAGATTTTGAAAATTTGAGAATTTTTATTATTGATTTTATTGAGATTTAAAAGATTAAAAGATTAAATTTTCAATTTGTATAGAATTTATATATAAAATTGAAAAATTATTAAAACTTCTAATAACTTTTCAACAAAAATAACTGGAAACAAATTATAAATCTTTTTTTTAAATATTTATATTATAATCAATTATAAAATTTAATTTATTTTGAAAAATAATTTACAAAAATCTTTTTAATCAAAATGTTATAATTTTTAATACTTGTAAAATTTAAAATTGTAATTTATTTGATCAATTATAATATAAATATTTGAAAAAGATTTATAGTTTATTTTTAATAATTTTTAAATTTATATATAAATTCAATATAAATTGAAAATTATAATTTCAATTTTCAATTTCTCAATCAATAAAATCATGAAAAGTTTAAAAATTTCAGAATCCATTAAAAATTATATAATGAATCTATAATTAAAGTTTCAATTGATTTTATTCATTGATTGTTGAAATATTAATAAATGAAAATGATGACTTTTGGTGTAAAAGAGTGGCTGAAAAGAGAGGTACTAGACTTATACCAACATCTTATCCCTGAACCATGAACATAATCAATTATTCTTCCTACCGAAATAAAACCAAGCAGAGAAAGAAAACTTAAAATAAGATCTCTTCTTCTCTGCAAGGTAACCACTACATGAGATAGATGTAGAGTAGAATAAACAATCCTATATAAATCCCATCAAGTACTAAGACTAACCACTTTATCCCCTGTCTGTATACATCCCGATGTCATGAATTCATATTATAATAGATAATATAAATAATTGAATCATTCAGATTATTTTTAAAATTAAAATTAATTATCAATTTGCCGATATCAAAAACTTATTGTATATATAATATATTATAATTTATTTAATATAGATTATAGAAAATGAAAAACTTGTTTAAATGAATTAAATATCACGATTTATAGTTTTCATTATAGTAATATTATTGATATCGATGATTTATATACCGATTACAAAAGAGATATGATTTAATCATTACTTTCAGGAATCCTGTGTTACAGGGTAACAGTCAACCTGTCCATATGAGCTTAGGCCCTATCGAAAAGCAAGGCGATTTATATACAAATTTGTATAATAATCATTTCATATGATCTTTTCATCTTTAATAAGTTCGAATATATAATCTGATTGTAATTATATAATGAATTATAGGATTTAAAGGATTTAAAGAATTATATTCTAAATCTATTAAATCTTTATAATCCAATTGATAAAAAGATTTATATAATTAAAAAAAGATTTCTTTTATAAAGTTTTATATTTAAAATTAATTATTTAATATATTCTATTATTAATTATAAATTACAATCATTGATATTATTTTAAAGCTTCTATTTGATATTTAATTATAAAATATTTGAGGATTTAAATTATTTTTATATAATCTAGATTATAATCCTTGTAATATTTTGAATATTATTATTGTTTCAAATACTAACTCAACGAAATAATATTATATCTTTTTAGACTTTTCAATTTAATAATCTAATTTCAATTATTTCAAAAGATATAGATCAAGATAAAGATATCATTATAAAAAAAGCAAAGGATTCTAAAAAGATTATTATTATTGAAACCTTCAAAATCGTTTTATTCAATAAATTCATAAATCATTAATAAGAATTAGAAACCTTTTTATTTCAATTTAAAATTTATTTCAAATTTAATAAAAATAAATTCTATTATAATATCAATAAAAATATTTAAATTGTTTTTTATTTCAAAAAAAAAGTTTTTAAATAGATTCAATCTTATTTTAAAGATTATTTTATTTATTTGAATAATCTTAAAAAACAAATATATCCAATATAAATTATCTTCGAAATGTTTATTAAATTCAAAAAAGAAATATGATAAATATTCGGAAATATTAATGAATTATATAATATTGAATTCAAAATTTATAGTTTCAAACAAATACAATCAGTAGTAAAATATATTATAGAATTCAAATAATATATAAGAATTATAGAATAAAAAGAGAATATTATAATAAGTTATTATAGAAAAAGGTTTAAGGTGAAGATCAAATTAGAATTGAATTGTAATTGTATTTAAAAAGATCTGAATGAATTAATCGAGGAATTGATTAAGATGGATAAGATATTTTATGAATATCAAAGGGAATATCGATTCTTTAATTTCTATAAAAATCAAGATCATAGTAAATATTATAAGAACAAAGAAAGATTTTGAAATCATTAATAATTATATAGGAATTCAATATAATTGGATATAATTTTCAAAAATAAATTATCTAAAAAGAAAGTAGATCAAAGATAAAAAAATAAATTATATTTTGAATATAACAAATCAAATTATTAATCTAAGGATTATTGAAACAAGAAATCATAAGGTTAAGAAGAGTATCACAAAAAAACTAGATTCGGAAAAAATCAATTCAATATTATCTTTGTATTTTTATTATTTATATTCGATGTAATCGAAGATAATAATTACAAATAAAAACAATATTAAAAGGAAATCGATATAATACTTTGAGATTAAAAAAATCTAAATGAAATAAATCGATATAAATTGAAACATCTTTGAATTTTATTATCTTTTTGATTAAAAACTCAAAAGAAATATCATTGATAAAATATATAGTGATGAATTAGATAGTTTATTATAATAATTTCTATAGGATTTATTTATTAGATAAAAAAGTTATAAGATGATTTCTTTATAAAAAAAGAAGAAATATTTTATTATATGATTATCAAAATGATCAATTATATAAAATTGATTAAATCGATCAAATTGATCAAATTGATCAAATCGATCAAATTGATCAAATCGATTAAAACAAGGTTATAAATTAGGGACAATTAAATATTATAGATTAAATAGAATAGATTTATTGTAATATTAAAATAAATAAATAAAAAATCTAAGTTATGATCGATTTAGGAATTATAGGGAATTTTATTGTATTAGGAATTATAAAATATTTAAGGATATAGTTTCAAATGAAATAGATTCTATATCAATTGTAACTAATTGATAAATAGTTAATAAGATTGAATGGTAAGATTTTGTAAAAGATTTATTTAATATAAATAAATATAATTCAATATAAAAAGATCATTCAATTCGATATTGTTCTATTAAGAAATCAATAAATTATTTTAAGAATATTATAATTAAAAGTATATAATTCTAGAATCAATTAGATTATTGAAGTTATAAATTTCTCAAATAAAAGCGATTATTATAATATACTAAAGCCTATAAAGTTGAATATATATGATAGGAAATTGAAGATAAATAATATCATCGATATAGAATATCTAATCCAAAATCCTTTATTAATAATAAAAAAAATTTTTTTTTTATATAAATGAAGAATAAATAAAAGGAATTGTTTAATATTATTTTTATATAAAAACAGAAAAAAGCATTAATATTAATATAATATTAAAAATACAAAAAGTTATTTGAAAAAGAAAAATTATAAGGTTTTATTAAAATATAAATTATAGGATTATAAGATAATATTGAAAAAAAACAAAATGCTTTTATTTAAATCAATTTATTAAATATTAAAATTGAAATTAAGAATACTTAAAGAATATATCAACAATATACTAAAAAAGAGTTGGATTAGAAAATCAATTTTATAAATAATTAGTTTTGTATTATATATATTCAAGAAAAATAATATTAAGAAATTATATATAAATTATTGTAAATTCAATAATATAATAATCAAGAATTGATATTTATTTCTATTAATTACAAAATTAAAAAATCGATTAGAAAAAACAAGGATTTTCTTCAAATTTGATTTAAAAAATAGATTTCATTTAATTAGAATAAAAAAAGGTAAAGAATAGAAAACAATATTTAGAATTCGATATAGATTATATAAGTATCAAATTATATTATTCAGATTAATTAATATATTAATAATATATATACAATTAATCAATAATATTATAAGAAAGTTGAAATTATAAACCAAATATATAAAGGTTTTAGTTAATCAATCATATAACCTTTTGTAATTAGATATAAAAAAAGAGTCTTTTGTCTTTTCTTTTTACAATAATTAATCTTCTATATATATATATTTGAATCTATATAATATCAATCCCAAAACTATTGTAAACTCTGTTTTATTTATAAATAATATATTACAATATAATCTAATTCAACTTTCTCTTTCAATTCCCTTTTCACAGTGTACTATCAGGACGTATGTATCTCGACCTATCACTTTTATAATATATTAAAAAAGTATCTGGATATTTATTATATATATTATTTAAATGATATCTTTGTATTCTTTGAAATAAAAAAATAATATATATTAGATATATATAAAGTATTAAAATATTTGAAAGAAATAAATTTTTAATGTAAATTTAATAAATATAAATTCTATATTATAAAAACGGAATTCTTGGATTATATAATCTTTTCAAAAGGTTTTAAGATAAGTTTTGATAAGTTAAAAACAATTCAAAATTGGAAATCATCGAATAGTATAAAGGAGGTATAATTCTTTTTAGAATTCATCAATTTTTATCAATGATTTATTAAGGATTATTCTAAAATAATTATTTTAATATCGAAAATCATCAAGAAAAATCAAAAAGAATTCTAATAAACTTTGCAAATACAAAAGAGATTCAAGAATCTTAAAGAAATTTTTACCAAAGAATCTATTCTTCTAATCTTCGATTCAGAATTATCAATAATTATAGAAACAAATACTTCAAATTATATAATAAAAATTATATTAAATCAATTCAGTTCAAATAAGAAATAACAATCAATCATTTATTATTTATAAAAGTTATTATTAATCAAACTAAATTATAAAATATACAACAAAAAGTTATTAATAATAATAAATATATTTAAAGAATAAAAAATATATTTAAAAGAATCAAAATATATAATACAAATATATATAGATTATAAAAACTTAATTTACTTTATTATAACAAAGAAATTAAATCGATAATAAATCAAATAATCGGAGATCTTAATAATCTATAATTTCAGAATTTTATATATCAAAAAGAACAAAAATACTAGAATAGATATTTTTAATCAGAAATTAGAATATTTACAAAACAAAATTTATAAAATATATATAATATTAAAGTAAAAAGATAATACATTAATATATAACAAATTATAATTAATTATTATTTTCAAATTATTGGATAATATAATCAAATTGTAATTATTATTTTATTACAAGAATGATATTATTATACAACGAATTCTAAAAGAATTAAAACCAGGATTTATAATCAAAAAAGAAATAATCTATTTTTACAATAAAATCTATATCTTTATTAGAATAACAAAAGATTTTGTTAAAAAATGATACGAATTATTAATATATAAATATCAAAGAATAATTAGAATATTTATAAGGTTATAATAAAAAGTATATTTCCTAAAAATAAAAACAATAATTGAAGAAATAATTAGAAAATATAATATTTATATACAAAACAAAATTATTAAATACATTCTATATAATCAGTTCAAAATCTTTAATTTATTTTCAAAACTATAAAAATCTATTATATAGGATTTTGTAATTAAATTATTTCTTTTCAAAGAATTAATTACAAAAAAGGAATATAATATTATTCTAATAATAATAAACAAATTAATCAAATATATTTATATAATACTATTCTATGAAATATAATTTATTAATAATTTGATATATATATTTCTAAGGAATATAATTAATATATATGATATATCAGAAAAGATAATTTCGGATTGAAACAAATTATTTACTTTGAAATTTTGGATTATATTAATAATATTATTAAATATAAAAAGAAAGTTATCGATAATCTTTCATCTATAAATAAATAAATAAACAAAGCAATTAAATTAAACAATAAAAGTTTATTTATAATATTATATTAATTATAAATAAGATAATTAAATTGAATTATTACTTTTAATTCAATTTGTATATAATTCATTAGAAATAGAAATAACGAAAATTATATCAATTTATATTAACTTTAGATTCTATTCAATAATATATCGAATAATATTATCACAAAATGGAAATATAAACAAAGTTATAAAGAATATTGAAAAGATCAAGGATCTATAAAAACAACTCTCTTTGAATTTATAATTTATAATTTTAAGAATAATAATATATTACAATATATTATATAATCTAGGATCTACATTTAAAGAAAAAGATAAAGTTTATTTTTTTCGAAAAAATATACAAATAAAACAATTTAATAATAAATTAAATTACAAGAAACTAGAATTATTCAAAATCGATAAGATAATTGAATCAATTAATTATAAATTAAAACTATTATATATTATAAATATCCATTCAATATTCTATATATCTTTACTCGAATCAGTATCATCAGAAACGCCCGATATATTTATAATAGAAATCGAATTAATCAATTCAAATACTATATACAATATCAAAACGATATTAAATTATAAATATATTAAAAATAAAATCAAATATTTGATTAAATAATTAGATTTCCCATATTCGAAGAACATTTGAGAATTAAAGAAAAATCTTGTATATAAATTTGTATAGTAATTACCTTATATAATCTCCCTACCTTTAACAAGCTCGGATATATAATCTGATCATAATTATATAATAAATTATAGGATCTAAAGGATCTAAAGAATCGTATCCTAAATCCACTAGATCCTTATAATCCAATTGATAAAAAGATCTATATAATTAAAAAAGGATTCCTTTTATAAAACTTTATACTCAAAATCAATCATTTAGTATACTCTATTATTAATTACGAATTACAATCATTGATATTATTTTAAAACTCCTGCTTGACGCCTAGTTATAAAACATTCGAGGATCCAGGCCACTTCCACGTGATCTAGATCGCAACCCTCGTAACATCCTGATTAGCTAAGTCTAGAATCCCAGGATTCCTAGGATAATTATCTTAAACAACTATAATAGAATAAGACAAATAATCTATTTAATTGATTATAATAGAATTATCATTTTAAAGGTTATCATATTCTAAAACTATAATTCCTGAAGAGAAAACTTTTGGAATAAGTATTCCAGAAAAGGAAAGGTTTTGGAATATAAAAGGCTTTAAGATCAATTATATAATATACTAATTTTGCTAATCAGTTAATAAAACTAATATTACAAGAATACTAATTATACTAATCAATTAGTATAATTAATATATAAAAAAAAGATTAATATATAATCAAAATAGTTTCATAATTTAAAAACTTTATACTCAACTTAATTATCAATTAGTTTATCTATATTCCAATTAATCTAATAATATATTCACCTTCGAATGGATAATCAATAATTATTAGCCTTAACCTACAACTACCAACTATACAAAACCTGAGACAGCCGCTGCCTCTACCAGATCGTTACATTAAAATTCTGATAATTTGATTGATTTAAAATATTCTAATAAAGAATCTAATGAAAAACTTGATATAAACTTTATAATTTCAAACAAATCTGATTTAGAACTTTTTTGAACTTTATTAAAATCATTCAATTTATCATATTCAACTCAAAACAATAATAATAATAATAATAAATAATCATATAAATAATATAAAATATTTTTATTATTATAAATAACATTAAAAATAATACAAATAATATAAAATATTATTATTACTTTAAATATTATAAATAATAATATTAAATAATAATATTATAAATATTATAAATAATAGTATTAAATCATATTATAATTGTTATTTTTAAATAAAATAATTTAATTTTTAATTAATAAAACAAGCCGATATTCTATCTACATTCTGATATATATTTAATATTTAATTTATTATAAACTTATTAAATCTTAAATTTTCATTAGACTGTCTCGAAAAGCCAGGGGTCCGGGGGGCGCAGGCCCCTGGTTAGTTACAAATTGCAATTATATTATTGTTATTTAAATCCCTGTGTGATATTTAATTATAAATCTATTTCGAAAGCTTAAAGTATTTCTATGTAATCTAGACGGTAACTCTTGTAACAAAGCAGGTCAAAATCCAATAAGTCAATAAGATCAAAGATTAATTTATTGAAAGATTAGTATACTAGGATATATACAGAAATTGCGAATATGAAGCAGGGTTATATAGACAAAAATATATTTGAGAATATTATTGTGGAGTTTATATCGAAATTCGAGAACCTCAGACCGTTGACTTGTGAACTCCGATATATTCTTCTCTCAACCAGGGATGGAGTGGTTTTTACCAGCACATTTCAAGATTATAATATAATGTACAATAAGATGATTACAGTATTCAATAAGGCGATCGGCTGTTTAGGGGAGGAGGAATAGGCAATTGTATAGACGAGACAAGGATCAGAGAGTTATGATTGTGCAATGTATTACTAGGGGTTGTTTTTTCTCTTCTATTTGCTACACCAAGTAGAGCAAAAATTGTATAATACAATGATACCATGGATATTAATCCGATACGCGACTTATTGTATAATATATGAATTGCTTCTTATAAAGGCGTTACGCCTCATGTCTGCTTTCGATGATAACCTCTCTATTTTCTTTGATGGTATTCCTTCTATGTATCTGATATCTCCTATCCTTCTGTTACGAGGTTTGCCGTCTAGATCATGTAGAAGTGTTCTAAGCTCTCAAAGTGATTTATAACTAAACATCAAGTAGGGACTTAAATAACAACAATATGATTGCAATTCGTAACTAATAATAGGCTATATTAAATGATTGATTTTGAGCACAAAGCTCTACAATAAGGAAACCTATCCTGATTATATAGACCTTCATGCTATGGACCTTCAGGACCCTGAAAGGTCCTGGACCTAAGGATGTATTGGACCTTTACTTTTCATGCATAATATGCAGGGTCCATCACGTGATACTGAGCTTGTGGAGTCCGACGTAACACCTTCGGCCGTACCTGCGCTTACGATGCAACTGGCAGAGAAATGATGACTAAAAATAACTACACCTGAAAAGAGTTAGAATAGCGGTTTCTCAGGAGTATAAAATGCGGAGGCGGCCGCCGTATCCTATACGCTGCAACAGGGCTATAGAAATACGGATGATGCGATCCTCAATTATTACCTACATCAAACAAACAATGTATATCCGTTCTACATATACCCATTAATATACTCCATCCCCATTATTTGATTAAGATTCTTCAACTGCCGATATTACTATATATAATCCCGATCATAGCGTATATATATAAGTTTAAAGGAAGAAAAACAAGTCGGATAGCCAAGAAAATTTGTATTCTATAAGTCCCCTCCCTCTATATTCCGGCCACCTTAAAAATATTATTATATGATTTTTAAACTGTAATAATTCAATAATTATTCAATTTTAATACAATCGTCTGTACTATTTTTTTTAAAATAATATTAAAATCATTTTCTTCAATTTCACAACCTTTAATATCAATTTAAACATCTTTAATAACTTTAATTTTTATAAATGTTTTTTTCTTTAAAAATTATAAATGGTTTTAAGACTTTATTAATTACTAAAATATATTCTATAAAAAACATCCAAATCTTTAAATCAGATTATTTTTTTAAACAAACTTTTATTTATATACTTTTTATAATATATATTTTATTTATATTCTACTTATTTTTATTTTTAATACACTTAATTTTAAGAATATTAAAAAGATAAAATTTAATAATATTAATATTAATACTCAAAATTAATATAAAATTAATTCTTCATTATTTTTTTATTTTATATATTTAATAATAAATTAAATTACTATTAAATATTTTCTATATTAATATTCAATCGATCAAACAAGTCTCCTGAATCGAAGTTATCTTTTGTTAGTTTTGAGCATTTTTTTAATAAAATAAATAACCTTCAATTCGATCTTGAAATATAATATATAAAATATTATATTTTAAAGAAATCTTTTATATTATAAATTTATTTATAATTATCTTCAATACTATTACAAATATTATCTTCGGAATATAATCTCTTCATAATATAATTAAAATAATATCAGATCAATTGATTCAATAATTATTGAGTTATTAAGATTTAAAAATTAAATATTATTGTAGCGGTATGATTTTTGACGTGGCCGGAATAGGGGGGTGGGCAGAATGTGGGGTAGGGGACATACGAATCCGAAACTGCAACACTTCCGCGTATAGACTTTCTGAAAAGGGAATATGGATACGTTCTTGGCACCATCCGCAAAATCCTCAATAAAACAACTTACGACATGGAATTTTTTTTAAGGAGAGATGCCAAGTTTAATGGTGACGGTCCGTTTTTGTTTGGATGAAAGTGGGACGGACTCATTCTAAAGAAGTAGAGATGAACGTTGTTAACATGTATGGCCCAATTATATGGTGCTTGATTTTCTTGTCCAATTAGGTCTATTTTGCAGAGTGGTGAATAAACGATTTAGTACCGTTCCATTTGGGCAGTGTAGTGACTTGTATTGCTATATATACTTCTCAATTCCTCCCTCTTCTTCGTCTTCTTTCCCATACTATTCATCCATCACCACGCATCATTCAAGATGTTGCCCTCTCACCCATCCCATCTCATTGCCGTCACTCTCTCACTCCTGCCAACCATCATACTCGCCACCAATTTCAATTCCACCCAAACATGCAAAATCACACCTGCAGACGCCTCCTGGCCTTCCTCCGCCGATTGGACAGCATTAAACACATCCATCTCCGGAGCCCTCATAAAAACTCTCCCTGCTGCCTCTTCTTGCTACACCGGAAACCCATTTAACTCAACCGAAAACTGTTCTTCCGTCCAAACCAACTGGGTTCTCGCCTCATGGCAAGCCAATACACCAGAAGGAATCGATTATCCCATCTATGCCAATAATTCCTGTCTCCCTACCAATGCAACTGGGTATCAAGCTGGTAAGGGCTGTGAGGTAGGTGGTTCTCCGGTTTATGTTGTAAATGCCACTACCGAGGATCAAATCGCTACAGCGATGAAATGGGCTACGGAAAGAAATATTCGAATTGTGATCAAAGGAACCGGTCACGATTTGAGTGGAAGGTTTGATCCCCCATCCCTTAATTTTCCCAACCCTACAAGGAAGAAAATTAAAAGGAAGCAAAAAAGAAAGTAAATAGCTAACCAAAAACCAAACTCGCAGATCAAGCGGCGCCAACTCCCTCTCAATCTGGACTCAAAATTTCCTCAAACGAGAATTCAATTCTTCTTGGCGCATCCCCGGCTCCAATTCTACAGCCGATGTCCTCATCGCCGGGAGCGGAAACAATTTAGAACTTATTTACAACGCCGCTCATGAGGCTGGGAAATCAATCGTGGGAGGCGATGCCAAAACTGTCGGCCTAGGCGGGTATCTCCAAGGAGGTGGCCACGGTCCCCTCTCAAGCCAATACGGACTCGGCGCCGATCAAATCCACCAAGCTACCGTTATTACACCCTCGGGCGAAATCTTGACCGCGAATGCGGAGCAGAATCCTGATCTTCTCTGGGCCATTCGAGGAGGCGGTCCCGGTACATATGGCGTCGTGACTGAATACGTTTTACAAGCACATCCTGCAGTCGCTAGTATCTCATCTGTAAATCTCGAGGCAATTCCTCTCGGTTCCGAGAACGATACTGCCGCTGCAACAGCAGCTTGGAATGCCCTCGCAATCCTCTTTCAAAACCTCCCTGATCTAATGGACACCGGTCTCGCAGGCGCCATGACTGCCGCTACTGGCTCCGTCGCGAAAGCTTTTTCCGGTTCAGAATCCACACCTCCTGGTGTATACTTCTCACAAGCATTCTACGGATACAACATCAGTATCTCCGAAATGACCACTCTCATCTCCCCTTTAATTGAGAAAATAAAAAATGTATCTAATGGATCACTTTCTATCAATTACACAATCACAGATGTATACCCTAGTTACCTCGACTTTTTCTACGCTAATGATCCCACCGAAGATCAGGCTGGTCAGATTTCTCTCCTTTCTACTCGTTTATTGGGACGTGCGCAACTTTCTGATCTCCCAATGGAAACAGTAGCTGCATATTTGCAACGCGCCTTAGCATCTCAGAGCGGGAGTGGAAATGAAATGATAGTCGGGTTACAAGGAGGACCTGGTCCGGCTCATGTTCCGGAGAATATGCGTGGTTCGCTGAACCCGGTTTGGAGAGAGACATATTTACATGTTATTACACTTGGTGCAACACTTGATGATACTTTGACACCTAAGGAAACACTTGCAAATGCAGCAGAATGGATAGAGGAGAATAGAGAAGCGTTATGGAGAGAATGGGCTCCAGATATGGGTGCATATATTAATGAGGCGAATCCTTTTAATACCGAGTGGAAACATGATTTCTTTGGCACAAGCTACGATCAATTGGCGGAAATTAAGAAGAAATATGATCCTACTGGGAGTTTGTATATATTGTCGGGTGTAAGAAGTGATGAGTGGGATTATGATCTTGATACAGGGAAATTGTGTCGGGTTTGAGAGGAGTTTGTTTTGTTGGAGGAGAGAAAATAATGTTCTTTTGACAGTTGACATTTTGGAAATAATATTGTCTAAAGGAAGCCAAAGAATAGGTTCGATTATATTGTCTTTAGTACTATTGCTTAAAGATAGTATAAATAAACTAGATAGCTTTGAATGAGCATTCTTTACTTTTAAATGGGTATGAACAATGTATTCTAGTTTTTATTTCTGTTTTGATATTTCTTATAAACAAAATGATTCAGAAAGTATTAAAGATATAGGCGCAGCATATTAGATAATATTGTTGTCCACTATACACTCATTCTCTTGAACGGAGGTCAGCGAAAATTAAATTTAATGTTGGAAATATTCCAAATAGAGGATTATACCACATACTGAGCTATAAGTCTAGTACCCCATTTTTGGACCACCCTTAATTTGGGCCACCCTTTTACATCAAAAATCGTGATTTTCACCTATTAATAACTTTACAATAAATTAACGGAATTTGATGAAATTTGAATCATAGATTCATTATATAGTTATAATTCAATTCTGAAACTTTTTAAAATAAATTTCATTGAGATCTATAACCTTAAATATTGTGATTTTTGATTTGTATAAGAATTATATACAAATTTATAAAATCTTTAAAATCTTAAATAACTTTTCAATAAAAATAATTCAAAATATTAATATATTATATAATATTTTATTTGAAAATTCCTAAAAAATTATAGTTTATTTTTAACAATTTTTATTGAAAAGTTATTTAAGTGTTTCAATATTTTCAAATTTGTATATAAATCTTATATAAATTGAAAATGGAAATTTCAACTTTTAATTTCTTAATCAATAAAATCATGAAAAATCTAAAAGTTTCAGAATCCATCAATAATTATATAATAAATCTATAAATAAAATTTCAATCGATTTTATTCATTTGTTGTTAAATTATTAATAGTTGAAAATGATGATTTTTGATATAAAAAGATGGTTCATATTAAGAGTGGTTCAAAAAGAGAGTACTAGACTTACTATATACCTCTTATATTAATCTATCTACTTACTAATCAGATTCAAAATTAATAAGATCTTTTTAGAAATAATAGTAATAATACTCAACTTATCATTACAGTTGAATATACTATTATCATTATATATATATAAACTTAATTTAATCTATTCAAAACATCAAATAAATATCTATATACCTAGATAGAACTATAAGATTTAATTACTTTATTAACAAAATGATAAGATATAATATATTAATTACCTACCTACAGAGAACTGATTATAGAAACTTATCTAGTCAAACTTGATTTGGCATTTGGAGTACTAACCTATCGTCCGGAGAACAACAACACTGGATATTTTTCCTTAAAGTCAAATTTCTTATCATTTCAAAATTGAAGATACAGGTGGTCATCTAGTCGCAACATTGAAGTATTCAGCACTTTGGAGACGCTGGTTTACACGGATACAGACAGACATGAGGAGAAAATCTCATTTGAATAGGTATACAATCACACTTTTATATACTCGCTTCACTACGTCAAACACTGTATGGATTGCCTCGCTTCATTGCGCCACGCTCTGAGAATACCCAACCCTAATGCTAATGTAACCAATTACCATTCACCAAAATCAATGCACTAAAAACAATTCCAACTTACGGTCCGCTTGGACCTGCCTCTTCATCATCAACCCTCTCATCTCTTGATCTGCCTCTTAAAAACTCTCCAAGTGTATTACTTAAGCTTCGAGCTCGTGTTCTTATTGAACGCTGGAATGATTCACCTTCTTCCACATCTTGTGCTGCTTCATTATCCTTCAGAGGTGCATCAACATCCTCATCATCAACTGTACCTTCACTTGCTTGGATAAGTCTTTGAGATATCGATTTGGATCTTCGAAGATCGGGTTGTGGTCGTCTTTGTGATTTGCTGCGAGGAGAATCAACTCCACGTCTTAATGAGTCTGCTATTACCACACTTAACCCACCGGAAAGGGGCGATAATAATGGACCAGGAAGCATGCGGGCTATCGAATAACTTGCTGGGGTCATTGATTGTTCTGCTTGGGGTGGTGAAGGGCTATTCTGCTGACTTGGAGGGGTATGAAAGTGGGATTGCGTATTATTTCTAGTAGTAGGTGGTCTCAAGGGAGGTGGTGATTGGGCCTCGGAGGGAAGGACGGGAGAGGAAATGCTCGTTTGTATTCCCGGATGTCTTGGTGTTTGTAGTAGATTTTCATTGGAATCCACCCATGGATTTGAAGGTAAAGGATTATCAACACTTGCAGACCGCTCATCAGACAAGCCCGGGGTATGCAGCCGCACTGCTGGATGCTTTGATGACGGTCTTTGTGGTGTTTGTGGTCGTGATGTTGGTTTCGCAAAGCTGACATGTGATGACCTCCGCGAGTGCTGGATTGCCTCCTCATCAACTGATCCATCACCATCATGGATGAGACTTGGCTTAGAATTCGGCTGAAGACTAGACTGTTTCCGTGATCCATTATGATATAAAGCTTCATCACCAGGAGCTTCCTGAGGGGCAAGTCTGATCCTTTCTTCTTCCCCCTCAATATCCACCTCACTCTCATCTTCATCTTCATCTTCATCATGCGGTGGTCTACCGCTAGTAATGAGCCATACGCCGAAAAATGTCAACAAACAGCCTCCAATAAATTTTACTGCATTCTCACTGGTGACTTTTTCGAAATCACGATAAAGAATTGCGCTGCCAGTGATGACTGATAAGGTGAAGATGACGAATTGGACAGGAATTACTTGAGTTGAATCAAAACGTTGAAGAGCCCTATTCAAATATCTAACCTGCATGATGGCAGTAGCGACCAGAACAAGCACTAAGAAATATGTGACTGGAGTCGTTAAAGCTCTCCATAGAGTAGAAGAGAGCATCGAAGAAACACCCTTGGTAGAAAGAGCCGTATACCCTCCTAGAAATGGTGAGTGTGGGTATGACTAGTGTGTGATGATGAAAACTTACCAAATAACCCCACGAGCCCAAGATCGACCAGTATCGTTTTCCTGCCATATCTCGGGCTTGCCCACATCAAGATTGCGATTAAAACTACTGTGATACCCATATAAAGTTCAAACTCTGTGGTGGTAATGGCTCCCCAAATTTCATGGGGTCCAAATTTCTTTTCCTCTTGCTTAGCACTCAACACAACTGTGACAGCACCAGCAACCGCAACTACTACCCCCCAGAAATCCCTGAGCCGGAATTGTTCGTTTAACATGATGGGAGCTATCACACAATTGGATATCAAGGCGACGACACCCAAAGGAGAAACAATTGATGCCGGCGCAAAGCCATATGCCAAAAAATTCCCCAGCTCTCCAATCGTCATTAAGACAATACCCCCCCACCAGTATGGAGATTGTAAATATGTAGATTTTTTACCCCCATGATCATCCTCTGTGGAAGTCGAAGACTGAGAGTTTTGGGAGTGGAAAGATTGTAGTAGAGGTTCCTCTTCACCTGCTTCATATTCCTCTTCATCGATCCGATTTCCGTTCACACCTGTTCCGTAGCCACCCGCAGATTTCGAAATAGCCCTCAGCCTTTCTTTCCGTCGTATCTCGCCATCGTGTAATCTGATATGCGCATATCGCTGTATGTTTAGGGCGAAAGATATGAGGATATTTCCCACAATTGCCGTGACGATCCCAATCAGTGACGACCAACGTTGAATCTGAGAATCGCCGGTGATATATACATTTGGCTCAGTTATTGACGGATGTATCGGTATACTGAGAAAGGATATGGCCTCGGCATCAAGTTTCACGGTCGACAAATACATGACAGCGTCTTATTGAAGCTATCGGGATGATGATTTCACCCCACTCATAGTGTACAAGGTGCGTATTGCGATGAAGAAAAAACTTTGATCGATGAAGCGCAAAGTGTATGAATATGAACTAATATATCTGCCAATAAGCATATACAAAAAAAGAGAAGGTTTATCAGCTAGTATTAATCAAGTCAAAGTTTCGACGTCAAGAAGTTGGTTCACCTGGTTGTCGCATGAACTTAATAATTCTATTTTTGATCTGAGTATGAGAAACCTCGAAGCGCTCATTTTCGGATGTAAGACTGAGTACTTCTGGAGTCTGTACCTTGTATTACGGCGGGAAAACGGGTTTTCGCGTATCTATGACCGACCTGCCCCACTACTTCTCCACTGGACCCATAACAATCTGCGGAAGCTCTGTTCTCTGGGTATTCCATCCATCCTTCTAAAAAAGCTTCAAGGTTTGACGCCCTCATGTTTGTTTATTTGAATTGATTATATCCCCACCGTTCAGCTAATTGCCATTCCTTTTTGCCATTTCCTAAATACGACTACCGATAATATTCAAAGATCCGGTCGAGCCATGAGCGATGATGAAGATTTCCAGGTCGAAGGACCCGAACTGGCAGAAGATGATCCCATGAGAGCTTTCCTACCTACGTCTTTTGGTAAGAAATCAAAGGAAGCAGATGTAGCCGCCCAGATCAATAGAACAAAACGACCGGCAGAAGGAAAAGTCGATGCACAAACAGTGGCCAAGGAGGTTGAGCAACAGAAACAGGTGTCTGAGCCAGCGTCTAAGGATTGGGGCTCCGATGAAGATGATGAGGATTCAGATAGCGACGGGGGTTCTGAGGACGATGATGAATTTCCGACTTCTCACGAATTGGTCCTCAAAACGCATGATCGAGCAGTTACAACTACGACACTTGATCCTTCTGGTTCAAGATTGGTAACTGGTTCCAACGATTGTAACCTCAAGTTTCATGATTTCGCTTCTATGACACCTACTACTCTCCGATCATTCAAAAGCGTGGACCCAAATTATTCGAAGACATCAGCAAACTCCGAAACCCATCCTATAAACCATGTTGAGTTCAATCCACATGCCGGAGGAACATTTCTATGTATATCCGCGCACCCACAAGCGAAATTAATGAATAGGGATGGGGATGTTATCGGAGAGTTCGTGAAAGGAGATATGTATTTGAGAGATATGAATAATACGAAAGGGCACATTTCGGAAATTACTACAGGCACATGGAGTCCGACTGACAAGAATATTTGTGTTACGGCCGGCACGGATAGCACTCTACGAATTTGGGATGTCAATGTCAGGAGATGCCAGAAAGAGGTGATCGTGCATAAATCCAAAGCATCAGGGTCAGCCGGAAGGACAAGATTGACGGCAGTGGTTTGGGGAAGCCCCGCCCAGGGAGGAAACAATTTACTCGTGTCTGCTGCGCTTGACGGAAGTTTAGTGATGTGGAGTGGCAATGGACCTTACGCAAGACCAACCGCTGAGATTAGGGACGCCCATATACCGGATACTTGGACTGGTGGTATTGATATTAGTCCCGATGGGCGGATGATTGTTACGCGTGGCGGTGACAATCTCATCAAGCTTTGGGATACACGAAAGTTCAAAACTCCTATTGTGACGGTTCCACATCCCTCAACATCGGATGTGTATTCCGTTACTAACATTAAATATTCACCCAACGGCTCTAACATTATTACGGGCTCTGCATCGGGTCATCTTCATATTCTCAATTCAGGCAATCTCAAACCGGAACTCGTTACTCCCGTGACTGCTGGTTCTCCTCTCATCACGGTTCAGTGGCACTCCAAACTCAACCAAATTGTCACTGGCTCCGCCAATTCTGAAGTTCATGTTCTTTACAATCCGAGTAAATCAGTCCGAGGTGCCGTTGACGTAATGTCTCGTGCACCCAAGAAGCGCCATGTTGATGATGACCCCAATTTTACAACAGATCAATCTACGGGTATGTCAGGGGATAGCATCGTCACTCCAGGGGGTCTTGCGTCCAATACGTCAGCTACGTCCTTCGCTGCAAGACACCCTACCATTGGTTTGACTGCCTCTGGTCGCTCTCGAGATCCACGTCGACCTAATCTACCATTGGTTACACCTTTTGCGAAAAGTCAGCCAGATGAGAAGCATATTAATGAAAGTATCACATTGAGTAGTATGCGTGATGAAGATCCCAGAGAAGCATTATTGAAATATGCCGAGCTTGCTAAGAAAGATCCATTGTTTACGAATGCTTGGAAAGATACTCAACCTACAACTCAGTATGCTGAATTAAGCGATGAAGAAGATGAAGGGCCAGACAAGAAAAAGGTGAAGAGATGAATAAGTTCCATAATGAAAGATACCCGCATTACATGTATGATGTTAGAGTTACATCGGCGTTCGAGACAAGTCTTCGTGGAAAGGTCTATGGGGACGATCTAATCTAAGCAATGTTACGGCAAGTCTTTAATATTATCCCTGACACTAGAAGTAAGATACTCAAACCAGGTTCCCATCACATAGATCTCGAGCTTACGATGCTCACCTCGTCCAAACAACTTCTTGTCATAGGAAACGATAATCACCGAGATTTCAATGGTTGAAAAGAACAAAAGTGGCGCAACTCGGGATATATATCCACGCCAGTTGCCCATGTAAGGATTTACGTGAGTGGCATCAATTTTCATGGATGCCGCTTTAAACAGGAATGTATTTACTAGGTCCGTAGTATTCAGAAAATGTACTTGTATATGTCCTGACTTTACCATAAATACTCATTCTACTCGATGCTGCTGTTTTGCTGTGGTTGTCAATTGATTGTAAGAGACGGGAGCTCATTGAAGTTTTCCTCACTCTCATATAACCCAGTCTTATCCATCTCAGCTTAACATTCACTCTTATCCCATCCCCCGTCGCCTTCCCCACTTCATTCGCTTCGCTTTTTAACTTCACCTCCGTCTCAACTCCTCACTGCCCTCTTACTTCACTTCCAACATCCCCGTGCACCGGAGATTGTTGCATATCTGCATATCTGAAAAATGATATGAATCAGGAACACCGTCTTGTCACCCAACGCCGTAGACATATTCTGGTAATTATGTCGACTTGGAAATAATGAGTGTGTTTGCGTCTAATTCCCGGCTCAGTATAACATAACGGACGGCTGCCTGGAAAGGGGTGTAGAGAAATTCAAAATTCAGACGTGCAACAACCAACACTAAGAGTTTCCATCTCCTTTTCCCGTGCTCAAAATCCATCAAGAGATACTTAGCCATGATGATTCTGCGCCCAGAATTGAATTTCTTCACTTTGCTTTTCCAATTTGGTATCTCGATGGAAACAGCAGGCAGGGTATTCACTTTTACAGCAGAATATCTTTGAACAATAGGCAGCAGACGAGTCACAACCTACCTACTTGTGTAATCGGCCTGGCAACTTTTATATTCATTCATAGCTATCAATCATACCTTTGCCTCAATAATTAAAAACTTCTCTGCGAGCTTTTCAATGAGTCAACCCGCATTTGGATTTGGAGAAGTCTTTAAAACTGCACTCCCGACTTCTTCTTCTGAGGAAAACAGTCGCGCAACCGCAAATCCTGGTCTTGTATCCAACTCCAAGTTCTTCGCAACAATTTCTACAGCCGACAAACCAAACGTACATGAAAACTATTCATTTGCAAGTACGGATACCAGTTCTTTACTTCGACTTCCATTCGTTGGTATGGCCGAAGAGGATACAAAGATGGGAGGTACGGTTTCTGTCGCGCAGCAACATCAAGAGATTCTGCATAAAGATTTTGCACCATCGACTTCATCTAATTCAGAAGCTGATTTAGATGTTGATATGGATGCTACTCAGGACGAGTCTTCAAGTTATTCTATATCATCTCAATCTGAGGAGTCCTTTGCGGAGTCCTTTGCGGAGTCCTTTGCAGAGCAGCAAAGCACAAAGCTAATGATGCAAAGCTCTGCATTGATGGAACCGATGGCCACTCAGGATCAACCCCAATCTCAGTTTATGAAAATCTCCACGATGGAGGAAATGAACCTCATAGGTCCTCAACTGTCATCGCCTTCTTCGTCCTTTCCTTCGCCAATTATAAAAGCTAGTTTGGATATTGATACGGATCCTGCTAAGGACGAGCCCCTGACTTTATCGGCTACATCCGAATCTGCAAAGCTGCCAGCGATTTTGGCCAATCTTCCACCGCTCCCTGGACAAATTAAAAAAGTCGAAAAAGCTACCGACGATTTTATGCCAAATAATCCCTCAGATCTTTGCAAACCAAGCTACCGTGCGTATGAAAGTATGTGTGAAGTCTTCGTAGAAAAGGCTGAAATGCTCAAAGCTGGAAATATCAGAGGATTTATCTGTCACCTTGACTTCTCTCTCGAAACATTGCCATTATTACGTGCGCCAATAATGAAGGCTCTGGAAAATGTAGGAAAAGCCTTTGACGAGTCAAAAAACTCTGTATGAAGCCTCTTTTATTCCCGATGTGTTCTTTGCTAATATTGTTTTTAGGATTCGTTGCAACCAAATGAGATGTCCAGGGAGGAAACTAAATTAGTTACAACTTCCAAGTCCGGTTCTGATCATAGAAACACAAATGCTGCAATGGCAAGTCAAATCGGCAATAATAATTCTAAACAATACTAATACATCTGCAGGAACGAGCTTTATTACCTTTTGCTTCCATGGCATCTGATTACATCAGAACCAAATCGCTCTGCAAAGGAGGTACCTCATCCCTTCATACCTACGAAGATTGGCACATTCACGAAATTTCCGAATGCAAGATCAAACATGAAGAGGAAATTTACCCCAACGGCTTTAATCCAAAATTAATGTCCATCTTCAAAAAATGCAGCAAGCGACGTCTTCGGAGCGAGAGACGTAAATTGTGGAGTGAACAGGCTAGAAAGGGATCAACGCATGTGCATAGAAATCCATTTTTATCCGAATCTTTCATCAAAGAGTTCGGAGGCGAGAGGTACAAGGAGTTGGAGAATCAGGCCGAGATAGATTTTTTGAGGAATGCGGCGTATCGGGAGATTACTAGTCGAAAAGTTGGAGATCTCTATTATAGGAAGAGGAGAAGTTTCTTTTTGGAAAAGAAAAGGAATCCTTCGCCTTTGAGGAAGGAGTTGAGGAAATTTCAAGGTTGTTGGGTTTCGGAGGAGGTTATGTCGGCGAAGGTGGGGACCGGGATAATGGGGTTTGAATATGGGGGTGTTGGGAAGAGGAAACGTAGATTGGATGTGGATGTAGATGTAGATGTTGATGGGGAGGAGGTAGGAGATGAACAAAGAAGTTACAAAGCTAGGATGGAAGCGAGGAGATTGGAAATTTGTAATAGGGAAATTAGGGTGAAGTCTTCAGAGATACAGAGAGTAAGAGAGAAGGAAAATGAAAATAAAAAGAAAAAGAAGAAGGAACGCGAAATTAGGAGGAAAGAGAGAAGAGAGAGGAGAAATAGAGAAGTGGATCGTGAGAGGTGGGAAAATAGAGAAAGGTCTGCGTGTGGTGTTACTCAGGCTTGGATTGATTTGGGGGTTGAGATGGGAAGGGTTGGGGGTTGGGAGTGAGGGTCTGGGTGGTTTGAGTTGCAATTGGGATTGGGATTAGGAGGCTTTGTTGATTGATTGATGGTATGAAGGATGCGGATGGATGAATACGAATGAGGATTTATGCGGATAATATATACATAATTACATATATAAATATCAATATTGCTCTGAATACCTATCTAACCTTACCTTACCTACAGAGCTTTAAATTTTTGATATATACCTACATGTAACGTTCCGGTACTATCGGGCAGCGGCTGCCTGAGGTTCGTCTGGTTAGTAGTTGTAGATTAAGGCTTTATCACAGTTATTCACTTGAAAGTGAAATCATTATTAGATCAAATAGAATATAAATAATTGATAACTAAATTGAATACAAAGCTTCTACACTATGAAATAACTACTGATTATATAATAATTCTAATTCTAAGGATAATCTAAATAATTCGATTATCTATACTATCCATTATATAAAGAATAATCTAAATAATACAGCTTATTCATACTATCCATCACATAATCTAATCCTTCAAACTGTTCGTCCCAGAACACTAATCCCGAGATCCTTCCCTTAAAACTCAAACCTCAGGATACTATAACCCCTAGGACTATTGTCTTCTTTTATCTAATTAATCAAAACACTTATCTTAAAACTTTTAAACTCCTAATTATATATAATAAAAGTTCTCTATAATTGATAATTAAATCCTTGATATTTATATTATTATAATTATAAATTTATAACATTATATAAGCGAAGTTAAATCAGTTATTATTTTTTTAATTTTAATAAAATTTAATAAAATTTTATATCTTTATTAATAATTTTATAAATTATCTTTTTATAAAAATCTTATTAAATATTATTTTATATTAAAAAAGTTATAATTAATTGAATTGAATGATTTATTAAATTATTTAAATTTTAGTAACTTTAATAACTTTATAAATAAATTTTATATTTAAATTAAATATTTCTTTTTCAAATTAATTAAAAATTAATACTTTAACTATTATATAAAAAAGATTTTAATAAATGAAATTTAAATTTTATAAAATTATTAAAGTATCTGAGATATTTTAATATTAACAAAATTATTGTTTATTTTTTATTTATTTATTTTAAAAAAGAAAAAGAAAGAGAAAAAAAAATATATAATTGTTATAAAATTATTTTATAGAATGTTACAAGGTAACAATCAATCTATCTCTATAAGCTTTGATCTTATTGAAAAGCAAAATAATTTGTATACAAATTTATATAACAATTATTTTGTATAATCTCTTTATCTTCAATAAGTTTGGATATATAATCTGATCTTAATTATATGATAAAGTTTTCAAAAGTATAGGCTTTTGTAGGCTCCTTAAAGCCTTTAGGAATATAGATTCTTGAAGATTCCTAAAATGGATTAATATATAATCAAAATAGTTTTATAGTTTAGAAGTTTTATATTCAATTTAGTTATTAATTAGTTTATCTATATTCCAATTGATTTAATAATATATTTATCTTCGAATAAATAATTAGTAATTATTAACTTTAATCTATAATTATCAATTATACAAAAATCTAAAATAATTGTTATCTCGATCAAATCATTACATTTTGAGTATCATTATAATTAAGTTATATATAATATAATAACTTCTAATTAGTAATCTATTGAATCATTTTTATTCAATTCAATTGAAGCTTTTATTCAGATTGTTGTTATTATAAAATACAAATAAATAATTTAGATATCTATTCTTAATCTATTCTATAAAGATTATAACAAATATTAAACTTTTGTTATATAAATTAATCTTTATTATATTTTTAACAAATAACTTTTCTTAATTTTTATATAAAGGATTTTATAATTGATCTTTTTTTTCTAAGGAATTGTATTTAATTAGATTGAATTATTCTTTAATAATTTAATAATTAAAATTATCGATAATCAATTGAACAAAAGTATAAAATCTAAGATTCATTATCTATTCTTTAATTATGAATCGTTTAAATAAAGATTCGATAGAATATTCGAAAAAGTAGACTTCGATTATATAATTAAAAAAATATTATAATAATTTAGATAGATTAGATCAATCACAATTTATATTACCAAATTTCAATAATATATTAAATATATTATTTGGGATGATAATTATCTAAAATCGTAATTTTATAAAGGATTGAAAGATATTATCAAAAACAAATTAATAAGAACTCTGAAACCATTTAATCTTTCCGAATTAATCAAAATCTTTATTTTTATTGATAATCGATTCTATAAACGATAAATAAAAAAGAAAGGAATCATTTAGGAAAATAGGAAGTTTCAAAAACCTTATCATTAGAATAAGTATTATAATACCAACGATCCAATAGAATTGGATAATATCGAACGATATTATATGAAATCAAATAATTTAAATATTAACAAAAAGAAGAAATATAGAAAAAATAATTTATATTTTATTTATAAAAAAAGTAAATATATATCCCAAGATTATTCTCAAAAAAAGAAACCATTTATTATAAAGAATAGAAAACAAATAAGATTTGGAAATAGAAAATAAAATTCTCGAAAAATAAGGATTTTAGAAAGAAGTTCGAAGAAAATGGGATTATTGAAAAGAGATCTATTTTAATTTAATCTCGAATAATTAGAAGAATTGAATATCAATAATCAAAATTCTAAAATTAGTATTAAGAATAATATCGATTATAAAAAAGAATCTTTAGAAGATTTCGAATCAAAAAACAAAAAACCAATTAAGGAATTCGAAAAGGATTAATGATTAATTGAATTCTATTATTTGTTTTAAGAAAATGAATTATAATATCTAATCAATTATTTAAATAAGAAATGGATATAATACTATTATAGAAAAAAGAAACCTGATTTCATCAAAAAATATAGAATTTATAATTATTCTATTTTGTTAGTATTCTATATAGTAATATATAATAATATTTATTATATAATATTTAAAGAAAATATTAAAATAAACAATATTAAAAGATATATTACAAATATAAATTTTCCATTTTTCAATAAAGTATAAGAAGATAATAAATATAATCTAAAAGTTAAAAATGTATAAAAGATTTTATTACAAATTAAGATTTATTATATTTAATAAAGAATCAATAAAGATAATAAAGAAATATTAAATCAAAATTATTATCGAAATTTTCAAATAAAATTAATAGAATTATTATTTATTATACTTTATCGATTATTGAATATAAATAAATATCAATAGGAATAATTGAATCTTTTTATTAAAGAACAAATTATCGAATCATTATCATTAAAACTTAATAATACTATAAGAATCGAATAACTAATTGTAAAAATCAAATTAAAGAATCAACAAACAAATGTTTTGATTGATTTCGAAATTATAGATATATTCATAAATCCCAATTTTACTAAAGAAAATAGAATTCCTACAAAATTAAAACAAAATCTTTATCAATTGATATTATTAGAAAGAAAGAAAACTGGAATTGATAATTGAGTATATAAAGAAATTAGTATTATCAAAATGATTATATTAAATAGATATACCGAATAAATTAAGATAGATTTAATATTATTAAATAGATATATAATTGTTCTTGGTATTTTATAGATTAAGAAATACAATCCAAATATCGATTGAGTAAAAGATACCTTAATATTTGATTGTTATAATTGCAATAACAAATGATTATATAATCCAAAGGAATAGATTTTTGAAAGATTGGATATTATATTATAACAACAACAAATCCTTTATTGATTGATAGAATTGATGAAAAAGAAATTCTAATACAATATAAAAGATTTATCAAGCTTTTCGAAGATCTTCAAGATTTGAAAGCTTTATCAGAATATAAGTTTTAGGATTATAAGATCAATTTTAAAAAGGGATTTATATTCCTTATTGAAAAATTGAGATTATACAATTTTAATATTATACAAATATAAAAAGAATATAGAATCAAAATTGAAAAGAAAGAATAGATTAAGAAATCTAAATTCTTTTGTATATCCAATATATTATTAGTATTTAAAAAAAACGATTTAAATAATTAGTTTTATAAAGATTATTATCGAATTAATAATGAAATAATCAAAGATATATACCTAATATCAAAAGCTTAAGAATTTAGAGATAAATTGAATAGAATTATAATTTATATAAAATTAGATTAAAAAAATGTTTTCAATTTGATATAAATAAAAGAGGATTATAAATAAAAAATAATCTTTATTTTATTATTAAATTTATAAAAATACACAATCATATTATTCGAGTTAATCAATATATTAGTTATATATCAATAGCAAAATAATAAGATATTCAAGAAATTTAATTCGTTTATAATCTATTATTTAAATAATATTCTAATCTTCTCTTAAAAAAAAAAAGAATACAAAGAATATATATTGAAAGTATTCGAAATATTCAGAAAAGTAGATTTAAAACTCAAATTATCGAAATACGAGTTTGGAATACAAAAAATAACATTTTTAGAATATATTATTCAATTAGAATAAATGAATATAAATTTTAAGAAAACAAAGAAAATAAGAAACTAAAAAAGATTCAGGAATATCAAAGATATACAATTTATATTAGGATTTATTAATTTCTATCGAATATTTATAAAAGATTTCTCGAAAATAATAGAACTCTTTATCGAAATAACCAAAAAAGAAATAACTTTTATATAAAATGAAAAAACGAAACAGATTTTTCAAGAAATCAAGAACAGATTTACAAGGGAATTTATTCTCTATAATTATTATAATAATCAAGAAAGTATTATTGAAATAAATATTTTTGATATTTATATAACAAAAATTCATTTACAAAAAGACAATAACAAAAAACTATATTTTATTATTTATTATTCGAATAAGATAAATAAAATAAAACAAAATTATAATATTTATAAAAAGGAATTTATAATTATAATAAAAATATTAAAATATTAAAAAATCTATTTTCAAAGGATTAAATTCCTAATAATCATTTATATTGATTATATAAATCTTCGAACTTTTATTATCATTAAAATCTTGAATAATCATAGATTAACTAAATAGATTAAAAAACTAACAAAATTTGATTTAATAATCAAACATATCAAAAAAAAGAATAATACAAAAACAAATATTTTAAACAAACCATCAAATTACAAAAACAATAAAATTTATTAAGAAATAATAATCTTGAAATCTTTATCAAATAAAGATCTTATCTTTAATCTAATAGAAATCATTATTATAGAAAATAAACCAACAAAAATCTAAAAAGATAAATTTATGAAAATATAATAGAATAAAGAAAATATCAAATAATTGAAATCATCAATAATTATTGATAGATTATTTCGAATAAAAAACAAAATATAATTATTAAATAATATCGCTTTTGAGTATATTATAAAACAATATATATTATCAATTTATAAATATCAAAGAATATAAAAAACATATTTAAAAATCAAAAGGTAATATTGAAATCCAAGATTCTATAATATAATTAAAAAAATGATTATCAAATATGATATCTATATTAGAAATAAAACTTCTTATTATATTCTTTATAAATAGATAAACATTATCAAAATACTATTTATATTATAGAAATCAATATTATAAAACTTTATAAATCTATTATCAAAATCTAAAGATTTAATAATAAAAATAATATATAATTATTTTCTTATTATAATAAATAGATTAACAAAATACCTAATATTTATACTATATTAGATAATATTAATTACAGAAATACTAACCTTTATATTCCTAAAAAAGATTATTATAATATATAGATTATTAAAAAAAATACTTTTTGATAAAGATAAACTCTTTATATCGAAATTTTGAATCGTTTTAATAATATTATTAAAAATAAAGAAAAAAATGTTTATTATATTCTATTTACAAATCAATAAAAAAAACAAAAAAGTAAATCAAATTATCAAAGTTTACCTTCAATACTATATAAATTATCAATAAAACAATTAAATAAAACTTTTATTCTTAATATAATTTGTATATAATAATTCAATATCAAAAACAATACAAATCACTTCGAATTATATCAACTATAAATACAAACTAATTGTATATTATAAATCAAAAATTATAAAAATAAAAAATCAATTTGCAATAATATAAACAAAAAGATTCAAAAAAGTTTATAAGAAAATAACAATAAAATTGAAATTCATTACCAAAAGAAATATATATTATTACAATCAGAAATATAATCAAAAACCAATATTAAAAAAAAAAAATAAAGTTTATTTATTTCAAAAAAACATCAAAACAAAAAGATCTAATATAAAATTGGATTACAAGAAACTCGAATTATTCAAAATCAAAAAAGTTAAAAGATCCTTAAATTATAAATTAATATTACCAAAAAGTATAAATATATATCCAATATTTTATATATCTTTACTCAAATTAACATCTTTAAAAGTATTTAAAACTCCTGAAACAGAAATCATATTTATAAACCAAAATACCAAATACAAAATAAAAAAGATACTAAATTATAAATATATTAAAAACAAAATCAAATATTTAATGAAATAAAAAAATTACCTCGACTCCGAAAATATATAAAAACTTGAGAAAGAAATTAAACATCTAAAGAAATACTAAAAGTTTCATCAATAAAATCCAGATTTACTTAAAAAAAAAAAGAATTCATTATTTCCTATAAAAAAGAATCGAAAGAATTGAATTCGTTTATAAGAATTTCATTGGGATTGATGAAATCAATTAATAATTGATCAAATTGATTAAAAATTAATTAATCAAATTGATTAAATTAACCAAATTGATTAAATTAACCAAATTGATTAGAAAAATCGGAATTAATAACGAACATTGAGAATACAACAATTTTCTTTTTTTCTTTTTTCTTCTTCTCTTTCAAAATATCCAATTCATTAAGATATTTGAGATCTTGTTCAATTATCTTTTTATAATGATCTTGTAAATAATTTTATTGTTTTCGGAAATGAAGAATTTTAATTATAACCTTTTCTTCTTTTTTACAAAGTTTTTCTTTTTGTTTATCTAAAAATTCTTAATTATTTATTTGAGGAATTTTCTTATTCTAATCATCTTTCAAATACTGTTCTATATTGTAAAGAGTACAAAATTATATATATTCGAAATAACAAGTTTTTTATAAATTATTCAGAATTTTTATATAATAAAGATTCTTTGTATAACAATAGATATACAAAATCATCTTGATATTAGAATTCTCGATTTTAATTATAAAACAGGATTTTTCCTTGTTTTTTCGATGAATTTTATTAAATTATAAATTATTTATAATAAAGAAAAGGATTAAGATATAAAACAATGAAAAACTAATAAATCATATATTAATTATAAACAATCAAAAACAATATTTAGTTAAGAAAAGGATAATATTACAAAATCATTTTATAAAATATTACAAAATAATAATCAATCTATCTTTATAAACTTTGATTTTGTTGAAAAACAAAACAATTTGTATACAAATTTATATAATAATTGCTTTATATAATCTTCTCACCTTTAATAAATTCAGATATATAATCTAATCCTAATTACATAATGAAACCTTCAGAAATATAAGTTCTTGTAAACTCCTTAGAACTTTTAAAAGTATAGATTCTTGAAGGCTCCCAAAATGAATTAGTATATAATCAGAATAGTTTCATAATTTAGAAGCTTCATACTCAACTTAATTATCAATTAATTTATCTATATTTCAATTGATCTAATAATATATTCACTTTCGAATAAATAACCAATGATTATTAATCTTAATCTACAATTACCAACTATACAAAAACCTGAGGCAGCTGCTGCCTCGACCAGATCGTTACAATAATAATAAATAAATAAATAAATACTTAATTCAGTTTAATCTCTTTAATATTTATATAGATAATTATAATAAAGAATTGTTATATTATTTATAATGATAATTTATAACCTTATAATGGAATAATAAAAACTAATTAAAATAAAAGATTTTTTTAATAAATACAGTAACCGTACACTGCTACTAGTTATAGACTCTTTTTATATCAAAACTCACTTTTTTCATTTATTAATATTAAAAGAACTCAATATTTTTTAAAGAAATCCTTTAATATATTTAAAAAGATTCATTTAAAGATTTTATGTTTTTGATTTTTATAAATTTTAATAATTAATTCATAAAGTTGTATAATTTTAAATTTTAGATTTTAAAATTTTCCTTATTTTACTGCAAAAATTGAATCAAAATTTCATATAATCATTTTCAAACTTAATTATATTATTTTGAAAATTTCAAAAAATAATCAACTAATTTTTTATTATATATTCAATTCGAAATAATCCAATTTTTCAATTTCAATTATATTTTTATAATAATTAAAATTGTTTTAATTTTGTAAAATGGTTAAGGTTTAGTATGAAAAGGTCATTCGGCTAGTAGTAGTGCGCTAGTACTGTAATTAATTTAAATAAAAAAATAATTTTTGAAAGTTTTATTAATTTATAATTTCTTATTAAACTTACTATTCATCTAGATTAAGATTTCCTTTTCACGGGCTAATATTTATTAATCTATTAATCTATTGGTCTTTTGGTCTATTAGGGTCACTGGTGGGGTTCAGCAAGCTACTCGAGTACTTACTGAGTGGTATTTTACTTATATAAAACTTTAAGAAACGTGCTGTAGGAACGGTGGTTTGTTGTAACCTTTGATTTTTATTATATAGTATATACCTAGGTAATTATAATGTGTTGATTTTGTGTGTATAAAAGGAAGGTTGTTGTTGAGATTAGTTACTTGTTGATATATAATTAACTGGCAATTCATAGTTTACAACATACAACATATTAACATACATCACATCATACATCATACATCATACTGATATACTAATATAAACTTTTTCAACATACGACATATCAACATACCAATATTCACTATACCAGCATCCCGGCATACACTATATCAACATACATCACACGTACTTACAAAATACCAACAAACAATACACCCAAACACCATCACATCCAAAAGCCCTCAAACCCAACCCACTTCCACCCACTTCCACCCACTTCCACCAACTACCCCCAACTACCCCCAACTACCTCCAAAATGACAAACCCAAATCACGAACTCAAAGAACTAAAAAAAATCCTCACCTCCACACAAACCCAACTACGCGAACTAATCCAGCGTCACAATTCCCAAATGAAGCAACTCCGCACCCAAAAGAAAACCCTCCAATCACACATTACGGAACTCGAAGATGAACTTGCAGAAAGTAGAGCTGATAATGATGGTTTGGTACTGCGGTGTGAAGAACTAGAGTATAAGAATTGGAGTATTTTCCATTCGGGGGATGTGATTTTTGATGAGAATTATGTGCTTAGGGTTGAGAGGGAGGGGTTGGTTGCAGAGAGGAGGGATTTAATTGAGGAGAAGAGGAGGTTGGTTGAGGAGAAGGAATGCTTGGTTGAAGAGAAGGAAGTTTTGGTTGTTGAGAAGGAAGTTTTGGTTGTTGAGAAGGAAGTTTTGGTTGTTGAGAAGGAACGGTTGGTCGAGGAGAAAGAACAATTACTTCTCGAAAACCAAGAACTCGAAAATTCTCTTGATCAAGCCAAAAACGAAAAATCAGAAGCCAAAAAATCTGCAAAGAAGCATGAAACAATAAACATAACCTTAACCAAAGAACTCAAATCACGAGGAAAGAAATACTTAGCTCAAAAACAAGAATGGAGAATACAAAAACAGGAATTCATCACACAGAAAACAGAATGGGAAACAGAGAAAAATGAATTCATTGCAGAGAAACAGGAATGGGAAAGTTATGAAGATAAGTTGAGAGCGGTGGTCGCTTCTTTGGATAAAAAGGGTTGGGATTTATTGACTACTTTGTTTGCTTTTGGGAAGAGTGATGATAAGGTTTGGGTTGGTAAGATGGATGAGAAGATTGTGGGGATGGTGGGAGAGTCGGGCGAGATGCTTGAGATGATTTTTGAGAGACGTGGGGGAATGAGGAGGTGTTTGTTGGATGAGGTGGTTTGGGAGGCTGAGGATGAGCAGGTTGGTCCTGAGGATGAACAGACTCATGGTGTGAATGGAGATCTTATGATGGCGGGTAGTGAGGAGGATCTTTAGGGGTAGGTTTGCTGGTCTGGCAGCAATCTAAACTTTTTTTTAAAATATAGCATCGGGACTACCCCTTGTAAGTAGTCATCAGATTTAATCTGCTGTTCCAAATTTATATATTTGTTTTATCCTTTGTGGCAATAAGTCTGAAGTAGATGTATCCGAGTAGTCTCGAGTAAAGATAATGTTGAGCAACTTCCATTTCACGAATGATAACTGTCAATGATAGTATACCATTTGACATGCGAGTTTCCACCTTTCAATATTTATTGTCCACTTGGGCCAATGATTATGAACATGACTCTGTGTGCAATTGTCACAGTATTTACATGAAGCCTTGAATTTCGACTGCATTACTTCATCCTCAGCACTTGGGAGATATGTGATGAAGAAAAGGGCTGTTTGCCAAACCAAACCTCTTCTTCAAAATAATGATATTGGTAGATGGATATATATGGGGTCAAGTGCATCACTGGCTTACACACAATTCCGGTATATAACTTAGCACCAATCCAGTGGATCTTAACATTTTATGAGTTTCAGGAAGTCTGTGGGAAGAAGCCACCTGGCTTGAAACGAAAATAACTAAAGTGGTCATCGAGACGCGAATGAACCAATGGAAGAGATGATAAAATCTGCTTGATTCAAAAGTCTGATAGGTCGAACTTTGGAAGTAAAAGCTTTTGTTGCACATCTTATTTTTGGCCCGGATGACTTTCCGTCCAATATTATATTGATCCATCTCATATAGATGTTGAGATTTGCAACAAAACCTTCCTGGTACACCTATCTCATGTACAATGACACTTTAATAGATCCACCTTTGAATTAATAGCATCCGAGATCTTAAGAAGTATTAGTGTAGCCTTAAAGGCCAGAGTCCAGATGGTGGAAACTGATGATCATCATGATGACTTGGTAGGTATGATGAGGATTTTAAATATGGAGCAGAGGATCTAGACAAGTTTGAGGATAGCAAACTAACCTGCTTGTTATCCCTATAAGAGAGTTCTTTCCACTCATCAATATGATTACTGACAATCTTTTATGTTATATTGTTCTTCTCATCCGCATCTCAACCACTTCCATTCCCTTGGCCATGCGAACGAGATATCCCGTCCCCGGTTCTTGACTTGGAATAGGAAAATGTTTCAGACAACAATTGCAGTTGAAACCAACTAAACACCGGGGACAGACTGGGCGGGGATACCGGGGAGAAGTGATGCTACACGTTCCATTTGAAATATATGAGGTAGGACCACTTTCTCACATTATAGAAATTCAAAAAGATCCAGTTCGATAATGTGGCGCTGAAATAGATGTTCTCGAAGGTTAAATGTCACCAATGAGAGAAATTGACGAGGAAGCCACAGCGTAGTGTTTAAGTACTGGTTGATGACTTGCGAGACTGATGATACTTGGACCATTGAAAAAGGTCCATTTATCTAGGCTATGCATAAGTGGCGTTTCAAGAATTTCTGCATGTACGGAGTAGAGTTTAGTCTGTAAGGTACATTACATTATATTATGAGGTAAGCAAGATCCATATCTATATCCATAACCATACACATATCCATACTCATATCTATACTCATATCCATACACATATTCATACACATATCCATACCCATATCCATCTCCATATCTGCGTTGTGCAATCATGTCTCATGTCTCATGTCTCCAACAACCGTGGAAGTAAAACATGATTCATCGTTGGATCACTGGTGGATGTAAAAGTGTAATGATCATCTCTTTTGCACAACGCAATAAAATGACACGTGCTAGATGAATTGAGGTTGGAATAAATCTTAGCGTCGTTTTGCTGTCAATCACGTGGGATGTACGGAGTCTTGTGCTTATTGGTCAAAGCGCCAAGCGCCAAAAACTATCGACCCCTCGTAACCAGCCTCCTCAAAAATGGATATTCTTACCTTGTTCCATATGCAAGACGTGAATCATTGGATCATTGGATCATAATGTTGCATCCAAACTTCACTGCCACGTCTTTGCTCAATCAGTCCCAAGACTGACTCCCTAGGACGAACTCTTAGCTCTCCTACAATCGTTCGTTATATTGCTACAATTCCTTCCCCAGAATTAACTTTTTAGCAGGACTCGAATATCCATACTTCTCAACCATGTATCATCATACTCCCGAATCACTATTACCTCGAACAGACTCGAAAAACCCGAATTCAACATGTCATGGTTTATCATCGAACGGAAAGCCATGTCGAAGAGGTCTCTCTAAATCTCCACATAGTTCACCGAGTCCGAGTCCTTCAAGAGGAGCATTAGGTCCAGATGCATTTTGCTGGCAACATAAAGATCAAGCTGGACAAGCGGCTCCACCTATTCAACCTCGACCAAATGCCCTCCGTGAACGGTCTAGCGTAGACACATTAGTGGAAAGATTGGGACTCCTTGAAGTTGACCAGAAGAAAAATAAAGGAAAACAACGTCAAACTGGAGAAGAGAATCGCGGCAGACGACCCGGCTCAAATAGCGCTTTGAGAAACGAGCAGCAACATGTCGACAGCCATGTAAGACCTCAAAGGCAGCAACAGGCACAAGAATGGCAACAAGCACAAGCACAAGCACAAGCACATCAATTACAAGAACCAGGAGGACAAGAACATCATGATCCGTCTTTTACAAATGGTGGTCGAACGAGACGCAAAAGAAGTAATCTGGAATTATTATGCTGTGGGGAGCCGGATGATTCAGATGCACCAAGACCACAACAAAAGATGCATGAAGGACCTTCTTCCTCTCACGTACCAAGTTCTCACACGTCAGATCACCTCGATGTGCCCTCTCATTCAACTCGACCTTCTTCCAGACCAAACACATCTTCATCAAGACCTTCACATTCTAAACAGCCTGAAATGCTTCAGCGTCCTACTATGGATCGGGATCCATCTTCAAGAACGGGGGAACTTCTAGCTCACATCCCTTCATCAGCAAGCCCACAGACAACAGCTGCATTACTAGCAGAATTAGCAAAACCAATTTCCGATGCTGATCTTCCTGGATTTATATATATGTTCTGGTTGACTGATGAAGGATTACCTACCGGACCTTCCGATGAAGCTGCTGGTTCTCTTTTAGCACCAACTACAAGATCGGGGTCTGGCCATCGACGTACTTCTGATGTCCTTGAATCCTTTACTTCTGCTCCACCAGACAAAAAAGAAAAAACAATGCTTCTAAAGATTGGTAGAGCTGAAAATGTTTTTGCGAGAATGCAACAATGGAAAAAGCAATGTGGTTACAACCTTGCATTAATTCGATACTACCCTTATCATGATTCTTCAAAACAACCATCGAGAAATCCTAGTGAAAATGATGGTCCTAAGAAGGTTCCAAATGTACACAAGGTGGAAAGATTGATTCACATTGAATTAATGGCCAAAAGAGTGAATTGTGGAAAGTGCAAAACATGTGGGAAAGAGCATAGAGAATGGTTTGAAATAGATGCGAATAGAGATGGAGTGACGATGGTGGATGAGGTTATTAAACGATGGGTAGACTGGGCTGAGAAGGATGAAGCTTCTAGACATGGACATAGATAGAGCATAAAGTGCTAGATTAATACGGTATTATAATAATCAATTCTCATTACATTATTACTGCAATTCTCGAACGTTCATTTATATGACCATTTTATCAATGTTCTGTTTTCATTTAGGCATAGAAAAGTTTCACATTCAACATAGATGGATTGTATTGAAGGCAAGTGCCGATTTTGACTTATGGCCAATTATACGCTAGTATTTTTTACCACTGCTAGCTTAAAATCAACTCCTAAGTTACGCTACGCCCCTATAATAAATATACTCTACCCCTTTGATATCACTCGCGTAATCTGATGCAAATAGTGTTGTGTCTTTGTTGCAAGGCAAAAAGCTACCAGATAATTAATCAGAAGGAAAATGATCTTGAAATTTCTAAACCTGGGAAATGAGATTCCGATAATGATTATGGTGAGGATGGTGATGTTTGTGGCGATGTTTGTTAAGTTAAGAGATCATAAATAGGTTTCTTAAGTGATTAATACTCTAATTAGTGGAATACCAGAAGTAAGTGGTTATTTGTTTTGGAGAGTTCTGGTGGGTGGTTTATTGGGGATGTGAATCAGTGAGGCATTAGGTAAGATCTTAATTAAAGAAGATTGTTGTTGGTTTGCTTGCTAATTATATATATATAACCTTAATTAGAACCTCTTCTAGGATTATATATTATTTGTGATGATTCATGCCAAAAAAAACAGGGATTATGTTTGAATGGAAGTGTTTGTTTGAAAGGTAGATGGTGATTAAGATTCATCATCTTTCTTTGCTGTGTGTGGGTGGAATGACTGTGAATAAATCCATCATGTATGCATGTAGGAAGGAGATATTGGTCCATTGTACATATGAAGTGTTATGAATCTGATATTTTGATGTTTGGGTGTTTACAATCAGCGATTATTTAATTATTTATATTTTCATTCACAATGTTCACAATGTACGTAATATGTATTATCAACGAAAAAATAAACTTCAAGTGATGTATAAAAGAATAGTCTTTTTCTTCTTTAATTCTTTTATATTTTTATACAAATATTCAAACTCAAAACCAAAACCAAATCTACAGATAAATCAATATACCAATCTCTGTAAAACTTCAAGTCTTCTCACCCATCACCATTATCACATCCCAAAATCAAAATGTCCTACTACTACCCCTATCCCTATCCCATCTACTCCTACCCCATCATCCCCAGCACCCCCATAGTCCCCCTCTACCAACCCCCAACAATAACCACCATCTCCACCCCCATAATCCAGCAAACACCAGGCTGGAACCCAATCCACGGACACGATACCGGTTCTTCACCACCTGGAGTGGGAAATAGAGTAGTAGGTTTGGCGACTGGTATGTACTATACTTCGGTGAGCTCACACGAGTGCATTTCCATGTGTATGCTTGGGTGGTAGAGTGGGCTAATTTGGATGTAATAGGTTTGGCGATACCGATAGGGGGGAGTGCGTTGGTGCATACTGGGACGCATGTGGGGGTGCAGTCTGCGGGTTTGTGTGGGAATTGTGGGAATGGCAATGCGAATGGAAATGGAAATGCGAATGGAAATACGAATGCCAGTACAGCAACAAATGCGTCTGCAAATAATTCATCACCTCCTGATCCGGCTCCGGGAACTCAACCTGGATCTGGATCTGGATCTGGACCTGAACCCTCCGCTTCAAAAACTAACTCTAAATCTATCCTCAAACCAACATTATCACCAACTTCCAACCGATCATCATCGTCATCGCCATCCTCTCCTACGAAATCTAAATCGAAAACTGGACTTGAACCTCCGCTTAATATTCTGTCTCATGCTAATACGAATGCGAATGCGAATTCTGGATCATCTTCATAATGATCAACGAATAGTCGGATTTTAGTTTTGGTCAAAAGATCTTGGCCTTTTTTGTTCGTTTGTTTGCGCAAGGATGAAGATTTATTTCATCATTATATCGATGGTTTTGGAGGGATGTTGAATTTATGAGTAGGGTTGGGGAGTCGGATAGGTGTTGGTTTTTGGTTGAAGGGTGGGGGGGTTTCCGTTGGAGAGTTTATATTGAGATTAGGAAGCGAGTTTTTTATCGATGGGTTTTTGATTATAGAGGAGGGTAGAGATAACAGAAGAGTGAATAACAATGCGTCGTTTTTATCTGAATCTTGCGATGGCGTGAAAAGTGTTAGATAGATATACTCGAGCAATCAAAATGATGTTTACTGGTGGTTTCATCTATTTGTACGAAGTGTATTGATGTCGGAGGTTTCGATCGTCTGGATTATGTCTATGGAGGGTTTATGATGTTGAGTAGGTAATAAAGATGATCATTTTCGTGGTAGGAAGTTATACTCTAGGATTGGGATTGAGATTGATAAGGTTATTAGCTTAATGATATGAGTATTTTAAATGATGTTGAGATTAGCTATGCGACCGGTAGATAGAACATTTTATATTTTCCGAGAAAGGTCTTTGTTTTTTAGTCTTATATAAATTATATTCTTATAAAATTTTATTATTATTATTATTATTATTTTGAGTTAAATAAGATGAATTGAATGAATAAAGTTAAATTGAATGAATTAAATGATTTCAATTGAGTTGAATAGAAAAAAACTCTAAATGAGATTTGCCTGAGATTATAAGGCTTATACTAAGCTTTTTGTTAGATTATTTACCGGAGTATTTTAAACCAATTAGATTATCAGGATCGTAACTCACTTAAGCGAGTTTCTCATTTTCTATCACCTACACCAGGTAAACCTCGTATACAGCAAGGTTTTGGTGTCGGCAAGCTGGCAATAATCTTAATCTACAACTACTAATCAAACAAACCTCAAACAGCCGCTGCCCGATAGTACCGGAACATTACACTTTCATTATTAAAGTCACACACAGCAAAGAATCAACTAATCTTAAAATAACTTTAAAGCTTTTTATTATTCATTTTAAATTAAAAAAATCAATCCTTTCATACACAAAAACAAAAATAATTTCAGATCGAATATGATTCGATATATAAACACTAATAAAAGATTTATATAACATTTTACAAACTAATAATCTAATATTTTGTTAACAAAACATCACAGTTATATAAGTAGAATTGTGACCTGTAATAATCATAGATTTTCAAGTTGTAACCCAGGAGCGTCTGTGATATTTATAACTCAAATTATTTTAATAAATTTTAATTTTTCTAAATTATATTTATTAAAGTAATTAAATAAATAAATAATAATAATAATATTTAATAATATAATAATAATATTTAATAATATAATAGTAATATTTAATAATATAATAATAATATTTAATAATATAATAATAATATTTAATAATATTATAATTATTATTTTAAATAAAAAATTTAATTTTCAATTATCAAAACAAGCTGATATTCTGTCTGCACCCTGATATATATTTAATATTTAAATTTATTATAAAAATTTCAAAACTTAAATTTTCATTAGACTTTCTCAAAAAGTCAGGGGTCCGGGGGGCGCAGGCCTTTAATATATAGATTCTAGATGAAAAAATCTATAAATGATTAATTGTATTTTTTCTTTTTTTGAAAAACACAACTTAAATTATTATAACTGTTTATCAATCTATTAAAAAAATAATCATTATTTAAAACTTATAATGATTTATAATTAATTATAATTTTCCCTAAACGAAACTTTATATTTTAAAATTTGAAAGTAATTGTCACGATTCACAGTTTAAATTATAACAGTATTATTGATGTCAATGATTTAGATATCAATTACCAGAGGGGTGTGATTTAATTATTGTTTTCAAAGAGTCTAATGGTTTACAAATAAAAACCTAAGATTCCTAAGATAAATATCCTAAACAATTATATTAGAATAGAACAAATGTTCTAATTAATCAATTATAATGAAATAATTATTCTAAAAGATATCATATTCTAGAATAAAGGTTCTTAAAGGAAAGCTTTTGGGATAAATGTTCCAGGAAAGGAAAAAATTTAAAATTGATCATATGATGAGGAACCTTAGAAGCTTGAAAAGCTCCTGGGGCTTTAGGAGCCTTTTGGAGCTTTTGAGTTCCACAAAGCTCCTTTTTATTCATTAGTATATAATCAGAATATTTTTATAATTTAGAAACTTTGTATTCAATTTAATTATCAATTAGTTTACCTACATTCTATTTAATCTAATAACGAATTCATTTTCAAATGAATAACTAATGATTAATAGTCTTAATCCATAATTATCAATCATACAAACCTCAAGCAGCCGCTGCCTCGACTAGATCGTTATAGTAATTTAGATTTTGATTTTTAATTATAATGTATATCAAGATTATATTTTCAAAAATTTCAAATTCCCCGTACCTCAGCCAGCAGAATGCGAGGAAGTTGATAGATCATTGTAATAATCAAGAGTATCGAGGCTTGTAGTTTGAAATGGGCAATGCCGTCGAGGTTTCCAGCTACGGCGATGCCATCGGAAGGGGAAATATAAAGTGAATCGACATAGGAAGAGGCTTACGATGCATAGCAAGTCTGAATGATTATAGAAGGAAGAGTTGAAGAGAATTCGGAAGAATGAAGGTCGAGAAGTGGGAGCGAAATTCTTACAGATATTGAAAGCGGGTGCCTCATACGAGGGCCGCTAAACTCCGATATTTTTTGAAAAAAAAAAAATGATTGATTTATTTTATTTTTAATGGCATGGGACTTGCTTACCGGATATAGTCAGGCGTCATTAAGTAGCATCGAAATATAACAAAGATTATTTGACCGATGGAGCTTTTGAGAGGGGAAATTCACATTGTGTACTATTGGAACACCAGTCAATATTCACCACACTTGAGCCACATTTCACGCATCATCTTTAACAAGAATAGTATAATTTATTGAAAAACCCATGTAATGTGATGTGTAGCTATGGAATCATGGGCTCGTTAATACCTTTCAGCTATCCGAACAGCTGTGTTTTGTTTTCCAAAGACAGGGAACTAAACGCAATAAAATCAAACCAAATCAAACTAAACGCATAATAGACTTTAGAAGGAGGGTTGCTGACGTGACTGATAGATCATTCATATTCCATGTTCCAGCTTCATATCAAAGCACCGCCAGTCCAAAAACACACCAAACCTGGTCTAACTTGCACATGCCCATATCTCCAGCCGAATAATGACTCGTGAAATGATATTGGGATGGATTCTTTCCATTGGGACGGTCTATACCAGTGACATGATAGTTTGGTCCCTGAGACATTGAGAGTAGAGTATCGTCCAACGACACCGTTGCGGGACCCGATTTTATAACAGACCCCGTGTTGTTGTTAAAGGCAGACCAGCTACCATTTTCGAACCAAGAAACATAGTACTTTGTGTTTATGTCGAGAATTGAAACATGGGGTATGCCATTGTGCACCCATAGTGCTGGCGAGCTGATTGTGGCATTGCCGGAAAACTGCTGGTATCTGGACCAAGAGCTTCCATTATTCGAGTCCATCCAATACGTTCGATTGTTGTTACCTCGAAAGACAGAATAGAGTTTGCCGTTGTATCCACATATAGATGGTCTATCGCTCGTGAGGCCTCCACCTGCGGCATTGATTGGTGATGTCCAGCTCGTGAGGTTATCTGTTGACATCACATATATATTACCAGAAGTCGCTCGATATATGCACCATAACCTATCATTGAATGTGCAAAGAGCTGGTCTATGCGTAGTCCTAGCCCCGTTATTAATTGTAAGAGGAGCCGACCACCTTCCCGTTGACTTTGACCATTTCGTCCATAACATGGTGTTATCGGTTTTGCGGAAGACTCCGACCAATTCACCATGATGATCTGCCATTGTCATACCATGAGGGCTGTTGCCCGTAGGTGCAGCTACGCTTGTCCAGGCGGATCCCTTAATCTTACGAATGGCTCGTAAAGAACCATCAGGACGTGGAATTTTGTTACAGCTAATCCATAACTCATGCTTGCCCTCACTTCCGCCGTCAAACATAAAAGAAAGTTCTTTATTGGGCTTTTGAGTCCATGCATCAAGTCCCGACTTCGTAAAAGCAATCTCGCGTCGAAAAACGAAATCATCATCGTTTCTAAAGAATGCGAGCAGCTCTGCCACAAGAGCAGTACAAATTGCAACTAAAGCCAAAATCGCTGCACCCTTTCCTGTGTCGCCCCCTCCCGATCCCCAGGCTCCTGCTCCACTATCACCGGCCTCAGTAGCCTGAACTGCCGCATCAATGGCAAATCGAGCGATATCTCGTAGTCCCTGAACCATTTTATTATAAGGAGAACTATCGTCGCTGCCATCGGCCTCCCAACATACAATGTGCCCCACAAGATGTTCTTGAACAGACCCAGTCCAATAATCTAATCCTCCCATGCTTTGCACATTACCAGTGTTTATACTTCCGTATTCGCCGGTCTTGAATGAGTTTTTATCATGGCCATCAGCTCCTGCTGCTACCGCCCAGTAGATCTCATTCCTTGGTCTAAACATCGAGTCGTCTTGTTTTCGATGACATTTAAAACGTTGAAATTGGAGTCGATATGAAGAAGCCTCTGCATTAATTAACGCCTCTTCGCTATTGCTTGCAGCTGCAGGCGTACTTGTAGACCCATTCAAATATTTAATTGGTGCTACGGGACCAATTTGATCGGCCGATGGCCCAGGTTGGTCGGACCAACAATAATTGTAATACCACTGCCAGCTTCAAGCAGGGAAGTCGAATACTCCTCATCATCCACACATCCATCTTCATTAATAGCACCAGTGGCTGTAATATCCAAAATCTTGTTTTCAGGTCTCGCAAGAATTTCTTCTTGATTGTTTTGCGCATCCTTAACCATGTCCGCTTCCGTGTACGGTGTGCTGTCATTGATGTTCAAAGAGATTCCTCTCAAAGCACCACTGTGACCATTGAGAGAACGGGTTTTTGTTTTCATCTCCGTATAGATTTGACCATATTCGGCAACTTCTTCGTCGGTTGCGTAGATTTCAATGCGTTGACTAAACGTTCTTCTAAAGGAGATAGTTCCATTCCTCGGGCACTGCGTGCGGCAGCATGAAGCGTTGCAGTAAACATTGGATTTAATGGTAGGTTGACCCTGCTTCTGCTTGTTCTGGTTGGAGCATTTCCGGAAAGTCGAGCTCGCAACGCAGCGACTCGCTGTTTATGGGTTGTCAACTTGGATTTGCCCATGATGATTAATGTTTGTTTGAGTAGCTAATGTTGAGAAATGAAGTTTGAAATGCGATGAGAAAATTGGATTTAGGAATTGATATTTGTTTGAACACTTGAGATTTCGTTTCCTACTGGAGCTGTGATAACCTGATGTCGGGGATTCTCTTATTCTTTATATTTCCTCCGTGTTCTCAAGTTTATTTGTATCTAACTTCATGGAGGCCAACCTTCCCTTTTTCTCGGGATCTCCATAGCGAATGCAGTTCAGCAAGATTCAAATGTCTGCGCCACGGTCCCTCAAGATCGAGGAGAATCTAGGTTTGGTGGTCTTCGTTTTCCTTAAACTGAAAGGTTTGCAGACAGCACATACTCCATAGTTCTCAGCATGCAGAATCTTGTCCGAAACTATTTCATCAAAATCTGATTTGTGACTCTAATTTGAGGATGAAAATGTGGTAAGTGAAGATTTGACGAAGCCACTTGGTCTTTCCCACAGCATCATTGAAGCTGACAACGTTAGAGCGATGCATAGAGGCTGGCTGGGCTTCAAATCAAGTTATGCAGACAGACCCGATCGTTAGACAATGAGGTTTAGTTTTTTGGCAGAACTTCCCATTGTGTAGCTGGATTGCTGTACTGTTGCGTTGTCTTGTGAAACGAGCCGAGTGTTTGCTGATCTTGAGAGATTGAATGCAAGCCAAAAATAACTTTACCACCTGTCTAGTGGTCCCGGCCCCATGAACCTCAAATCGGGTTTCGGTTAAGCAAATGCTCACAATAACCAATCTGTGCCGCCTTTCGACACATCACTGTTTATCAGGCAAACCATCAGCCAGTAAGTACGAAGAGGAAAATTTTGGATAGTTACTCGAGCTGCCAGTAAGTATATCACACTCCACTTCTAAACACATGCCACTGTCCCTCCCCCGTGGTATATGCTTAAAAGTGGAGTGTGACAGACTTTCTGGTCGCACGAGTATTTAGTCTTCAGCTGAAAACTTTATATAACCTAGCACTGCAGAAACGATCTTAAACTTCCTGATCTTCAAACATTTGCAACACCATTAGTATGAAATTTCCATTATAACTCTTCAACAACATTGTGAGACTTAAATTCCGAAGAAATGAGTTTTCTTTCCAAGTATACTCTGTGTTCTAGACCCGTCGGCCAGACTGGCAAGATGTAGGCTTAATGAGAATCTTGTACAGAATGCAGATAATGCAACAAAGTCCCCTCAAAAATTATTTCACTACTGATGGGATACTGAGACATACCAAAAATTCATTCCAATTTCAGCTACACCCCTAAGTGATTGGCGGAAGCAAAGTTAGTAATAAAGATGCTCAATAAAAACAAGAACTATCTATGTTATCATCAACAGATGAGATATTTCATAGAGTTAGCCTTTGCAATCAGGTCGCCTTTATCTTCAAGTGGTAGACATTCAAAGACATGTTGTCAGCCTGATCCTCAGCCTCTTTTATTATGCAAGAGTAAACCAACTTACAAACAAAAGAGTAATCACGCTCCAAATCTCATATAGGAATCCAGCCTCCCTCAACCGCTTTTAGTAACGGACTCGCCACGGCGCCCACCACCATTCTAACCACCTCCCCACTCAATATCTTCTTATACTCATCCCCCTGTAGCACTGCCACCCCCACACAAACAACATTCAGCCCCATTCCACCCTTTTCTTTTCATGTTTGACCTCCTCATACGTCAGGTCATCTGTCATCTTCTTATTTGCCACCTCTCCGTTCGTCATCTCTCCTTTCGTCATCTCTCCTTTCGTCATCTCTCCTCTATCCTTCACACCATCTTCCATCGCTCCATCTTTCACCCCATACAACCTCTCATTCCTCACCGCTTCATCACCAACCTCCTCCCCATTCAAAAGTTCCAACATAGCACTCATGCCCCAGAAGTAATGACATCATCAATCAAAGCAATCATTTCCCTTTGACCAACGGGAGAAGATTGGGATCAAGATAGACGAGTGGTTCCTGATCTCCTTCGTCAAAAAGATATGATATTTTGGTGGTGAGCTGGTCGCTGTACCATTGCTTCTTGGAGAAGCCCCATAGAACGTGACGATCTTTTGATGATATTGGCCAGCATTTCTTTCTTCTTCCCAAATATGATATGGATATTGACACCCTTTTCGCTGCTATTCCATCGTAGAAGCAAGAGGCACGTAGTCAAACCGCGCATATCCTCGAGTCCGGAAGCAAAAATAATGGAAACTAAAAAAGGCAAGCCAAATAACAGCAATCTAAGAACAAAGACGCACCAAAGCCCAATTCCTTCGCCACAAAAGGCGCCAAAACCAATCCACCAGTCGGCAACCCTCTGGCTCAAACTTCCTGATTCTATCGGCCACAACCCTCGCTAGTTCCTTCACCACAGTCATTGAGGCATGGGGTAAGGTCAATGAACATACAACAATGCCATTCGTTGTATCACCTAATGGTCTTATTGGAAGTAGCAGGCTTGTTTCTGGTGTAAGAGATGCGGCGAAGGAATATTGATAAGGGGAGGCTGTGGAATAGGAGAGGGAAGAAACGGAGGAGGTGGGGATTATTCCTTGCCAGTAGCTAGTTGTGGTGCGGGTGAAATGGGTATGGGTTATGGGAACGATGATTTCGTAAGGGTAGTAGGGTGCTTGGTGGTTAGTCATGACTGTGACAGTGCTGGTAGATGTGATTGATTGTTGTGACGTTGAACTGTTGGAGCCTCCTGTATGCTCTCTGTCTCGACTCAGGTTCTCAGCCGGAGCGGTGTCAAAAACAGATTCAATAGACATTATCAGGACGTCCGTAAAGTCTCTTGAACTTTAAAGGCTTTAAATGCTGAATGAGTATTTGAAATAAAACTAGAAGCGAAACTACACCTTCAAATACATAATCTGCTCGCTCATTGGACAAGATTCAATCATACTTTGTGATGTATGCTCGGAAATTACTTTGGCGTAACGTGCGTTATACCACTTAGTGAATTAGCCACGCAAGCCGCAAGCTAAGGAAACAAAATGATGCAAATTGTGTGAATCGTAGCAGATCGTACATGTGAATGTTTCAACTAAATTATTGTGCTATGGAAGTTTAGGGAAAAGATGTTTCCAGTTACTCCAAAACAGGATGAGTCAGTAGTGACCTTCATACCATGTCTCTCATCCCAAGATAAAAGCTCAATTTAACATATGATTCAGTATCGATGGAGGCAATGAGGTACCGCATTATGTGTTGGTATCGGAGATATCAAAAATCAGCTAAAGAATCGAGGGGGAAACCATCCACAATATGTGTCGATAGAAAATCCTGCAAAATTTAGTTAGCGAGCTAGAGCTGGGGGAGCATCACCGTGAAAAAATGCATTAAAAACTTGATGGGGTTAAAAGGTCTTATGTTAGTCGATGCGTACACTGCTGGTGGAGCATACAGTGTTTATTGAAGACATCAAAATTTGAATGAACGGTGGCAAGGTCAGGGAATGTCATGGACGAAATGAGTATGGATTTAAAGGAAAAAACTCTGGTAGCGAACAAGTTGATTTCAGAGAACATGAGAGCGGTAGGAAGAAATGGTGAAGCCGGCTCCAAACTTTGGTTATCATCAACTTAGGCTCAAAAATGCAGACACCAGTTGAAGAACACCAATGAATTCCAAGGCGATATTCATGTCATTAGAACAAAATCTGTTGCAGTTCCGAAATATGGAGCGTTCATGCCTAGCTGGCCTCTGACTTGCCCATTTCAATAGGAATCTCGTTTCTCTGATTTGTCACATCACATCCACTCCAAACAACCTTTTCAATCGTGATTTTACCGCAACAAGACACTTCAGGGCCACTTTCAGGAGTATTAATTTGAGAATCTCCTCAGTCCGGTCAACAAGTAAGGCATCTAAGCTCCATACATATCCCTTTACGATAATCTCTCGTTCCAGATGCCAATCCATTTCTTCGTCCCTAATAATATTATCCGATCCACCATCGCTGCCGTCGCCGCCATTACAATCATCGCCCGGCAACCATCCTTTTATATGCGACCTCAAGAGGAGTGAGAAGGTGTTCTCGGAGGTGTTTAAATTTGACAAGGAAATGATAATTTGGTCGATTTGATCTGGAAGTTTTGTAAGATCGATGTGGCGTGAGTTGATTCCGATTCCCTTGCTTTTGAATGCAAGACCAACTATCCTGGAAACAGCGGTGACAACCCAGCCGCATATTTTGATAATAAGTCTCAGGCAGAGGTACTACGAGCTGTTTTGGCCATCATGGCAATAATGAGCTTCATCGTGAGGCCAAAAGGTACATCTGTTTCTTTCACCGCCATGCATGGCCACATAGCGACAGCTTCTCACAGGAACAATCGGGAATTGCGAAAGATGAGATATGGGCCCAGTCAAACATTGATAGATATAGCCATCTTTCTTTGGTGGATATCCGACAAAATTCGGAAGTTCTGATAAGACCAGACCACCAAAGATCTTCGGCCATTGAGCACTTGGGTTTGTTTCGAATAAACATTGTTCCACGGGATCATATGTATGCCAATGATCGCCATGGAACATAGAAGTAGTTTCGAAAATCGCAAGGAATACCAGAGGCGACCCTATAGCCAGGGTAGCTAGCAGTACGCACTTCGATCCGACCAAGAAATGAACCCGATTCTCGGGTTTATTGAATTAAATCACCTTGAAGAGAATAAACAATCCTCAGAAAGTTTAAGTTCGGTTCGTCAATCCGGAATACCGGAGACCCTGCTATACGATCTCAACCAATCAGTGCTAGACCGACCGTCCGTAGCTTCTTCCTGGGAAGATCTGACGTGCGTTTATCTCCTTCGCTAATGAATCGTCAGCTATATCCTGCAGGCGACAGATACTCATTCGAATGCGCGGCAAGAATGCGACAAAATCTGTCTAGTAATCCGTTTGAATAGCTCATCAGGTTTCACGTCGAAGTTTCATGCCAGTTCCAATCTTTCACCAACTGTTTGACACGATAATCAGTTGCCCAGCCAAGGTCAATCTCGATATCCTTCAACAAATCAAGTATTACTTTTCGCTCTCTCGTTTCTGTTAAGCATTGTCCTGCGATAAAGAGCGGCTGCACTTGATGAATCCTCACTGAACCTTCTGGCCTTCCCAGAGCGATGCCGCATATCTCATGGCTATGATGGCGAACTTCCATCTCAATCGATCGGTAGGAATGGAGCCTATTCGAAACGGTTGTTCTTTTTGTTGTCGATTCATGAGGCTTGTTGATGAGGAGAAGTATCCTCGTGAAATGATACGACTGCATTGTTGAGCCGCACATGGGAATACTATACCATATTTCGGGGAATATAGCTCTGGGTGAGTCTTGCGGCAGACTGCCGTCCGTAATTTTTGGTAGACGAGCACATGGCTTAAAGGTATCCGGCAGACCTTGATACCAAACTTCCAGCTCGTTTGCCAGTTCGTGCCACCTTTCAAGTAGAGTCATTTGATTAATACCAAAAACAGCAGTGGGACTAGCTCTATCTTGGGGATAGACGTTGTCGATGGAATCACCTGTAGCAATAAAATTCACAATTTTCGACATGAGCCAGATTAGTGCGTTTGAAATCATATCTTCTCGCATAGAAATTTGCAGCTCAGGGTATGATCGTTCCTTGTTGCTTGGAATAACAAAACCCTGATCATCTATCAGAAGTCCGGCTGCGCGCCAAAGATCCCAATCTTCTGTATTGAGTCGCGTTTGCACTTCGTTGATGACTATCTTACGGTTAGACTGGTCAAAATAGGGTAATACGAATACTAACAAGCTGCGAGAAAGTCCTGGCGAGCAAAGTTCCAAAACGTAGCTCTTCTGGCCACTGATGGCTTTGTTCTGAACGATAATGACCCAGGGGTACTAGGTGAAGGTGAACCTAAAGGCATCATGCCTTCCCTTTCAGCTAGGTCAAACAAGGACTTAGTTCCACTGAGATGGCGAGACCAAGCATGTAAAGCATTATCAAGGAATTCATATACACAAAGTATAGCGGCAGCAGCAATGGTCTCATCAGCGTCACGCTGTACCGGCTTCGACAAACGGCGTCGCTTAGTACTTGCTTGAGACGAATGGCTTCGCGGTGATTCTGTATTTCCTGGAGAATTAAAGTGATCATCGATTGCCGGTGTAATTGGAATATCATTTCCACCCGATTTGGAAAGTTCTTCCACCAAGAGTGAAATTGCTCTGTCGTAGTATTTCGCAGCAATGTAAACCCAATCAACCTTATCCGAATTTGGATAGAGCTCCATAAGTGCTTGGTCACTTACTATACCACCGACAATGGCTTTCCTCCCTCCTACACGCGAAAGTTGTTTGGCAGCATATGCGCATGCTGAATATTTAAGCAAAGGGTTCGATACGGCGAGGACAGGTACTTGATGTGCGAAGTAACATCCAAGGTCGAATAAATCCATCCTGATAGAGTTAATTGTATCCTCAGCTTCGGTATAGTCCCCGCTCACCATTGTCCAGTGGTCTCCCCAAAATGTCTCAATAGAAATGCAACTTCATGCTCCCTGACACTATCAACATCATTGATGAAGGCATTCGTCCTGGAGAGTGATTTCGATGGGTCGACTATGGGTGAATCTATAGTGGAAGCATTAGCCAATGACTCGTTGACCAAGAGAAAGAAATCATTCCCATACTCAAACGGCCTTCCGGTCCAGTAGGATTCAATATAAAGTCGAGGTTGTTGACCGAGTGCTGCGGAGTGTTAATGCCTCTTGGTGATTGCACAGGCACCGATAAATGACGCATGTATTCTATGTTGGCAGTGGCGGCAGTCGAAAGAGCTTCTAAGCCTGGCGCTTTCTCAAATGAAGGGTAATGATAAACGCCGTCGCCGGTTTTGTCCACAGCGGCTGTGGTGGGAAGAGCAGAGTCTGTGGGTTGTTCGGGTTCAGGACTGGCTTCCATATTATATGGATCAATGACATTGAAGAAGGTTACTGTAAGTTGTCTCGTCAGCTCCAAACACTTCATCCTGCAATCAAATATCATCTACAGACAGGTAACGCACCCTTCTTTGGCACATCAACCCAAACGCTAGTCTCATCAAATGTATTCCTATATGCGTAGAATGCTCCTAATCGACCGCTTGTTTCACCATGGATAACACATTCACCACCATTCATAGAAGCATTCTGCTGATGTCGAAATACTACTCCATCACTAGGTACGCATTGTCGTGAGGCCTTGCGACATTGCCCACAGTTTGGCTTAATTTCATCGCATTTTAGTTTCCGTTGTCGACATGTTTGACTGGTAATAATAAAAGAAGATTAGCCTATTGGCCACTGGAATGTCTGATACGACCGATATAAAGTAATGGGAAACTAGGTAGTTACCATCCTGTACGAGACCGCATTGCTGAAACAGCATTATTCCAACACACGATTCTGATCAGGTTGTGCAATCAACTGTAGGTAACAAATTCTCATATTCTATGAATGGCTGGATATTTTTATTTGTACAGTAATACAACGAAGTATTCACGATGGTTCCCCGCAGCAGTGCTAGACAAGGTTTGGCCTAGACTTTTTTTTTCTGATGAAGGGGGCCCGAGCAGGGTTTGAGATGTCCCAAATATATGCATCATCGACGTAAACAAAGTACAACCTCGCGATCTTCAGCTCCTTCAACCGTGGCAATAGTCTGCAATGGCTAGGTCCATAGCGGGCAAGAAAGAAAAAATACTCCCATCACTTTCTTAGAACTACTCAGGTTGTACAACAAACGCAGCTCATTCAAAAGCCAGTCAATCCCAAGCATTCTGCTCTCCCAGCTCATTACCCGCAGGAAATAGCGAGAAAGTAGCATTTTCTTCGCGGCGATCATCGCAAGACCACTTCTTTATATGGGCTGTACAGATAGATGTATCTCCACCCGTTTGCATTTCTCAGCACTTGATGCGGGGACAAAACTCTAGTCTCAATACATACATATATGGCTTGGACCTCTTCGTGAATTTATTGCAATAGTTGCCTTGGCTTGATATTTCAAAGGACCTCACCATGTTTGCTCTGTGTGTTCCGATTCTAACGAGACAGGAACATTTTCAGGGCGCAGTTACTACTTTCTCAATTTCCACAATTCTATCAAAATTGCTCAATAGCCCACCGCTTCCTATGGAAATTCATTAAAAGACTCTCTGTGATGAGGTGTGTCACACTACAGAGTTGACCTTAATTATCGATGGAGATGAAGTTATTCCGTCTAACGTTTCAATGAGAAGTTTTTCATCCGGACGTATTGACGAATTAGTCGCTTCCGGATTTTTCAAACACTTTTCTATACCTGCTCCAACGTCTTGCTTTAGTAATGGCTGCAATCCAGACAATTTCAGAGCTCGATTCTCAAATAATCACTACTACCTGTAGCTCCTGTGGCCAACACAGCGCCGGGAAATCGTGAGCTGCATGGCATATCCGAAGATTACTGAACAAAAAGCAGCTATTCTATGCAAGAAAAGGCGTGGTTGGAATTTGCGACTGCAAACACCCAAATATATGGATCTACGCGGTTTTCCCCTTATTTTTGTCACGAAGTCTCAAAAGTTCAAGTCAACATCATTACTGACAAGCAACCTTAAAAAGACTTAATGCTCGTCTAAGTTCGATGTATTGCAGATAAGCACAATTGGATCATAAACATCCAGAACTACCACCTAATCTTCTTCGGGATACAATCAGAGCCCACAGTTCTAGATATCACCAGAGAACTGAACTTCTGCACCGTCACAACACTACACCTTCATTCATGATGCTTCCACAAAGGAAGCCAGGCCTTTTCTTCGATCGAAAGTAATGCTATTACACAACAAGCCCGAGGGTCCGAGGCATTGCTATGTATACAGTAATAATTAGTTAGGTCCATACTAGCAGAAGCAAGGGCTCGATAAACTCCCCCAGGAGCAGAAGACGTATTACTTTATCACAGTGATAGCCCTGCATACCCTAGATCGAGGTGTATTTGAAATTCTTTGGCAGACGCAATACGCTTCAGCCACGGATGCTCGAGATAGATACTTTGCTATACTATCAGTGATTGATGGTGATTCAAATGCATTAGAATTTCAGATTAATCCCAAACTACAACGATATTTTATACTGCAATTGCAATTCACTTGATACAAAAACAGAAGATTGGGTTTTGCATGCTTTTGATTAACAAGTATCGACATTCCAGATTTCCGAAGTTTGCCTCATGGACACAAGATTGTAGTAAATTTAATCATCATGGATCAATGTCCTTCATGGCCCTTCTAAATTATTACAATTTGAAAATTGTCCAGGCCAAACATTCAGATAGGGTTCTCATTCTTTAGTGCTGTCAAGTAAAAAACCCAGGGTCCGATTACCAACACCATTCCGTCATAATAGTTAGGGGATACTGAGCTGGTTGAATCATGTCACTTGGGTCAACTTTGGATTCTGAAAGTTCATCTACCACATTTCTGGATGTAACTGGGAAGATCTGGGGATCAAAGGGGAAACATGTAGACACTCCGTATCTTCCTCCTGTTTACTGCAGACTGTAGGATGATCCCATATATTCTTCTAGCATTTGCAATAAGAAAGGCATTTAAAGAAGAATATGTGCACAACTCATGGTTTGAGTACCACCGTGATAGTCAGGCATCGGTTCCTTGCGTTTTGGGAGGGGTTTGGGATTATACTGACTATCTTTAACCCAAGACAAAGCACGAAGAATCGCCCCATTTCGGACCGTAATTGGTGATATTATTTGTACAATCTCAGATGCCGAGGGGCTTTGTATACTTCGTGAATGAACTCAAGGAGATTGGTCACTTGTCAGCGGCTACTGTTACATTCTGGATATACGTCCATGTATTAAGAAACTACGCGGTCTCGGAAATTTCCTTCAAAGTTGTCACGCCTCATTTCTTTTGGCAAACGGGAAGAATTCACCATATGGTAGTCATCGGTTTGCTAGATTCGTAGAGCAAACTTCTCTTGCTATCATTGCAAAGGAATAGGAAGGTACGGGTCTTTCGTCCATGTTTCTCTATAATTCTTTTGAAAAGGACGAAATCTCATTTTCGATCTCAAAGTCAAGCAATCATTTCCGTTTCAACATCTAAGATCTTCAAGGTCAATGATTATAACCTGCTTGTCTTTTCATTCACCAGAGTATTGAGACAGCATCGAAAATTCTTTTCCCTTTCCGAATCACCTCTTTTTCTTACTCAATGCATTTCTTCACTAACACGCAATGTTTTCTATGCGTAATTGAAGAACGACTCAATCCACCAGATGGTGTACTAAGTCATCCCAAGCCTCAAAATTTGTATGCATTCCAGTTATAAGATCCTAACACTCTCACACTCTTTTTTTTAATAACTAGTGTTGACACCCACCGCACTTTTATTTCCTTGGACTACTTACGTTGTCGATACTAGTTTAATAGCATTCCGTCCCTGCAACCAGCCTTTTATATCCATTGTCAAGCCACTCAATCTCTTCCTAGCGCGCTACGCTATACTCCAGCTTGTCTCGCCTGCACTTTCTTTACCTCTATTTCAGTCCTTAGTAAGAGTTCTGGAATCTACTCACCGCACACTAAGCGAAATCACACCAAAATCAACGATTTTTTCAACTTTTTAAACCCTTGTTATCTTTATAAAATAATAAAATAAATAAATGAAAATTGATAAATATATAGATAATTCATTCAAATATAATAAAAATTTAACAAAATATTTTTTATTATTTTTGTTTTAAAGTTATATATATTTAAGATTGAAAAAACAAAAAAGTTTAAAAAAATCGCTTATTTTATATAGGGAAAAGTTCAAAAAAGCGTTACACAAATGAAATTTTAACATTTTTTTAAATTTAAATAGATATAACTTTCAAACAAAAATAATTAAAAATAAATTATAAATCTTTTCAATATCCTTTTGTAGTTAATTATAATATTTGAAAATTTCATTTGATTCAATTCAATATTGAAAAATTTATTTGATATTTTATTTTATATAGGAAAATATGAGTTTTGCAGGGATTTTGTCACGAATTTAAATGGTGTGCGGTGAGTAGATTCCAGAATTCTTACCTCTTCTATCCTATCTTGGCGCCCTCAGAATTTGTCCCTTGACTTCTCTTATATTCTACTTAAACCATTCCTCTACTTCTTCATCACCTAGTCGAAGTTCCCAAACTCTCTGGTCTAGCAATTCCGCACAAATAGCATATTCTAATCGACATCTCTCAATTCGAATGAAGACTCATAATTAATACTACGTTCTTACTATATCAACCTCCCCAAAATTGAATTTCTCGCAACCTGCGATACATTTCTATACAACCAATGTTTCCAAACTCGGGAAATTTTTCTTTTTCACTACTGACCGACTCAACGACACGGCGAAAGCAAAAACACTGCATATTTTCTAGGAAAGTATAGCAAGAAGCACAGGATAATTTGGCTAATTAAAATAGATGTATAGATGTAGAGACATGTACAAATATAAAGATTCGCAGAGAAATTTAGCTTCATCCCTCGTCATACTCGTCTTCCTATACAATGTCCCATCTTTAGATTCTCTTTTCTCTCTCCAGCATCTTGATTCCCATATCTTGTCTATAATTATATTCCATCCCGAACCAGTGGTCTTGATTTCTCTTCCTCAGCGCTCTCTTTCTCTTCCTTTCCTCTCCTATCCCGCTTCTAATAATTGAAATATCACACTCCTTTCTATCCTTAAGAGTAGGATAGGAAAGGAGAAAATTAGCTTTTCAGATAAGATTTTTCTAGCCCTAAAGGATTTATTATTTTATTATTATTTTTATTCTCAATTTTAATCTTAACTACTCCTCTCCATTCTTATTCTGAAATTTTTTTGATTATTTCTTTCTACTTTTAATAACAAGTTATAATAAGTTTATCTCTTTTTATAAAACAAGAATAGAATAAAAAAGAAAGAGAAATGAATATCAATATCCTGAACTCTTTTTTGTTCTTTTTACTTTTTTTAAAATATAATATCTTTTATTTTTATTACTTGTTTTTTTTTCAAAAGAATCTTAAATATATTCGATAATCCGGATAAAAGAGTGTATTAAGTTTTTTATTATAATTAATAAAATTAAGTTTTTATTCAATATAAAAAAATAAATTTTTTTTTTAATAATAATCAAAATATAAAATTAATCATCTTATATTTAGATTAAATAAAGTCTAATAATTTTATAAATAATATAATTTCAAATACTTATTTTATAAAAAATAAATCTCAAATCTACTTTATTTATAAACAGAATTATTTTTTTTATTTAACAATTCAAGAATACTCATCCCGATATCTCATATTCTATCTCTTATATCCCTCTCATCAATTCATCTTTTCAACCCTCTTTCATTCTCATTCTCTTTCTTTACATCTCCTCTCTTTAATCTAAGTTTAAAAAATAACAAAATCTAATCCACGAAATTTTAATTTATCCTTTCACTTATAATCTTATAACATTTCATCAGCAATTCTTGAATTAATACTTCCAATTTAAATCCTTCTATGCTTTTCTTTAACATAAAATATATCCTTCAATATATCTTCCTCCTGTATATACTCCAATTAAACACAACCCTTATCCTTTCCCCTTTATACCAGTTACCAAAAGTTAAAACATAATCATAATCACTCATTTATCCCCATCGCATCACATTCACATTCACATCCACATCACACATAACACATCCATCAAATCTCCTTCCAAATCCCCAGATGCTCAACCTAGACCCTAGAATCTCATCTCACCTCATCTTATATATCCCCTTCATTCTCTCCAATACTCAAATACCTATACGCAGATGATATAATTAATCCAAAATCTCCTCCCAGATACATATACACACAAACACTATACTATATTATACTATATTTTTATATAAAATTATATCTATCAACCTTATAACAGATATCTTCCTCGTAAAATCAAAACCAAAACCAAAACCAAAATCAAATTTAATATATATATCCTTACCCTCACTCACCCCTCACCTCCCACCCTCTTTCCCCCTTTCATTCCCTGACCAACAACAAAACTAACATTTTGATTTTCCTCCATCTTCTTACTCTCCTTCTCCTCTTCCTATCCTCAAATCTCCAAGCTATACATATCCCATCCATCCCATCCCATCTCATCTCATCATCCCATCCTCTACTAACCCCAGAAACTAGAATTCGGAAGGATAAGGATCAGGACATATCAAGACTCGGCTCAACTCGACTCGACTACTAGGTATTCCAATGCATCGTATCAAGAGTTTAATGAATGATATATAGTAACCTTATGATGTAGTACTGTGGGTTATGACTCTCCCTTATTATCTATCCATGTAATCTTAGATACCCGTGAATTATAAATATCTTGCCGACTAACCTAAACCATTCTTAACAAAAGTAATTCACAATTCAAACAAGTCAATCAAATCATGTCCAAAATATCAACAACAGATTTTATATCAAACATCTAAACCGACAAGCTAACCACCTCATCATAGTATATCATACCATCCATCCCTTACCATACATAAAACATCGAATATACATTTCAGTTTGCGTTCGCTTCCCCATCTGATTTTCCTTCTCTCAACTGGAAAAAATCATAAAAGTAAAAGATCAATCCATTCATCCACCCCAAAGTAACATTTACCAAACCCCGAACCCCAAGAACACCAACATTGAATCATTACTATAATTTTCCGTCCCTTTCCTTTCCTTCCCTTTCCTTTGTCCTTGAATTCCTATTCCCATTCCATAAAACCCCACTTTGCACAATCACCAATTCAACAAATCATAATACGTCCCGGCTTTCAACTCCCTCCTTTTTTCCTCTTCTTCCATGTCGAATATGCCAGTCGAACTAAGCAGCCAAGGAATTGTGGCCCGCCAGGTTCCTGTTTCTCCATTCTTGAAGATGTTTGCAGATTTGGAGGCTGGCTCAAGTAAAAAAAGATTGCTAATCTCAAAGATAATACCGCAAGTTCCACTTATGACTTGAGGCTTATAATGAAGCGAATGCCACCTATGACTCCAGGCTTAATGAAGCGAATGCGATCCATTCCAGCATCGACTTGTGACGATTAGATGTGACAAAAATCCGTTGTGCTTTGCCTTCCAGGCTATCGCGGACCCAAAAACATGACATATCTTCAAACGATACTTTAGTCCACTCCGCCGTCATCACCTAAATCCATGATGACCTAAATCAACACCATTTACTCCCACTCCCATGTCCTCTCCACCAGTACTAGCTCTCGAAAAGTGACCATGGTTAAATTCCGGTATACTTCTTGGAAGTGGCATACCATAACTACTTCCACTTCCTTGCCTTATCGGAGGTCTTCTCCCACCAATTCCATTTCCATTTACACTCACAACTCCATTACTCATTTCGCTCATACCCCCAGGGCTCGAAACCCCAAATGAACTCTCTCTATTCTCGACACCATATTCTCTCTTGAAATCCATTCCGTGAGCATGACTATTTAAGTCATGGAATCCTTGATAATCCAAAGCTTGATATTCCATCCCAGGATTCATGATAGGCGGTGATGTGAATGGTGTGGTTTCGGCAGACATACCACCTGTCACACTTGGACTACTTAATTCTTCAATTCTCTTATCGAATGCTAAACCTCCATTCGCATGTCCCATCTTGTAATCGTTAGGACCACTAGTAACCATCGCATTGTAATTCTGAGGAGGCATGCTAATACCAGTATTGCCAAAGCCATCAAACAGGTCGACATCGGCGCACATTTGAGTATTTTCGGGTGCATTTTGTAACATAGGATTCACAAGACCAGGAAGAACATCGTGAACTTTGTTAAGAAGGAGAGGAAGGAATCGATGATCGCCGTTGCGGAGGATGGAGAGCATGGTCATGAATTGATGAAGGTAATCGCGGGGGCCCATCGTAAAGGGGTCGGACTTGGGGGGAAGAAGGGAGAGAACATCGGTGAGAGAACATGCTACGTCGAATAGTTTTTCAATCTATACAACACAACGGTCAGCAAGCTGAGAGTACAAAACGCTGCAGGGAAGAATACTTACCAATCCAACACCATGAACTTCCATACTCTGATGACTGAATTGACTTGTCATCTGGGCCAAATCTCTCGCAATATCGACAGGGTATTGAAATGTCATACTTGGATCATCACAATTGCTGCTGAGACATCCATTTTGTATACTTAATTGCCATACCATTGTTCTCAACCATTGTTGACTTGTTCTCAGGTCTGCGGTTTGGTTTTCTGTGGTGTTGAGGTATATTGGGAGGGCTTCGGAAAGTTGTTTTTGAAGGGAGGAGAGATAGGCTGGTGAACAGTCGGTACGAGTTTTGTTCCAGAGTGCAACGAATTGATCATCGAATGGGCGGTAAACGTTTACGAGATGAATGAATCCCTGTAGGTGATGATTTTGAGGATCGGTAGGATCATCATTGATTGAAGGGAGGTTAATCGTGGCTTGGAGTGAGAGAGGTCGATGTCTTTGAAGCGCGTAGGATCTGTAGTTCTGTTAGCTTTTGACAATCGGTTGCCTGGATGAGGATGTCACCTTTCGGTCACGAATAACAACCAGTAGAGTCTGCGTCTTCGTGATGATTCAATGATATCGAATTGATGGTATGTCTCCTCTTTCACCATCTCCAACGTGTGTGCCAATGTGGTCGCTTCTCGTAAATGGAACCAAGCCTTGTTATGTAGATCCAATCCGTAATAACATGCGAAGATGAAAAAGCTTGTCACTAAGCTATTCTGTGTAGGTGATTCGCAATAATCGTAACTCTTCCTAACTTTCAGTGTCTCTTCTAATAACAAAGTTCCAGAGACAATGTTTGCGCCAGGTAGACTATCCAATCCAAGAGGATCACCAGGTATTCCCATTCCAGGTTGAATCATCATCAATGCACACATTGCTGTCAAGAGGCAATAGGTATCGACATTCTGATCCACATACAGTGCTTGTTGTTCTAATCGTTCTCTGTGTAATATCGGCATCGTAGGATACATGTTCGCGAAGAAGAATTCAGTACATTCCTTGACCATTTCTGTCGTAAGCAGGCCTGGCGTGGGCGCGAGTGTAGGACTACATGGCGGGCTCTGAACACCATTCATGCGATTTGCAGTCTTCGCTGAGAGTGAGGATTGTTGATTTTGTCTTAATTCGCTGATGACTTTTGCTCGTGAACCTTTTGGACCTTTCTTCTGTGGGATGGCATGATAAGTACACGTCAATTGTGTCGTAGAACAATTGCGACATGGATTTACTCCATCGCATTTAACCTTTCGACGATGGCACGCGTCGCAAGCTCGTTTGACCGAGGAGGAGGATGACATGATGGGGCGGGGAGGGGAGGGGTGAGGGTGGAGGAAAAGATGGTAGATGATATTTTTTTATTGGTGGTACTCGATAAGACAATCAATTGAAATGATCCGTCTGGTCGAGTCTAGTCGAGCCGGTCGAATGGAACAATGGAAAACAGATAAGGCTGTGGAATTGACGATCAAGTTTGGAATTGAACACCAAAAGTCTCAATGATTTTTGATCGATACTACCTCGCGCTGAACGTATCAACGTACCAACGTACCAACGTACCAGCCTTACAAATACGAGCGTATACGTGCAATTCTCGTGTGATTATATCGTCGAGGTCCAAACCATACGATTCAGTTGTCTTGGTCTGGGGTGGGTAGGAGTTTATGTTCCCAGGACAGTATAGGAATTTGATCTCGGTGCTGTTTGGAACGAAAAAGACGATAAGACGATGGAATTAGAATATTGGAATTCCTGGAGAAGTTATTCGGTCCGTATAATCCTATTTGGCGGAGACGGGATGCTCATTTCATGGAGATGCGGGGGTTGAAGGATCGTGAGATTGTGTAATTGGATGAAATATTAGATGCAGTTGAGTTGGCTTGGACGTTTATTTTCATTCACTCCTCGCTCGGATGAAAAAGAGTTGCTTAGGTATCGAAATTGTAAACAAGAAATTCAAAATTTGTTAACTTTCACGGGTTTAATGTGATGTGAAGTTGAAGTTCATTCGAAGATGGTTTGGGAGAGAAGTAAGAGGGAAGAAAACAATGGGTGTGTGCAGCTTAGGCTGGTCTGTTGACATTTAAGGTGGATTCGGAGGAGTCGATGAAGTGACCGTTGAGTGGTTGAAGTGTGAAGCGTGAAGTGTGAAGCGGTAGAAGTGGTAGAAGTGGTAGACGTGCTTGAGATGCTTGAAATCTAAATGTGGGACAAATGGTGGATCAAGATGGTGTGGTGTGAAATGGTGGATATGGTTGAAGATGTAAAATGTAAAGGGAATGGAATGGTAATGGGTAATGTGAAAGGGTATGATGAATGTGAGGATTCGTAAAGTCAGTAGGGTATTGTGTGGATATTTGAGGTGGGTGAAGTGTGGAATGAATGAGAAGGTGGGTATGTGTGGTGGGTGTATGGTGTATGGTGTATGGTGGTGTGGTTGGTCTGTGGCTTAGATGAATCGATGGGTGTGGGTAGATTGAAGTAAGTGACTGTTTGAGTGAGTGTTGAATTTGTGAGATGTCAGAACAGACAGAGACAAATACTCAAATGGTTATATGGATGGCGTGGGTGCAATTGAGAGTGTGAGTGAGTGAGTGTGAGTGCAGGGAGGTTTGAAGTAAGAAAATGAATGCCGAGGGCCCGTGTGTGAGAATGAGATGAGAGTTGACAGGAATGAGAGGATGAATGGATGGATGGATGGATGGATGGATGATGGATGATGGATGATGGATGGTCGATTCGGATTCGGGAAGAGAAAAAGTCGAGGGTTGGATTGGGATGTAGGGTTTGTTTGGTAGGTTCCTCCGTCTTTAGCTGATGGAAAAACTCTCCGAATCCAATTAAAAAAGGTCGAGGAGGGGAGGGTAAGAAATATCCTTTCATGTATGATGGATGGCATGTACCTACTGTGACAACTCGATATAACTAGATATAGATAGATAGACCGGTAATGTCCCATGGATGTGGTTCGTTGATCTGATCCTCTTTCCTTTTCTTTCCAATTTTTGCCTTTCTTGTTATGTTAATAAACAACAACTAATCATATCAAATCCAAGTTCGAGTCAAACAATTCAAAATCGAGCCAACAGTCTTTCCCTCTTTAACTCTTTTTGGTCGAATATGGAAAAAGCCAAGGATGGCTGTCAATTCTTAAACCCCCTTCCCTACGCCTTTTCTTACTCCAAGCCCAGGGTTCCAGTAGGTCACTTCTCCGCAAGTAACGTAACAAATAGCCTGTGTCAGCTTCAAAAGATGGCTTTAGCATTCCATATTCCAATAAGCATTAACAACTTCTACTCGAAATGAGACGGAGATAATACATACATATACACCTGACTCTTGTTGTTTGGGGAGGGGAAAGGAGTTGACGTCCTGATCTGCCGTAGGAAGATGGATGAACAATACCAAGAAAAAAGTAATTGTGGGATACCGATGGCAAAGAATCATAGAGAAGAGATGGGATGAAAGCCAAGAGTAAATGAAGGATTTGAATAAGGTCAAATACTCAAAGATTGAGGATGAACATATGCAGTTATGAAGTTATGAAGTATCAAGTTATCAAGTTATCAACTTACCACATCTCTAGGTAACTACATTCAAGCAATAGTTTAAAGTTCGTTCAATATGTTGTACGACCTGCCTGCGGAGTACTACATACAGATCGAGGATATTTGAACTCACATACATCTAAATCTTCGTCCTGATCACAGGAGATCACAACTCATTTACGGAAGTATGTGTCAAAACTTTAAACAAGCTTTCATATCAAATCCACTCTCCATTGTTCGAAAAAAGACATCGTCACACACGGTTTGTATCTAGGAGTACGCCTCACGCCTCACGCCTCTCTCCTCTGTGTGTGTGCTGAAAAAGAAGTTCCAAGATGACATCGATGTTGATATCGACGGATCGACATCAGTATGGAAGCCTGAGGTTATGAAGGTGATTGTCTCCCACCTGAAGTCCATCGGAACCAATCAAGATCAATCTTTCATCTCCCGCACCAATTCATCTCTCCTTGTACCTAAAGAGACTCGAGCCCACATCAAGAACGGCTCCCGCCACGGGCGCCAGAATAGGCATCGCCATGACCAAGAAGTCTTTTAGCTTCAGTAATGATCATTTCCTTACGCCGTCTTTCTCTTCGCCAATGGAAAATCTGGATCCGATCCTATTCTCTACCGTATTCTATTCCATCCTATCAAAGCGTCCCAAAACCCTCATTCAATCAAGTCATTCATTCTATACGAATTATCGACGCCACAAGATTTGATTCGTCCAAGCATCTCTTCGTCTAAAAGCTGTTTTGCTAAAAGAGGAAAGGAGAAAGCTGACAAGTAGGTACTACGGCATAAAAATGGTAATGTCCGTGCCTTGGTGTTGCTCTTTCCTCAAATCTACTGTCCCTAGGTAGGCATCCATCATATAATCAATCTATCAATCGTCTCATCATTCATTTACTGGTATTCATGTATTCATGTATTCATACGTCCTCCCCCATGCTTACCAGACCTTTCCCCAAGTCTCTATCCAATATTCATTATTATCATTACATCTTTTATCAAAACCATCACTTAATTCATCCGATCCCTTCATTCATCATAACATCATGCCAATCATCCCAATCATCCCAATCATCCATCCAATCCATCCAATCCATCCAATCCAATCCAATCCATCCAATCCAATCCAATCCATCCAATCATCCAACAAATCCATCCAATCATCCAACAAACCCATCCAATCCATCCAATCATTCACATCAAACCAACACTTTTCCTAAAATATATTACTCTTCGTTTCCTTTTGTCCCACCCCGAGATTTTACCAAGTCTTGATTTGGATATTTCTCCGAAGCAGACTAAAAGTTTGTCAAGCCAATCGTCACTCGCACGGAGATGAAGACTAATGCAGATATACTATAAAACTGCATGGATAAGATCCTTGCTCATGTTTCTTTCCCTCTTATGGTGAATTCAGGCGACATAACCGATCTGACTGGTTTTTCCTGCCTTCCGTAGTCAATTTGGCTGCATCGAAAACAATGAATGAGTGAGTGCCAAGCATTCTTCGCGTCTTCTACACTTGTATTTCATTTGAACAAGCTGCTGATCGTTTTACCATCCATCACCATTGCAAAAAGAAGTTGTCGAGTCGTCACCAAAGTCACATCGTCCCGTTTTATTGGAATGGCATGGCAAGCAGCGACCTAGTAGAAAGCATGAGGTGAAGGGGTTGAAAGATGGCTTCAATCTCGATAGATCGATCATAACGGCACAAGGATTTTATATTGTAGGAATTGCATTGCATGTAAGATTCAATTAATCAATCTGCTCGAGGATAATAAATAATAACAAGTATTTACCGAGGTTACTTGGTTGTAAATGAACCTTAGTTGTGCCGACCACGGCCAAGTCAAGCCAGTCACGTATATTCATTCTTCAGAGTCTTCCTTGAAAACTCATGGGATTCATGGGGGATTTGCCTTTGGGTAGTGTTACGGGATACCGTTGTACAGAGAGAAGTATACAGAAGTGGTAAAGATGCTACTATTTCTATGACATTCCGACACTCGACATTTCATACGTATTCAACCAATACCCTGTGCAGTTTGATATGCACCACATTTCCAGACGCATGATAAAGCACTCGGTAGGTAGGTATGGAGTTATTGTATCACCATGATGCTCGGGAAAACATCACACATCACACATCACACATCACACATCACACGAATCAGGCACCATTTCTTTATATAAAAAAGAACGGGAAAAGAAGAAGGAAAAAAAAAGAGAAAAAAGAGATCATCACTCAATTCTTCCTCTTTCTCACTCACCGGAACATTTTAATTCAGATCAGATCACTACTAAATTGGTCCTCGAGTGCCTACCATCTGCATCAACTGCACCCTCATTATGCAACAGAAGACACCAAGAAAAACTCTACAGAGTATGACACAAACTACCAAGGACTTGCACTCCAGTACTGTAGTACAATACAGATGACACGAGTGACACAAGTGACACGAACCCATTTATTAGAAATCCGAGTTTCAGTCTGAGCTGGACATGAAAATTGGAGATGGGACGAGAAAAAAAGAGAGTTTGTAAGGGTGTGTGTGATCAATGCGATTGGGGGAAAAAGACTTCCGGTCTGGATTTTATATTACCCGTCAAAGAGCTTCCGCCGTATAATCAATCAATCAAATTGGTATGACCGCTAAATGCGATACGCGTAATATTCTTCTACCTAGAATTAATTATTCATCCTGCAAAGAGAGTTGGGCAAAGTCAGAAGGATCACATGATTATTCGGATGTGATATCCCCAATGGATGGATGCATCGCACATCTTTGCAACACAACACACAACAATGTCCGTTATGTACAGATGGTTATCACACACTCACACACACACACACACACACGCACCACTCACCACTCACCACTCACCACTCATCACAACCCGAGCAAATGGAAGAAAAGGACCGAAAGTCATGCTTTTCCAAAAAAGAAGAATGCGGAGAACATTCCATAATGCGGAGAAGAAGTTCTGGCTGCAATCAACCTTCTAGAGCACAGCACAGACTTTCAGGAGCCTCATGATCTGGATTTTTAACATCAACAACATCATCAATATCTTATCATCTTGTCATCATATCATCAGTATCATCAGTATCATCAGTATCATCAGTATCATCAGTATCATCAGTATCATCATCATTACTCAAACAATCCAATGCAGTCATCGACAAATCATTCACACGTACCTACTTTTCCCCGTCTCCAATTTTTACCAAACTATGGATGACATGAATAATGTTCACCTCACGTGTATATCCTCATTATTTCCTTTTTCCACTACATATAACCCCATGTGATAGAAAGCTGACAAGGACGGACGGAATAACTTCTTCCCTCACATTTCATTCGTCTACTTCACACATCAAATCTATAGTCATGCGACGTTGTTCCTGAATTTGCCTTTGCCAACAAAGAGTTTTTTTGTTCTCCAGACCAACATTGCATTATCAAAACGATTAATCACTCTCCATAGTTTAAATTCTCCTGACTTGTATCAGGAGACCATATCATTATTAGTTTGATGATGATAAGCTTTTTCACGGGAGATCAAAACCTGGAGATGGCGGCATACGAAAAAAGATCCTTCATCTCCACAATACCACCGAATCACGCCTCTCGCCTTCTCTCACGCCTCCTGTTCGCATAGTTCTAGACCTAACAGTCTTATACTCCGTAGGTTCACTGGTGGTTCTACCATTGAAATTTCTGCTTGGTACAATATCACACTTGACCTTGACGATTTACCCCACAAACTTCCTCACTTGTACCACCACATCATCAGACATCCTTCCGTGTTTTGCTCCTTCCATCTACATCAGTACAAACATCGGCACTCAATGACCTCCCCGGCATTGTTCCGAACCTGGTCTTGATTCCTTATTGGTTAAGTATGGGGCTCAGCGGTCTTCATACTTGTTGGCGCTTACGTCCTTTGCTTGGGGTCCCCAGATTTCCTCCACATATGGTCATGTACCCCGGATCCGGATAATCAAAAAGGCCCGATGAATGGATTGGTTCCTTAGTTGGAAGTTTCTTGGTTTTATCGTCATGGATTTTGGTTCAAATGGATGATGGGTCTAGAATAGACCTGAATTTGAACCTGGAGATGGCGGTAGCTGCGGAAATCTTGGTGTCTGGATTATACTTTTGGACTTTTAAGAGTCGATACGGCACCATATTGTCCGCTTATCGTGGTGTTTTGCACGTCCCGTTCCTAAAACCCCCGCGTATCTCTTGGATATGAGTGAGAAATAAGGGGCTTCCCGCAAGTATGCACTTTGTAAGATTTGGCTATGGTTCCCGTCTTGATTGTAACGTCTAGCGGACTAGTGATCCGATATGACCATACAATCAGCCATGACCTTTTTCAAGGTACAAACAGTAAAAGTGCAATTTTAAAGATCCTTGACTATTGAAGTCTCATCTCCGATGTATCCATGCCCCAATGAAGTTCGGGTCGAGAAAGAGGTTCTAAGACCGGTGAATATGTGAATGTTAGGGGTTTTCGGAAGTACAGTATTCGAGTACTTTGGTGTAGTTTAATCTGTAATTACAAGGTAAAACTTCCAGCCCCTTTTCCTGAAACCGATCAATCATTCATTCTGGTGATACGTATAGTCTTCCCATACATACCAGGTCTTCTACCTGCAATCATAACGACGTCGAAATTCAAAATTTGAACTCAATTAACCTAACCATCTATCTCTATTTCCTACTCTACACCTAGAACTAGAACTAGCACAAGAAAGTAATTTTAAAATTCATGATTATATATAATTATCTCTTATTAATATATATGAAATTTATTTAATATATCTAATACTCTCTTTTTGAATTATTTTTAATTTAAATTATATTTTTATATCAAAATAAATTTTTATTTATTAATAATTCAATAACAAATCAATAAAATTAATTAAAATTTTAAATTATAAATTATAAATTTTTATATAATTATAAATAGATTTTGAAAATTCTAGATATTTTATAATTGAAATTTATAAATTTATTTTTTTAAATTTTTGATTATTGATTTACTGATATTAAAAACTTGTTATAAATATATATATTATTATAATTTATTTAATATAGATCATAGAAAATAAAAAATTTATTTAAAATACTCTTGTAGAAAATCTAATGAAAAGTTTAATATAAACTTTACAATCTTAAATAAATTTAATTTAAAACTTTTTTCAACTTTATTGAAATCATTTAACTTTATTTGAATTATTTAATTTATTTATTTAATTTACTTTATTCAATTTATCTCATTCAATTTATTATTATTATTATTATTATATAATCAACTTTTTTTTCTCTTTTCCCCTCATAATATATTATCAGAATGCACGTATCTCGACCACCCTCTTTTATAATATAAACGGTTATAGATGTAACGATCTGGTAGAGGCAGCGGCTGCCTCTGGTTTTCGTATGGTTGGTAGTTGTAGGCTAAGGCTAATAATCACTGGTTATCCACTCGAAGGTGAATACGTTACTAGATCAATTGGAATGTAGGTAAACTAATTGATAACTAAGTTGAGCACGAAGCTCCTAAACTATGAAACTATTCTGACTATATACTAATCCATTTCGGGAGCCTCCAGGAGCCTACGCTCCTGGAGGCTCCATCACGTGACTAGGATCAGACCATATGTCCGAGCTTGCTGAAGGTGGGGAGACCATATGAAGCGGTTGCCATACAAATTTGTATACAAGTTGCTTTGCTTTTCAGGGAGGTCTAAGCTCATAAGGACAGTTTGACTGTTACTCGTAACACTCTATAAAATGATTTCGTGACAATAGAATAGAAGCAGCGATATTGGTCGCTCAAAAAAATCCACACCATGATCCACCAGGTTGTTCAGTTCTGCTCGGATACATACCACTCGGATGCAATAAATGACCCGATAGACCATCTGTATACCCAAAACATATTTGCTTATGATCCCAAGCAATTTACAGTTTCCACTTTGAATCCTCACCCAGCAAAACCGAGTTACTTCAACATGGGCGATATTTCCCAGGAAATGCAACGTTGAAGACAACCTTCATTTTCTACTCCTCCCAAATATCTCTCCTCTTTCACAATCTGAGCAGGAATATGGATTGGCATAGGCTTATAGAGAATACTTTTCCACTCGATATCAGCAAGCTGATAAAATAGTTTACACGAATTACAACCGGATACTGTAAAAGTGGTAGGTCGAGATACGTGCGTCCCGATAGCATGTTGTGAGGGGGGAATTGGAAGAGAAAGCTGAATTAGATCATATTGTAATACGTCACTTATAGAGAAAACGGGGTTCACAATGATTTTGGAGTTGATGCTATATAAATTCAAATGTATATATATAGAAAGTTGATTGTTATAAAAAGGAAAAGCAAAAGCTCTTCTTTTATATCTGATTACAAGAGGTTATATGATTGATTGATTAAAAACCTCTATGTATTTGGCCTATAATTCCAACTTTCTCACAATACGTTGAACTTATAACAACTCGCACGCTTGTACGTAAACAGATAAAATCATCACACTCTGTGAACGAGTCTGCAAACGAGAAAAGACATAGAGGAAATGGTTGATACTTGTTCCTAGGAGCTGCAGGAAAATTAGGCTTCCCGTGAGCACGAGATCAGAGAATAAGTACATTGGATTGGCATGGGAGAGAACTAAACAATATTTGCTGAATGGTAGACTCGACATCCCATGAAGACGACTGAAAGAACCAACGATTTATCCTCAAAACCATGACCAGAAGTGAATGGTATAGTTAGATAAAATTATGCTAACTTGCAACAAGTGAATATTTCATTTACAAACTTAGTAAAGTCTCTATCAAATCCCCAGGTGTCTCATAAAAATCAAACATTACAATTCCCACCCTCTTTCCTTTCATCCCTTTCAGAAAGTTCACCAGCTTTTGATTGATACCTCCATCTGGCGTATACGTCCCATTCCCGATAGCCATAAGCTCAGGAGTGATACCGTCTGAAAGCTTTCCTCCACTTGCCCAAGTCCACCACAAACTATCAGGCGCCAGAGATTCATCCGCTGCTTTCAACAAATGTGCTGTGGTTGCGTTGTACTTCCATTGAATATTCACCGTTGCGTTAGACGGAGATGGAGTTTGAGGCTCGTAATAGTCCTCGATATATGCTGTGCTATTGTTGGAATTATTATAGATGAGTTTGATAGCTGGAGAATTATCGGTCCAGAGAGCGGGAGAGAAATGAAGACCAGGTAAAGCATTTTCGTAAGAGTTTGATAGATGATCCAGATCGAACCGGCGAAGAAGTACGATCTTTCCTCGTGCCTGACCCAGAGTTCCAAACTCATCTTTCATCTGCAGCAGATATTGTGTTGCTACAGGTGATGTAAGAGTATTGAATAGCTTAAGTTGTGCTTCAGCATCGTTTGATCCATATTCAGTCGTACTACCCTCATATTGAAGACTCAACAATACTACTTCAGTGGGGTGACCATCAAGCCAGTGATAAAAGCAAAAGTACATCATCTAAAGTCGCGGTTTGAGATAAAAGAGCTTGGCTATGCCAAAACACAATCGAGGTGTTGGTAACGTCTAACGCAAATCTCAAGTCGAATACTCGGACTCCGGCATCAAGCATATCGATTATAGAGTTATTCTGGCAGCGATAAGATTCTGGTGGATCAGGGACTTGATTTCCTAATGATGTAACACCGGATAGTGCCGATTGAGTGGACTGAGAATAGTTCCAAGTTGCTGTATCGTGAGTCCCCGGAATATTCATATGCACGAGCTTTGTGGAATCAGGGTACTTGCTCATCCATGTCGAGGTATTCAAATGATTTTCCGCATAGTTTCCAAATATTGGAGATGCATTTTTGAGGAGCTTCTGGAGGGCAAAGTCTTGGAGTGAGACATCTGAGGAGGTGACCTGGCGCGATATAGGGGAAGCATGAGCTCGAAATGATAATTCCAAGAGAAGCAGAATGCTGGCGATAGGAGCAAGCATGATGACTGAACGCATACACTTCGCGGTGGTACGGAAGAGCAATGGTAGACGCGTTGCGAAGAAGTTCCAGGACTGATGTCGTGTCCAGAGATGGCTGGGTTATGCTTTCAATATCACAAAATGTCTTCGTTTGACGTACTCAATGTGATTTGATATTTACTCAAGATGCAGTGTTCAATATTTGAAGGTATATCTACTTTTTCGTGCAGCTGAGTACAGCCCCAAAGATATTTCGGGAAGGTGCAACAAGAAGCATCCCCCTATTGACGTGAGTGTGAGACCCACGTGGACTTAGCCCAATGATCGTCCTTGGGCTAGCCGTGGTGGACACGGATGATGCCGAGACCATATATCGGACTATGCCACGTGAAAAACTAAGGAAATGGGACCAAAAAGTACAGAGTAAATATAGCGCGGACAAATTGAAGTAGATGTTCATGTCTAGGAGGGACGAAAGGATCGATATGGTAATCAAGCCACACCAATACGGCATATATATTTAGCAGCTTCAAAATGATTCTTTCAAAAATGCTACATTTTGAAGTACTTGACGACCACTCCGAAACCTGAAGCAGAGACCTCATTAGTCTTCGATGCAGTGATGAAACTCTTTTTCTGGGAATAGTGGCAGGAACTTTCCTTGCTCGCTGTCACCAGCTGAATATCCTTAAAAGTACAGCATTTTGTGACATGACAACACGGGTGCAGCACAAGGTCATATTGACATAGCATAGATGATGCAAACCAAGGTAAAAGGGATGATGAAAAGAAAAAGATTATATATCCGATATACTTTGAATGATCAGAAAGTACAGATTGTATAATGTATTCCGGATTTCTGATTACATTTTTAAAATGTTAATTCAAAAGTTCAACATCGATAAGTTGTAACCTAATGATGCAGTGGATGCTTAGCGCCAGAAGTTCCTGTTAATCTTATCTGATTTCCCCCTCAACCATCATAATTTTTTAGAATCACCACTGAAATTCCCATATTCATTCACAATACATCGCACAACATGCGAGGTAAACACATTAACTTTGATATCGTCTCCCGTATTTGAATCGTGGCATCAGGGAGTATAACTCTTACATTTATGGAAATCAATTCACTCTTTTGAACGAGCTCGCAGATTGTGAAGGCTATAGTTCGAACGCAAGCTCGCGCAGACTCGTTCGAGGTCGAGGTTCAGGAGCTAATACGTGGTGGCAGAACTGGAATGTTGCTTACAGCAGTTGGGTTTTCATGTTCCCAGTGAGATGCAACGTCTTTCAATCCATCGAACACTTCAGCTGACGCCCTCTTATATCACTTACGTGCTGACATCTCACTAGTCCTAGATTAATTCATTCACTCTTCAAAGTCCCAAGCAACCCCATACCATCTCGGAATCTCCAACCGACAGTTGATGTTTTATCAAAAGATAGCACGGTGTTCATTCCAAACCATCCAAATTTCGGTACTCTCATAATGGGCATCATGCAATTGATCAACTCTTGCGAGGCGATTGTGGCACGGCTAATGGAGCTACCATTCGATTGATGATTACGGATACAGAAGGAGAGACCGAGATTACAGAACCAGAGGTTGTGTGGCAGATTGCCTTTCCAGGAGCAGTCCTGAATATTCAAGCTCGCATTGGAAATAAGGTCGAAGCTATCACTTCTGAGGTCCGGATGACACGAGGCGTCGCTTCTGTGCTCTCCATTCGACCAGTTGAGGTTGAAGATGTGGAATCGAAACCTTAGGTAGCCAGATTACATGGCCCGGACCTTTTTTCCGCGGCGAAGAATGCAGCAATGACCTGGGAAGCATTAGCCATATGGCGAGACAAAAAATTCGTTTGAATATGGGCGTGCAATTCATAGGACTCTTTGTGCTATCAGGGCTGAGTAATCAGGGCAGACTAATTAGGGCAGAGTACTATGAAAGATGCAAGGCTTTGAGTTTGTGATAGCCTTTACAAGGTCAGAGTATTAGAGTCTGTATTTTGGTGCGTCTCGCTGTAGGGTGTCCCGTAAAATAATGAGAATATTTTAATGCGAGACGAATAGTTTTCTAAAGAGAAGAAAGATTTCTTTTGAAAAAAGCTCCGAAAACGGCCATCTCGCACGTGGCCTTGATGAATATGCAGGCTAAACCATGAGAAAACACATGTGCAAAACTTCCATCTTCATTGGCGTTCCTGGAGAGGAACGAACCAGCCGTTAGCTATTCGCGCCACGAAGCAACCGGTTCTTCCTATCCCAATATGTTTAATTTTTAATCTGACCTCATGCATATATAAATGGAGTTCCAACTACAAAAGAGTGTGATCAAGTCGCTGTGGAAGCTCTTTTACTGTGTAATTGGATCTGCCTCGATTTTTATGGCCATATATGTCAGTTTCGACATGACTTTCACTAGCAGCCAAATCATCTTCTTCGCATTCCTCGTTGGAGCACGAGAGACAATTGCTTTGACACCGCTGGAAACTTTCTACCCAGTCGATCTCAATGACACCTCCTATATCAGTAACACTTCACTTGGATCATATGGTGGCATATATTCAATTCCCGGAAAGTCTATCTCTTCAAATATAACATATGGCACATACAACTACTGCTCTATGCCCCATCCAAGAGTAAAAGAATACCAAATCCCGGAGCCTGTGGCCAACGGGACTGTGAAGGCGGAGATAGTCTACCTGGAGTATATACAAAGACATCAAAGGAGGACTATGTATAACGTTTTGCCTAGTGGGGAGGTCAGTCTCTTGCTGAAGCGTCGGATGACATGCTAAATGTATCCTAGACCGTACCGTTTAATTGCTCGGGTATTCTTCCATATCTTTACGCTGGACCTTATGATACCGCCGCGCAACAACCCATTGCAGTATATGCTAGTACATATACAGATGCAGGCAATCCCTTTGTGGGCAAATATATTTCAGGGAATTGCCAGTATCCACAGCTTACGATTGGTGGTCTAACAGACGGCTACCAGCATGGCCGAGGCCTTGACGAAGTATATGGTGCCGCTGGCAAATTGAGTCTTTTCCCCACAACTCCATCGCTACAGGAAACCTACTTTCGCTCCTCGGAGTCACCTTTGACACAACAAAGTGCGGGAGGTGTGCTGCGTGGAATCTGGTCTAGTTATAAAAAATCCATACCTCTTCATCAACAAGCCACCTCAGTCGACACAGTTAATGCGGGTTATTCCTGCTCTGCCATTTCTTCTACGCTGACTAAAATTAAATCAACAACTGAATGGCAAGCTCACCTAGCAGCCACATCAACCCTGCGCACCACCCTTGGAAATATGTTCGAAGCAAATTCCGGTGCATGGCAAGGCACAATGGATCATTTTGCCGATAACTTCCAGGCTCGACTTTGTAATGGCTATTCACTTCCTTGTTCTCCGACCAATTCTTCGTACTGCGTAACTCAAGAGATGGCAGATGAGGTTTTTAGAGCTGGCGATTGGGAGTGGAACTATTACTGGAGGACCAATCCATTCGCCCAACAATACATTCAAGTTGTGGAGGGGCTGTTTATTGGGGAAATAGTCTCCAGACTGGAAAGTGTGGCAAATGGAACGATCCAAAAAGGAAAGTACAGTCATATGTTTGTTCATGACGGTGATATTGGTCCCATAGCAGGAGCTCTCGGAATCGATGCTTTGAGATGGCCTGGAATGGGAAGTAACATTGCTTTTGAGATTTGGAAGAGTCACAACACCACAGCGACTATTGATGGGTATTTTGCAAGAGTATTGTATAGTGGACAACCTATGAAGTCCATTTATGGAGACATGGACTGGATGCCATTGGAGAGTCTGTTGGACATCCTTAGGAAATTTGTGCCAGCAGATATTGTGGAACTATGTAATAGCTAAAGTGCTACTGAGAGAGTAGATGGGATTGTACATAATTTATAAGGATAGTCAGTTGTGTAAGAACACTATTATTTATACCTTGTTCCTATAATGTCATTAACTGAGAGCATGAAAAATAACAGATAATAGAGTTTTGGAGCAACCACAATACACTAGGATTTGAGGCTCGACGCCATTAGTATCTTCGCAGGGACTTAAGAAAGTAGAACTCATCATCCGGCCATCTTTTAACCTTTTCCCTATTGTCTATAGATTTAACATCGCTGGAGTCTGTCTGCACTTAGGATACATGTAAGCAGGTGACATCACGTGTGCGGGGTTTCTTGGAAATTCTTAATGGTTGTTGTCTCATCCTCAAACCCTCTGGTTCGATTATATTTTAGTATCATTTTACAATAAATATATAGATTTTTATTAATTCTTATATAATTCGGTTAATTAAAACTCGTGGAAAAATAATCTTTTAAAATATTACACTTTTGAATTTTTACTCTTTAATTTTCAATAATATATATATCTCTAATTAAATAAAATGATGATAATAATATAAATATGAAAATAAGAAAAAAACTTAATTTTATTTACTGAATCATTTCAATTAATTATAATTGTTGATAATTTTTTAATTATTAGTTCAAAAATCAAATAAAGATCGAAATATTATATTTTATATCAAAACGATATCTAAAATATTTCAAACCCTTTGGAGATCCTATAATAGTACCCCATATACCTCTCATTGATCGGTTTATAGATTTTAGGTAAGCGGAGAAGGGTCTGAGGATGATTTCGGTCCCGAGAATCCCCACCCCACGCATGCCAAAGTTAAATCACCGCCGAGTTAATTCCACACAACCGTTTTCTTCATTCAATCTCCTTTTCTCTCGTCCCGTATCAAGAAGCCGTGTTGTGGATGTGACTTTTTCCACACTGGATTTGGGCCACGAGTTGTGGGGATCGTGGGGCACATACGTTACGTACTACGAGATGCCTCTGTGCTATATACAGCCATACACTCTAGGACTCATTCAATATCGCATCAATTCTAAATATCATACAAGACGAGGAGCAGTAAGTCGTCGAACAAAAATTACATCCCAGCTATAAATTCATTGAAAAGCTTTCACCATGGATAGAGCATCACACATCGTGATTATTGGAGCAGGTAAAATACTTCGTTCCCCTTTACTCGGGTTTCACCATCTGACAGCTTTCAGGCATGGGAGGATTGGCATGCGCGTTGTCTTTGGCCAAGGAGGGCTTTACGAACATCGATGTCTATGAGACAGCGTCAAATTTAGGATTTGTCGGTGCTGGCATTCAATTGGCGCCAAATATGGCTAGAGTTTTGGATAGATTGGGATGTTGGAAAGAGATCGAGGCCGAAGCTGTAGATCTGAAAGAAACTAGTATTAGACGTATGTCCTGGTCTTTTTTTTTGGTCATTTTTCTTTCCTCACCTGTTCTCCCCAAAGTTCGATATCAAATATCGTATCCCGTGTCACACACCTCCTACCAAATCATGAAACTGACCTAGAGATAGAGGGCGATTCCGATAATGAGCTAGCTCATGTGGATCTTTTGTACATTAGAGATACCTATGGTTACCCTCACATGGTAGGTCACCGATCCAACCTTGCTGGCTCTATGTATGAGGCTTGCAAGAAGGAAAGTGGCATCAAGTTCCACTTTTCCACAACAGCCGAAGCCGTAGAGTCCTTTGGTCCCAAACCAGTCCTCAAGGTCAAGCCGCGCGAAGGAGAATCTTATAATGTCGAAGCAGATGTCATTCTCGCATCAGATGGTATCAAATCTATCGTTCGATCAAAGATTTTGGCTGAATTGAGCCATGATGCACATATTACCGACACGAATCAGGCAGCATACAGAATTATGCTAAAGCGAGAGGACATGGAAAAAGACCCCGAACTTTTGGAACTTATCAATGGAGAAAAGGTCACGAGATGGATTGGAGAGAAAAGGCATATTATTGCTTACCCAGTCTCAAGCAAGCAGATTTATAACCTCTCCACCGTCCAACCTGATACCAACTTCGCCGCCGCTCCATCCGCCACTTATACTACCAAAGGTGACAAGGCTGCTATGTTAAATATTTTCTCCGATTTCTGTCCTAAAGTCCAACGTATGCTGAATCTTGTCCCTGATGGCGAGGTATGCGAATGGAAACTACGCGTTCACAGCCCTCTTCCTACTTGGGTTCGGGGTTCCATCGCACTTGTCGGAGATGCCTGCCATCCAACCCTTCCTCATTTGGCTCAAGGTGCCGCACAAGCAATTGAGGACGCTGCCGTCTTGGGTGCCGTCTTTTCTAAATGTCCTTCCAGCGATCCCTCGGATATCAACAAATCGCTACTCGTCTATGAAAGTGTAAGGAAAGAACGTGCCGAGACACTTGTCGAGCTAGCTGCACAATCCGGGCGAGCTTTGCATTTAGGAGATGGAGCTGCAAAGGCGGAGAGAGACAAGCAATTCGCTGCATTGAAGCAAAAGGGTGGTGCGGTTCCAGATAAATGGGCGGATTCCGAGGTCCAGAAGAAGATTTATGGTTTTGATTGTTATCAAATTGCTCTTGATAGGTTTGATGATTTATTTGCGAAGGTCAAAGAGGGTCAATTTGTTGGCCTGGAACAATCGGTCAACAGCAGTGGTGGAAATGGAAATGCTGCTAAAATATAATGTCATTGTAGATGGGATCTTACAAGGTAAAACTTCTTGAAACTTCACATGAAATGTTTGTTATTCGTCCATTTTGATTCCTTGCCGAAACGATACGTTGTATGTTATTGTATTAACATTGGACTGAACGACCTCGCCGATAGTAAGTTAAAATATATCCTTGCGTGCTTTAGCTACAGTCATAGGGCTCCGGACAAACTCTGGCGTCCACTCGATACCTAGCCTTGTTTGATACCACCAAACCGTTGTACCAGCGACATCAATGTTTGACCTACAGAATGATAGTAAACCATATCATAATATTCTTAAACTTCTAGCTCAAACCCAACTTACAAGTTGCATACCGAAAGTTCTAGAATAAAAATATTTCGTCCAAAGCTCTCATCGATGCGTCCGAGTGGTCGTTTTTAAAATGCTTGATGCTTGATTTAATGCATAACATCAATTGACTCGCACGTCCATCCGAGCTTGGGAAACCCCAGAAATTTCCATCGCATTCGGTCTACTTTGAAACTCGTTCAAAATCAGATAATCGTGAGAAAATATCTACATGCTGCAAGGCACTAAGATCATTTGAGGCTATAATCGCGAAGTTAGAGCAGAAAATGGAATGAATTTGTTTAGAAGTCAAAATATTAAAATTATAAGGAGCGTAGTGTAGAATTAAAAAAATCATTCGGCGTTGACTTGAATGTAGCTTGCGGTGTATGTAGATCCAATAATTGCCATCCTTGCTTCTTACATCAAAACCTTCCCTCGAACGCCCATTGCTCAAATGACTAGTCGTTATTCCCACAACAAAGAAGATTCGTAAATGAATAGATCATAATCGTCGTCATCTGGTATATGCCCGTACTTGTCCATACCAATCCCCTGCTGCTCTTAATCCGTGCCATCCACCTTCCGTCCACTGCCCCTTCCCATCTGTTGCCAAACGGACAATTAAATCAATGCTATCTTACAGCACTCAAAACGAATGTCATATCGCCATAAAAGGGACTACTTGACCCAGGTAGGGAAATTAGCAGGATCGTTAGTCCCGAATCGACTCTTCCGAATCTTCATATCATCCCCCAACACTCTGACATCGAAACCCCTTTCCAAGTCCGTGGGGTCTCGGTTCTCACTTCCATAATGAGCCTTCATCTCATCCATCTTATACATGTCCAGGCCACTCAACCTCCACCAATCTCTTTGACCTTCTGTCATGCCATCAGACCGTCCTATAGCAGTCCCCGAACTTTGCATCGATCTAGGTAATCCACGAAGAGTTTCTAAGATAACGTCTGCCTGCTGCATAGTTAAACCTTCCTCCCCTTTTTCTTTATCCGCATCTCCACCCACTAATTCATACTTCATTGCTTTTAATCCCAGGTACAATGCTGCGGCAAGGCACGATCCTAAAGCAGGACCAAGCCAGTAGATCCAATGATAGCCTGGGAATGAGGCTTGAACGAGGGCTGGTGAAAATGCTCTGGCAGGATTAATTCCTGCTCCTGTCCAGAATATACCGACGAGATGACCAATGAAGAGAGAAAATCCAATACCAATGGGTGCGAGAAAGGTGGACTTCGTTTTCTCAGCAACAAGCATGAGGATGGTGATAACGAGCATAAAGGTTAAAAGGAGTTCGATAAACAGGCCTTGAACTTTTATTCGAATAAATTAGTTCATACCTCATGCTTCATTAAATCTCTTGATGCTTACCGTGTGTGACACCTGGTCCGAGTGATACTGCGAAAAGTATATCATTACCCGGTATAATACCTTTAACTGCCGCAGCAGCTAAGCTTCCACCCACAAGTTGAGCAGGAATAAGTATCAATGCTTTCAATGGAGACACCGCTCTGATGATCACGAGTGCAAGCGTCACAGCCGGATTAAACTGCCCACCACTGACACGAAAAAAGATCCAAACGTTTGCTGCGAGACTGGCGCTGAATGCAAGGGCAATAAAGAGAAGTTTTGATGTATCGGTTGCGTTGGGTGTAAGAGGTGTGGTTCCGTTGGGTTGATTCGCTGTTTGTGCCGCAGCGAATGCGAAAAAGAGGAATAGAAATGTTCCAACAAATTCACCGATCATAGAGACCAAAAGATCTCTAATTGAGCCCTTCAACGCCATGGCTTTGATGAGGTCCTATCACTTAGATGATAATAATTGAGTTATAAAATGAAGATTTCAAACATCAGACGGTATTAATCCAACTAATTCCATCTATCCTCACAATGTGAAAGATAAGGAACTTTCGAAACAATGTGATAATAAAAAAGGTTAGAGAGAAAGAAGATGCAGAGGAGAAGAGAGGATATAACAACAACTTCTTTATGCAGTGTAATGGCCAAACCGGTTCCGCCCTTCTCCTCTACAGCCCAAAGTTAGAAAAGATTCCGATACCCCAGGATATTATGCTACCAATGAACGTTAAGTGATATGACGATCAATAATATAACAAGAGAAATTGAGGCTCAGTGTATCCCGCAAAGGTCGCATGATGGAGGATGCGCTGAAACCAAAGAATTTGGTCAATATTGTTACAATGCGGTGTCACTGAGTTAGATGACAAGTGACATACTGTAGAACGCTGAAAATAGAGGCGCTACGCCTCAAATTACAGATCATTGTATGCTTTTTTTTAAAAATTCTAATGTCTAGACTAGTGTCTCGCCAAGTCGTGGCATAAGATAAAATATCGAATTGTGTACTGTAGAAACTCAAATATCAGAAAAAGCCATTTATCGGACTATAAAATGGCGTACCATTTTTGAGAAGGGAGAGATTCCGAAATATTGACAAGTTTACCAGCAGGTACGATGTTAATTCCCCAACTGAAACCAACAGTATGCATCAAGATAAATTAAACATGAACGAGTGAACAAAAATTAGCTAAGGGTATGTTGTGAGCATAAAACGCTCGAGCATCATGATGTCAAACGTGGTGGACTAGCTAGTTTCAACGGGCAAAGACGCTAGCGGGGAAATCAGTTTAGAACCGATGACGAAGTATTCTTTGCAGATTCTAGCGCCGGGCCAGGCTTCGTTTGATGTAGCTAAATTGGTTCTTGGCCGGATGAAAAGACCTAAGAATCCAAAAAAAAGTCGCCACTTGACGAAAGCAGGAAATAGCGGAGCTTTTTCATCTGTGCCCCTTGATGATTTATTGGCTGTTGAGATTAAAAAGTCTTATTGCTTCTGCCACCAAGGTAATTTGGCGATATAAACTCTTCATCTTTCGCCAGGTGATGATTTTGGGCGGAACATTGGTAGCATTGGTAATTGGAAGATTTGAACAATCGGATTAGTCAATTCCCACATGTCAGCCACCTTACCAAACGAGAATTTCGTCGTCACATCAATATCGACAGTTGGAAAAATGTAATCACTTTGCGAAAAGTAGATTTTTAGACTGGCAGCGGCATGAACAATTTCAAAGTGAAGCCAGACAAGCTATAGAGACCCGCGTGGTATCAAGTGCTCTTCTTGAGGGAGAGCAACTCGAACCTTGAAGATCTGCTTGAATTTTGACACAATGTGACGGAAGTTCTTGTGCAATTCTGGCGCTCGACGTGTCAATGATACTGCAGTGGGGGTTGAAAAATGTATTGCGTCCATCAAACATTAGAAAACCAAAAAAGAAGTCATAAGCATTGTCATCTCTTCGCTGCGTGTAGATCCTGTCAACAATTTTCTACGATCCCCACGGAGCTCATTATTCTCGCGACTCAACGTCGTATGCCTTAAGTGTGGTAGCGCTTGGCAATGCTGTGCTTCATGCGTGAAACCAACGCTACTGCCGCTTCGCCGGCATGGCCCTCAATTCGGAGAATTGTTATGCCAACGAAACCCCTTGAAGATTTGCACGTGGTGTACTCTATCCTGTAAACATTGTGAGAAAAATGGGAGTAGGCTAACCACATGAATTTCTCCATTTCAGAACGTACAAAATGCATGCAGACACACGTCAGCCTGCGCTCACAACTTACATTCATGAAATCAAGGTACATTCCGAGGAGTGATGTTGATATTTAGATGATCTACAGTAGTGCAAGGTAACAAATGATGTCTAGGGTGATAAACGCTTGGCTGGTGGGATGAAAATGTGGAGAAGCATGGTCGCAGACCGTTTATAGACCACCGCAACTCCATGCAACTTCAACATCATGTCGATAACAGCTTTTTCAGATATGCTTGCATGGCCCAACAAAAGAGAATTTAGTAGATAGTGAATGGCAAGTTCTTCCGGGGCCGAATGGTTCATTACTTCTTCAACCTCCGCTGGGAGACCACGACAGGGAGTGATATCAACTCAATGTTCTTGGATGTTTGTGTGAGATGGCCAAGATAAATTATCTCAGAATCTGATAGAATTTTGGAAACAAATTGTGTAGTTATATGGCCAACTATGACGTTCCTTGTACTCTGAATAAATATCAAGTCTACATTTAAATGTACTCAACCCCGAGTTAATAAAAACTCATGGTCGCACCCTGATAGGCGAACTTCTCGTGCGCAGAAGGTGGGAAATCAAAGATGCTCCTGCAACTTGGGATGCAAAAAATTGTGACCGACGCTCAACGCCTGATTATGTTGGCTCAAGAGGCTTGTGTATAATTGCGTGCGTATATAGAGACTTTCCCATCTCGTGAGGTCATGAGGTTTAGAATTCGATGCGTGCAAACAGATATGTCAGAAGTCCAATCTATATTACATTTATCGAAAGCTCGGCACCAAGCCCAAAGCAAGGGTTAAAATTCGTGGAGTAAACAGGTCGGATGGAGTGAGGACTACCATCTTAAGATAAACCTCATACGGTGCTGTGTAGGTTGGGCTTGCAGGTCTTCTCAATGATGTGAACATGATGTAGACACGATAGTAAGTGAGTAGTAAGTCCTGGGTGTGTAGCTGTTTTGATTGAATCTGATTCTACCAGGCGTGAAGGATTGAGTAACCTAAACCTAAATAGGTTAGTTCTATATACTCAGGTAATCTGGTCGTATCTTCTCTTGAATGGTAATTGAATGATAAACTTCCTCAAAAGAGCAGCAAATTAATGAAAATTAACATCCATTGCTTCAAAAATGGACTGCTTCGGAGAAACAAAGTTCTGGAATAGGATTGTAGATTTGCGTAGCTTTTGAAAGCCATGCAACCTAATATCATCGAGGTACCGACCCAGGCAGGTCTATTGCACGCAGTGCGCAACTCATTTTTCTACTTGCAGGATATATCGAGATGGACTTGGTCGCAACTTTGACGTTTTCGAGCGAATAAACATGTGCGAGGTTGGAATTGGGCCCGATCGATCGGACTGCTGTGAAAGCCGCGCAAGCCATGAGACAGACAACTGCCAGCTCAGTACAAGCTATCATCTGCAAGGCAGCAGGGCTATTTCCAGTACGCAAGCATTCATTGCCGCATAATTCCTCCGCTCAAGACGCATATGAATGGATTGAATAATGGGAAGAATGGTGGTGAGGATTTCTAGGAGATGTGTTTCGCAGACTGTGGCCCGACTATTCAATGGATGAGCATGAGGCCCCTAGCAGGACAACTCCTCAAGTCTTACTACTTTCCACAGCGTTCGCTCTGACTTCAATCATCGAGTGTGTCGTTTCCGATCCGCGGTTTTACAAACAACCTGTATCGTACCTCGGGATCCCAAATTTTAATGTTCTTTGAAACAGAATGTCTTTCTTTTCCGCGATGTTTTCAAAACAATTTCCATCTTCTTGATACTTTTCCGGGGCTGTGAAGAGATTTTGGTGCCTGTTTTAGGTCTACCGTAGCAGTCGCCCGGTCCAGTTCTTGTTGGAAAGCTGCATTCTTTAACGTTTTTATAACAATTCTCGCACAACATTTCGTCGGATTTGATTGGCACTGATAATCCCAGCCTCAACATCTCCCATCCTTCCCTGATTCCCAATTTGCCCCCCATGATGTGACAAGTGCAGCCTTCATGTCGCAGTTTGATTTACTATGCTGGTTTGAAGCTAATTTAGTACCACGGTCTTCCCCAATTTTGTCCGGCATTAATCCCATATTACAACTATTCTCAAGCTGTTGAGCGGTAGACGGTTGGGCTTTTTCACAGTGAATCACTTTACCTTGTCTACCTTTGTGATGAATTCGACTATTAACTGGCTAATTCAGGACTTAGTGACAATAAGAAATCGCAAATGCGCGCCCAGAAAAGTTTACTCACGATGTATCTGGATACTCGTTGATGCTCCTTAGATTCATCATATCAGATTGTGGCTCATAAAAAAACCATGATTTTTCCAAAAACGTAACTTTTCTCACTATCTCGTTCTCGTACTGATCAACTTGCTGCACCTCGCTGGTTCTAACTCTGACTCCTACGGCGGCTTTGATCGACAGGTTCCATTTATTCTCTTTAAGTGTATTGAGGTAGCCTAGAGCCTTGATGGGCATCCTTGAAACAAGATGGATGGATTTCGCTGGAATTACTGGAGTTATGTCGCCTCCTATACTTCTATCGTATCAATCAACTTGTCGCGGCAACTATTGGAGGCAGCCTTACGCTATTATGATCCTCATTTAGTGTTCGCAATTCCCAATGGTATTCTGATTTCTGAGTGTTCTATTGAGTTGCGCGCCCCATATCGAAGGTGCAAGTCACGACGATGTGATCGTGAAATGACCACAGACCATAGCAATTGAAGATGTCCAATTTCTACATTACCTGGAGTCGGCTGCATCGGCTTCCCGACTTCTGCAACATTAAGTATTGTACTTAAGATAGCCAGCTGCAACATACTTTACAGGATAACCCATGCTTTCCTTCTGTCCCTACCTGGTTCATTGGACAAACAAGGAATGCAAAGTTACATTTTCAGCCACAAGTCACATATAAAGCGGTCCTATTGGTTAATCGTAAAACAGAGATCCTGTAGCACAACTAGTGACTATTTGGCGTTAGTTCCAAGCACCCGAAATATCCTACATGATCCAGCATTACGCAGCACAAATATTGCCAAAGACTCTCGGGCTTAAAGATACGGCATATTGGAAAGATCTGAGGCAGGAAAGTAGACGATTTAGTTCAGAAAACCCTATCATCGCATGCTGGGAAGTCAAATGTATGCACAGGCGTCTAAGAACTGCGAAGTGGCCTCCGAAAATGCCATTAGTCGACGCATCTCTTCTTCTGTTAGCCTTGATGAAATTTATCCTTCAGCTATGATACTTCGATGAATAGGTTTCTTTGTACTAAACTATCTTTACCGCTAGTAAAACAAGCTCAATGGGTGCAAATTTTTTTAGCGCATTCAATGTATTTCCTATGTGTAACGTCCTTGAATTTGGAAGCTGCAGTTTCTTAATTCCTCCAAGCAGATATTTCTATTCTAGGTAAAATGAACACCGATGATGATCAATAAAAGAAGGAGCTTGTCTCCAGCAGTCGTCATTTTGAGTACTAGAGATCACGTCCATTCTTCTCATACTACATGCTATAAATTGATCAATGTTAAGAATACAACCAAAGGGTTACACAGGTTTTAACTCTAGTATAAAAATTTTATATTTTAAATATTTATATTAAAAAGTTAAATAATATTTATCAATTTTCAATTAATATTTTTTATAATCACCACCCCCGGTCGATATTTTATATAATCATTATTATTTTATTATTGATTTATTGACTTTATAATCTTATTATACACAAGGTTTATTTAGTAGGTAATAGAAAATGAAAAATTCACTTAAATAAATCACAATCTTGATAATCTGATTGGTTTAAAATACCCCGGTAAATAATCTAACAAAAATCTTAACATAAACCTTAGACAAATCTAACTGTCACGATTCACGGTTTTCATTATAGTAGTATTATTGATGTCGGTGATTTATATGCTGATTATAGGGGGAGTGTGATTTAAATCGTTGTTTTCAAGGGTCCTGATTACCTAAGCCTGGGACCCCAGGATTCTTAGGATAAGTATTCTAGGCAATCATGGTAGAATAGGACAAGTGTCTTATCTAATTGGCTGAAATAGAACAATCATTCTAAGGGATACTGTATCTTAGGGCTATAGTTCTTGAAGGAAAGCTTTTGGGATGAGTGTTTCAGGAAAGGAAAAACTTCAGGATAGAAGAAACTTTAGGATCAATCATATGATGTGCTAGCTCTGTTAGCCAACTAGTAAAGCTAATATTTCAGAAATGCTAGTTATATTAGTCAGTTAGTATAATTAGTATACAAGAAAGGAGATTAGTATATAATCAGAATAGTTTTATAGTTTAGAAGTTTCGTATTTAATTTAATTATCAATTAATTTATTTATATTCTAATTGATTTAGTAACGAATTTATTTTCAAATAAATAACTAATGATTAATAATTTTAATTCACAATTATCAATTATATGAAATCTCAGACAACCGCTGCCTCGATCAGATCGTTACACTGACTTAAAGCTTTTTTCAATTTAATTTAATTAAAATCATTCAACTTATTCAATTTAACTTTATTTATTCAACTCTAAAATCATTCAACTCATTCAATTCAACTCTATTTATTTAATTCAATTTTATTTATTCAATTTATCTTATTCAATTCAAAATAATAATAATAATAATAATAAATAATATAAATAATATAAAATATTATTATTATTTAAAATATTATAAATAATAATATTAAATAATAATATCAAATAGTATTATTATAAATATTATAAATAATATAAAATACTATTAAATTATATTATAATTATTATTTTTAAATAAAATAATTTAATTTTTAATTATTAAAAACAAGCTGATATTTTATTTGCACGCTGATATATATTTAATATTTAATTTATTATAAACTTTTTAAACCGTAAATTTTCATTAGAATATCTCAAAAAGTCAGGGGTCCGGAGGGCGCAGGCCCCTGATATTATCTATATTATTTATAATAATAATAATAATTATTATTATTATTATAAATTAAATTAAATGAATAGAATTGAATTGAATGATTTTAATAAAGTCGAGTTGAATGATTTTAGTAGAGTTGAATAATTTTAATTGAGTTAAATTGAAAAAAGTTTCAAGTTAGATTTGTTTGAGATTGTAAGGTTTATTTTATCAAGCTTTTTGTTAGATTTATTTACCGGGGTATTTACTGAGGTATTTTAAACCAATCAGATTATCAGGATCGCGACTCATTTAAGTAAATTTTTCATTTTCTATCACTCATCAGATAAACCTTATATATAACAAGGTTATAATGTCGACAAGCTGACAAAAATATATTTTATTTAATTTTATTTTTTATAAAAATTTTAAAAAAGTTATTTATATATTATTAATTATAATATTAAATAAAATCTTGATTAATATTAATAAACTTTTAAAAATAAAACTTTTTGATAAATAATAATAAAAAAATAAAAATTTCATTATTTAATTCAAAATCTTTTATAGATTTCAGAAATATATATATTAAGATTATTTTCATTTTAAATTTTAAATTTTAAATTTTTATTGATATCAATTAGTAAAGTATTAAGATTATTTTCATTTTATATCTTAAATTTTCATTGATATTAATCAGTAGGGTGTTAGGACTGTGATTCACTTAAACAAGTTTCTTATTTTCTACGATCTACACCGGGTAAATTACAATACACTAGTGCGTACAACAAGCTTTTGGTGTCGGCAAGCCGATAATAATACCTGGATCTCCAACTGTACCAACTTATTCTTCAAATGAATCGTCTTGCCCCTCAATTAATTTGTACTAATATGGCTCATCAATTGCGTTATCGTTGTCATCATCATCACTATCATCCACACAGCCTCCTTATATGATTCAAAAGGCACAACGTCATGTTCGAATCGTTTTTCCAGAAAGGCTTCCATGAATTGCTTGAAACTCTTCTCAATAGATGCCATACTCCCTAGCTTGCATGCATGTAGATTTTTGGCGAAAGGATCAAGGAATAAACAAAATGCTCCTATCTCTGGCTCAAAATCTGTAATCCACTTCTCTACAAGTAACAGATGTGTTGCACTGAATCTCTTTTGGACAAGGTCGAATTGACTGGTTCCCTTGGTGTTATCAGCCACCGCCAAGGTGAGAGCAGCACCAGCTGGGGATTTCGAACCGGAGCCCAAAGTCCTACCCCATGATAACCATATACGACCTGTATGAGCGTACCTAAGCACCTTCTTCTCATCGAGTGTCTTCGTGGTATCCGCATCAGCGACGCTTCTGTAGAAGTCTCCAGCTAGTGACATACGCTTTGATTCAAGTTGCGAGCTCGTCATACCACGGTACCTCCTGTCAGGGCAGTTGCTCCACCATTCATCCCATAAACGTAACTCCTCCATTGCAAGCTCTGCCTTCGCCATTGCCTGTATAAAATATGAGAGGTACTGTTGATTATCAGATTTGTTGACGATCAAAGCAATCTTTTGGATTCTGTTATTGTTTGCCGATTCTTTAGCGGTCAAGAATGGTGCTTTCTTCGCGTTTCTTAAAGCAGTAAGCACCTTTGCAGCTAAAGCTGTGACATCCAATGTCAGAACAAATTCAACTACTTTGTCATACAGCGGAAGTGTGACATCAACGGAGGCTTCAGCTCTTGGCTTTGGCACTTCGATCGAAAAGCTTCCAGCTCAAAGTCCTTGAAAGTCCTATTAGCAACTGCGTCAAAAATTTCCTTATCTATCCATTGATATAGAAACGAGGCTGGTTTTCTCGAATTTTCTGGCTCTTTGGAGAAAGGCATTTCATCCATAGCCTCGGCAAATGTAGATTTGTAGACTTTTTTTTACCGCGAGTTCGGCGTTTGGTGGGTCCATCTTCCTTGTGTCCTGCTACTGCGACGGCAGCCGATGCGATCAAAGCCTGTTTAGATGGTACAGATTTGCTGACACCTTGCAAAACATTGTAGAAGGATTTTCCAGCAGCTGCCTTTGTTAAGTCTTCTGGTGTCATTTCGTTTACGGCATCTGCCATCATCTTTGCCGCCGCAGCGTAAAGCCCTCGTAGCATGTCGAGCACTTCAGTTTGTCCATTAGTTATTGCATCTTGCTTCTGGTGTGTTTGATCACATGCAGAAACGAAGTTGGTATGGGGGTGATACAACCTCTTGGAGCATTTCTTCCGATATCTAGACCAGCTTGTTTTCCCAACATGTCGCACCATCTGCCATCCAACAATAAAACAATTGTTCGGACTCTTCAATTTCTTGATCGTAAGCCGATATGCCTCCTCCGGCAAGTGGGAGATCAGAGAGAGATGGTGTGTTCTCGATGTTCTGGTGACGAGGTGAAGTTTTAGGAGAAGTAGGTTTAGAGGAATCGTTGTTCGTTGTGGGTAACAAGGAATTCGATATCAGTGTAGTATTTGTTTTTGAATTTGGTTTTAGAAATTGGTTTTGGCGTTTCGCTGCAGTTCTAAGGAATCTGCTCGGCATCTTCACTGGCTGATGCTGAAGTAGAGGCCTGTCTGGAAGAGGTAAGGGATGTGGGAGATCAGGGAGAGATGGTGAGATTTCAGCATCCTAATGTTGAGTAGAGGTCCGTTTGGGAGAGGAAAGGAATGCGAGCTTTCATTTTGAGTTGTTAAAAAATACCAGATATACTCGGAATTTTCGGGGGTAATGGTTGTTGCGCAGATGGGGATTTTCCGATAGACTTTCCCGCAGCATCTGATATAGAATGTTAAATCTGAATATCTATTAGATCGTGGTAATTGACCTACCTGTCAAATCCTCAGTTCTATTTCTCATCCTTCTTTCCTGCCTCTCTCTGAATTGTCTCGAGTGCTCTTCCTTTCTAATTCTAAGTTTCTCGCCTCGTCGAGCTCTGGCCTCCACCGATCGATTAAGTCTTCGAGATGGCGTTACAGCGCGAGGCTGTTGTATATATTGAGGTACATATAGGGGAAATTGTAGAGTAGGAGGACACTGTAGTGTTTGGTTTGAGTAGTTCTGTTGATGATGAGGTTGAGAGAATGGAGTTTTTTGTGAATGTTGATGGAACGAGAATTGGTTGAAGTATGCTGGTAGCATTTGGCTTTGGGAATGATATGGCTGAACTGATGTATATGGTTGAACCCATCGAACGGGTATATATAATTGAACTGACTGTGGGTGTGTATGTTGTGAATGCCAGCTCCATTGATTATCGGAGTCCATTGTTTTTAGATATTAGAGAAAAAATAGATATACATTCAGACGATGAGCGAATGAGTATAATTAAGAGAACGTTGCGAGTGGTTTTGAATGATGGGTGCGATGTATTTACCTCTCAACAGAGACTTAAATACCTTGAGAAATGAATGAGAATGAATTAACGAAAATCCGTTGAAAGGTAGGAGCTATTTTCGCTCTCTCCCTGAAAGGTGGTCGGAATGTGGGGTAGAGGACTTAGTTATTCTTATATAACTCATCATCTTTGATTAGTAGAATAACACTTTAATAATCTCATCGCTCGCGCATTTTCTTTTTCCTGCCATGGCACTGCTATTCTGCTTACGCAAAGCTAAGCTCTGCTTCCAATACAGACATCTATAACAGGAGTCATGTCGACGATCACCCTCGCTCCCGGGCAAGTTTTTCGAGGCCCAAACAAAGACTACGAAGTATCTGAAATTCTTCGAGGTGATGGATCGCATATATCCATTGTCGCAAAGGCCGCGGTGACTCCCCATGATGACAAGGCTGACCAACAACATCCCCGGTGGTTCGGATTCACCATGTCTCATTTGAGTGCAATTTCTGATTGCTAATTGCGCCCATGTAGGGCCGTAATAAAATTGGCTGCTAGCAAGATTGCCCAAAAAGGTCTACAGCGTGAAATTGTTGCTTATGCCCTTCCTGGCGTCAGCTCTGCCCGATGTTTTCGACAACATTACCCATTAGAGAGCGAGAATACCATGGCTTTGGAATGGCTAGATCTCACTCTCGCAAATCTCCTCTACAAACCTAGCAGGCCAGTTTACAACATAATCAAAGCGGTTCTACATACGTGTCTGTTAAGTTATGACATTCTGGCTGACCAGAAGCACGTGAACACAGGTACAACGTTGATGCGTGAAGAGTTTGCGCATACTAATTTGCTCAGACATTAAACCTGCCAATATTCTCCTCTCCACTGTCAGAACCAATTGCAAAGATATCATTGCCAAAGTAGGAGATTTGGGATCGGATGACTCAGCGTTAAATCAGGCGTCACGTGATTGTACTAACTTGTTTTAAGGACACGAAGCCGACACCATAGAGTGCCAACCGGTTGGCATGCGTGCCCCCGAGGTGTGGTTGCACCATGGCTGCACCATGGCTGCACAAGTCTGGTCTGTTGCGGCAATGTCGTTAGTCTGGATGAAGCCTGGCTTCTTCGGCGAAGACGGCGAACCCAGTTCGTCCTCCGTCGAGGCTTGGTGTATTGCAAAAATCAGAAGGCTTTTTCCTGACTGAGTTATCTCCTGTCCTGAGGAGGTTGAGGATAAAGATCTGGAACAGACTATGAATGATGCCATGGCCATATACACAACTCCAAAGCCTGAGGAAGAACAATTGCAGGAGATTCTTCCATTCGATAAAGAAATACAGAAGGTGAATATGCGGCACGAGCTGAGATCTTTGCTTCTTATCATGTTGGCCACAGATCCAAAGAAGCGACCATCCTCGTCAGATGTGTTGGCCTCGGCTGAGTATCAAGCTTTTGTGAAATTTGTAGATGGGTTATACAGTTCAACTTAACGTGCATAGCCAATCAGGCTTTACTTACTGCTTGCTAAATAACATATTTATTTTCTCTGTATGCCATCCTACCTCAACTAAATATGCTCCACTCGATTATATAATATTCTGTATAAATTTGTTATAAAACTATTCCCTCTAACAATCAGAGAAATACCAGGTGCTCCCGAAAGTGCAAATTACTTGCTCGGTCTGTTCGGTGTCAATTTGCTCATTACTACGATCGTGCAGCATTAGAAATTCGTCTGCAGTGAGCTCTTCTGCGGTTGACCGTTCTTCAGGAAGCCAGCGCAGCATTTTGCGGACGAGCCCAAGGAAGATGTCTTTTTTCCTTCCCTGCAGGCGCGTTACCCTCATCTCTGTGGTCTGATTTGGGATTGGTGTTGCAGCGATCCAATTGCCTTTACACGTAAGCAAAAAAAGCAAGCTTTGATAGTCACGTTTGACTCACCTTCTGCATCCCAATATTGACGGCACATCTCGCTTCGCTCTCTGAAGCTTCGTCGTGGGGGTCCTAAAAGAGACACCATCTGAGCGAGGTGCAGTTCATCGTCGAGCTGGCCGTCTTTGATGGGAGGGAATAAATTATGGGCTTCAAAAAGATCCCAGATCTATCTCCTCATGTTAGCACAAACTAGAGTAACAGTAAATACCTCGAGAGTACGGGCCATCACTCCAACAGACCATACGTCTATCTTGGAGCCCCATTGCATATTCAGGATGACTTCAGGAGCCCGATACAGGGCGGGCATTACATCTCCAATGTGCTTCTCGCCTATTCTAGCAGCGCCGAAATCCCAGAGAATTGGTGTAGTTTGTAATAGAAATCAACGACTGTAAATTCTAAGGATTATTGACGATGATAAAATTAATTTTCTTCATAATGGGTTCCCGCATCACTCCATTTTACCCCGCAATTTCAAGAACATCATGTTCTGCATTCTGAGGATCAGCCGAAATATAAAAAATCGTGAATTCCATGCAGCTGCTAGCTCTGGGTTCGATATGGTTATCTCAAATAGCCACCTGTTTATGATCCTTAGTCTTGTCTGCATAGCTCTTCCCTTGTCTTTTGCCGGCCCGGGACTCAAACTCTTCTCAAGTGCCGTCATGGACATCAATTATCCTGAAAGTAATCATGAAATCAGCTTTTGAGAAGTTTATCATCTTGAGATACTCTTTCATGGTACTTGATTGGTAACCTTCTTTGCTCATCCATGACTATATCCAAATAGCAGCGAAAAATCAATCACTGGAGTTTTGGAACAATGAAATTATAAATACAAGTAAACTGGCTTCGACGGTACCGTACTTATCTAATCCAACCCTTTGGTCCTCCCCAAGTACCCTTCACCATATATTTTCCATAAACCCATGGGAAGAAATCTTTCTTTAAATAATAAAACTCCCTTCGGGGAATGGCTTGATCAATGCCGAGCCATTTATTGAATGTCTCTTTCGGTACTCCACCGTACTTAAACTCTGCAAGTAGTACCTTTCCATACTCAGTTAAAAGTGGGCATGATGTATAACCATCATAAACCTCTTCCGGTTCTTTGCCATCAATAGCCAAGAGCAGGTTACGAGCCAGAACGGGCGCCTCTGCAGTAATCGCCGCAATTGTTTTCGAGGTTGGTAAACTTGAAGCATCACCAGCAGACCAGACATTCTGGTACTTCACATGGCGCGTAGTTCCCTCGTCAACGTTGACATAACCAGCATCATTTGCAAGTACACTGTTCTTAACAAAGTCATGGGGTCGGTTTTTTGGTGCCACGTGCAAAAGATCAAACTCCCTCTTAACCTGACCTTGTCCATCCGTACGAGTAAAAGTCGCCACATTGCCATCGATGGCAGTGAGGTCGTGCTGAAATAACCCTTCAACCGACCTTTCTTTTCTCAATTCCTCCAGCTTGGCACTATATTTAGGTACACCAAACATTGTTGGTAGACCGGTTGCGAAAGTGATGTTTATCGCCGAACCAGAGGGATTTTAACATCGTATAAACCTGCACGTTTCCAATGATCCAATGCAAGCCACATAATCTTCTGTGGTGCACCAGCACATTTGATAACGCCGGTTGGTTGGGTGAAAATTGCTTTTCCCCTTTGAAGTTTTTTTATTGTACCAAAGACCTTGTCACAATGATCATAGTTGTATATGGAGGACACAAGAGAGTCTGGGTTGTCAAGAGCCTCGGACAACCCCTTCACGCTTCCAACGTCAACCGTGATGCCTGGAGCGACAACGAGTTGCTCGTAATTGACTTTATCTCCATTTTTCAAAGTGAGAGAGTTATCATCTGGAGAAAACCCATTCACGCAAGTATTATAAAATCTAAGTTTCGGGTCAATCAAATCTTTCAGAGGTTTTCTGAGACTCTCCTTTGTCTTGAGTCCAGCTCCAACAAGAGTCCACCCGGGCTGATAGTGGTGCCACGTGGCAGGGTCGATGACAGCAATATCATCTTGATGGAAGTTCCCTTGCCTTAGAAGCTGATGACTGATGCAAAGACCGGCAGAGCCGCCGCCCACTACAACAATCTTGTGGTTTCTATTGTGACCAACTACGGGTGATACGGTCGCAAAACTTCGGACAGTCCGGACAAGTTGTGCCCGGGCGATAGAACGTTTAGGCATTGACGTTGCCATTATAACGTTGCCGTAAGATCCGTTAGAGCCCCAAATAGAAATTCGAAAGTGGCACCTTATGGTTAAGACAAGATATGATCTTGTGGTCGAATTCGCTGAAAGGAATTTTTGGTAAGGTTACGGAGAACTGATTATTCAACATTATTAGTCATCATACGATCACGCCATCGTGACAACTCCTTCATTAGCTTGTGAATAACTATGAATAATTCCAAGCCCGCCTTTGTTTAAGACAGAGTTTCTAGCTTGTCTCTAAAATTTCAAATGAGTGTAATCATTTACATTAAAAGCTACTCATAGAAAAAGAAGTTATTCTATTGCCACAAGAGGATTTACCATCTGACAGATGATGTAAAGTTTCAATTGGTTAACATTTGACTATTTGTGGGAGATGGTATAATCTTTATCGTTTTCCGGGAAATTCAATATTCCTGTTAAACCCTTGCAATTACAGCTTCATAGCTTCCAATGAAAACAAAGCTTGCTTAACGAATAAAAAGTTACTTTCGAGTTGTTCTTTTGTTCCATGTAACGTGCAAACCCGTCTCGCCTACTCCATGGCGTCTGAGCCAACGTACCAACAAAAGAACAAGAAACTGTTAGTATTAGCTTCATGACCAACTTAGCTGGATAAAAAGCTGCAACTTACCTGTGTTCTAATATCACAATCCGCTTAGTCAAGCCATTGCCTCCTACCGTCGCTTTGTCGTTGATAGGACCAGAAAAATCTCATAGAGCTTACGCAACATCATTTTGTCCTAGTAATAGAGACAGATAACAATTTGCTTTGATCGAGGGGCACGTCAAGCTAGTCCACCATGCTTGAGTTGGATGGCTGTATTTCACCAGACCATACGAGAAGAGTTTGACAAAGGATATTCTGGAAATCGGGAGCTTAAATTGACTGCGGACAGAAAAGCAATGCTACAAATATAAATTGGATATAAATGAGATCTAATAACTTACAGCGTCTGATACGAAGTGATTCTAATTGTGCTGGATCGTTTGACCTACCTCTTTGCACCGCCAGGCCATTATGTAATCTTCACTGAATATGGATTGGAAAGGAGTGAGCACCAGTTTGATGAATAAGCACTCACGATCCAGCTAGGAAAAATGTCCTTGGAGAAGGTAAGATGAATCAATCAATCATCACGGGTCTATAACAGAGATGAAGTCAGGATTCTTCACCAAGTGTCTTCTGGTTTATGTTGGTATAAGCAATTCCAAAATCCACAGTACAAAGAACTCTATTTTGTTTAACTTCTCTTGAGGCTAAACAAGAGAACATTTGGGGAAGTGACTTTCCTACCTAATTTTTTATTAAAAACAGGATTTGTGGCAGCCACTAAGCAACTCAACAGTGGTAGGAAGAGCATCCGTGAGGCCTCTTGGTTATCTTCTGTGTATTTCAAAAATCACCATTTGGATCTAGTGACTTTTAAAGCTCTCGTACACAGCTACAATGCTTTTCAATTTCAACCATAAGAGGTGTAACAAGATAACCATAATAACATGAAGCTCAACAAAAAGTTTCCAAGATCATGTGCAGTGAAGACACAAACCTTGTCCCACAAGCACCAATTTCTCTGGAAAGATACTATTGCTGACTGGGGATATGATTTCGCACCGAAGATAAAAAATGAATATCACTATGTCGGGCAGATTTCATCAGGGTCTGCTTCGGCGTTTACAAATCTTGCATGCAATTTCAATCACATACAACAAATGCAAACAATTCTCTACAGTGGCACCACAATCATTCCATGAGAATCATCTGCTCCATACTCTGTCTGCGTTCAGCCCCGTAGGAAAATGCGTATCCCTTCCCGGCGACAAAGCAACCTTGCCTTCTGCGATTCCCACAAGGCGGTTGTTGGGCGGGAAGGATTGCAACGGCTTAGGCACCAACAGCGTTTATGCCTACCAGAACGACCTTACAAGATACCTCAGCGACTTCGTAAAAATCGCACGCATATCGTTGAAATAAGATCTACCATCGGCACTATTCCGTTGTAACAATTCGTCCATCCTCAATTGATATTTTATGTGCAGATAGAAGGGTAATGATGGAATTATTTCGGCGTAGTTGCAACTGCAGACACTTCCGAAAGCTAGTCCTACTAGGCAAAATCGCATTATTGAGATGGCCCTTTTGATACCCCAATCACTAGCAGACGGATTCGTATCGCAGAATCTGAGCTTTTTTTTCTCCATTATTAAAATATATTTGTATGACCAGGGCGTGGCTATTCCAAAATGTCTACATCGTGGATGTAAAAAATCGTAACGTTGGAAATGGATCGATATTGAGGGGAGGATGACAATGCAGATCTTGTATTTCGTTGCCTTGCCGTGGAAAACAGACCTTCAGTAAGGAACTGCCATATGGCATATCGAAGAATGCGGTGAACACATGGCGCTACGCAGATATGGTTGGCACCTCAATCGTACGGGGCATAGATTTGGAGGATTTTATGTGTACGTCAAAAAAAAAGGCACTGTTCCTTGGCGTCGGAGCAATGATTAAGCGACCGACCACTGCCACTCAACTCCACACTCCAACCACAGTACGCGCCAATGAAGTAAATTTTCCTTTGTTCCTCATATCATTGTACCATGTTGTTGCACCAAGCAGGCTAGGGCCCGAAGCGCAGAATTCTCTTCGATTTTGTATTTTGCTGAACATACTCACACTATCGTCGCACTCGAACGTATCAAGTCAAGCATCTGCGACCAAGCGTGCGGCGATATATCGAAGACGAACACAATAGAATGAGCACGGCAGATCAGACCATACTCTTGGAAGTTCATTTTTTCCATCCGTTGTTTTAATGGAGAAATGAGATGATATGGCATAGTGCATAAGAACTGTTTCGGCGTACTTATTGAAAGATAACTTGACAAGAGTAAGGGCGACATTTCGGGTCGTTCTACGCTTGGTGTAATGTAAGATCTTATCTTCTCATGCGTTCTTCATTCCACTCTAATTAATACCAGCATAGTACGCTGCACATGAAATCTTCTTGGACATCAGTTCCCTCCATGTGCAATTCAAGATCCAAGACAATACGTCTTACTACCAAAATGCTGTTGCAAAACTTCTTCAAAGTCCCTTTCAGGATTTTCTCCATATTTGTCATTTTGCTCTTACTCCATCCTACCTAATGAAGTCGAATGCACAAGAAAATTGAAAGCTGTGATTGGTCCACATATACTTATTTTGTTGTGAATAGAAGCTTTGCAGGCCATATCTCGAGGCTTTGTTACCGGTACCTGCCTTCTACAATTACTGAGGTCTTTATGTGCAATACCCCATTTTCAAAATGGGCGGAAGGATTCTCGTCGCTCGTACTGTTATTAATCATAGTATTATAGTGTGGCTAGAAGAGTCTTTTGGTTATAGTTTTATTTATAGAAATCCTTCAAAATTTCAATCCACTTATTCAGGGAGAGACAGGAGAATAAATGATGCTCATTTCCTGTGCCACAAAAAGCATCAGCATTTTTAACGGCGCCAAACTTAACATGGTCCATGTTGAACAAAGATTGACACACGTCGTGGGGATAAAACTGGGCCAACCTCGTGAAGTTTGACGCAAGTGCCTAAGCCAGAAAAGGAATGAAGACGGTACCGATAGAATTTGTGGACTATGCAAATTGCCAATCATCACATCGAAATTTCCATGATATGCGCCTAGTGATCATGGATCGGTCCCTTTCGAGCATTGCCTCCATCCATAGAGCTTGTGATGGATTGCTTAGCCTTCCCAAGTTCCACAACTCCTTTTATCATGGAGGATATTTCATCGTGCTGTCATATACGAAGGCAGGACCTAAGAACTGTAGACTTCTCCCAGTTCAGGCCCATCCCATTATTCCAAAGTAATCATGGAAACCAAAGATCATAGGATTTTAGAGACCCCTCTTTGTCCTGCTTTTGATGTTGATATCGAAAATGTCATGATGGGAAGCCCAAAAAGAGTGTCCAAACCCAGGAATTTGCGTTTTCATGTCGAGTAATGGCGTCGGGGACTTCAGTTGGAAAAGATCAGTGTAAGTTTTTCTTGGAGTAACATTCATAACGTATTAGGGGGTTTTACTTTGTCTTTGTGGAGGAAGATCTTAGAAATTGACGAGTCATCGTATGCCAGGTTTTGGATACTCTCCTCTTCGGTGTCAATATATGCAAGCAAACTGCTATTGCTAGAAAATGGATTTCGTAAGTCGAAGAGCAGCAAATGTACTTACTCAGGCTGATTTGAAGACAGATTACCGTACAGCAAAAGCCCATAACCAAATTACGCAAATATTAATCATCATTTAGCTCTAACTTTCTCTACATCTTACTTCGGCCTCTGTTTATCTATCTTCACCATCGCGTCACACTATAAAGAAGGGACTGATGTCCAGTGTACTACGAAAGTCTTTCGGCCCACTCAATCATGGATTTGTATGATTCCGGCCTCATTTGCTTCTGCAGTTGCTTTGCCAATGTTCATGGAGGCACTCATACATATGTCAAGTCTTCCTGTTTTAGTCATGCTCTTTGTGAGTGACATCCTACAAAGTCATAAACATACCACTAACAAACCCCAGCCACTAATCTATCTATCAGAATATCTTACTCTTTTCATTTCCTTTTCATCAACACTTTCTGCAAGACGCTTATCCCTTGAAACAATTGGCATAACAATTTTCACGACTTTAGTCCTATACTATGAGTGTCGTCTCACGGTTACAGGAATTATTTTTAGCATTGGAGCTTTCATTGTGGCCGGATTTTCTAGAGCACTTTTCCTCATGGCATCTCAGAAACTGCATGATGACGAACATAAGATATCGTCATCCTACCATGGTTACATTTTAATGACCACAACTTTTGGCTTCCTCATAAGTGGCTCTTTAGCTTTTACTCATGAGACCAATTTACTGAATCACTATCTCGATTCAGGCACTGTGGTTTTGTTTTTTATCTCCTCCGCAAATTTGGTTGGAGCAACATTCGCTGGCAACAGTTTTCTTATCTACTCTCAATATATTGTTCAGTTCGAAATAATTGGGATGCCAAGTTATCCCTTTCGCTTTCTAAGGTTATCGTTTCAGGAATCTCTAGCATTCTTATTCTTCTGATATCACTGATTTTTGGGCCCGTATCTGTGGTATCATGGGTTCAGTTTAGTGCCTACTTTCTGGCCATGTTATGTCTTATTGGAGTTTCTACAGTTCACAAATTCTTCGAAAAGGTGTTCGAATATCTTCAACGTCATGTTCTTTTCCGTCCATGTGACCAGGATCCAAGCCCCATGCCGAAGAAGAATTACGTGTCGGTTTTAAACATCTCGCTCACTGCCTCGGCTGTATTGTCTTTCTATGCATTATCCCTATCACAACTCCGTGGATTGTCACCAGGACCAGCTCCCTCTTTCGATAACTCATACACTCCGGAACCATCATCATTCGATATCGTGATAAGCGCGTACACAGAAACACCCGAGTCAATCGCACGCATGCTACACGCCATCAAATCAACATCATACTTATCTTCAATTGATCCCCGCGTTTTGATATACACCAAAGACCCCACTGTATCCTTATCCATGTTGAAGAATTCCACAGGCGTTGATATCGTTAAACGTCTACCCAATCTTGGTCGCGAAGGAGGGACGTATCTCAGTCATATTGTTAACGAATGGGACCATCTTGCGGCTCAAACCATGTTCATTCAAGCTCATGCTCATAATATTCGGGAGCTCATACCTCGAATCAACTCATACTTGGTGCCGCAAACAGGAATGTTGAGTCTCGGGTTTTCTGAAGCCACTTGCTCATGCAACAATTGTGGTGACAGGTTTGGATGGAAAGACGACTGGTCTGTGATCCCGAGTCTGTATGAACGTATTTACGACTCGAGTTGTTCCGATTCCACCACAGTTCTTTTATCATACAAGGGGCAATTTGTCGCATCAGCCAAACGGATTCGTGGAATTAGTCGAGGAATATATGAGGAGTTACTATCCACGATAACAAGTGAAAGTGGATGGAGTCATGATCCACGATTTGTGAACAAAAATGATTCCACTGACAATCCTTCGTTCGGATTTGCAGTCGAGAGAATATGGGGTCTGCTCATGCAATGTGCGACTGACGACCGAGTTTCAACAAAGTGTCCGTCTATGCTCAGCGGGATGATTAGAGGAAGTGATGTTGGGGATTGTCAGTGCTTGGATACAAAATAAATATTTATTGGTCACCCATTTAAAGAAAGATTGGTCTAATTGGTAATATCTGGAGTTTGGTGTAGGCACCTGTATATATTGTGGTTAATGGAATTTTCAATACAGATTCATAGCTTGAGATATTGTATGATAGTCAGTTGAAGATTTAAACTGTTAAAGCTGTTATAAATATATGATATCAATTGTTGTAGATTGTAAATGGAAGTATTATAAGTCTATTCTTATAAAAGTTTTTATTTTTAAAAGATTTATTATTATTTATTTTAAATATTTTGATTTTAATTTCTAATTAATTGTCGGCTTACTGATATTATAATCTTGTTATACACGAGATTTACTTAATATAGATAATAGAAAATAAGAAACTCGTTTAAATGAACCACGATCCTGATAATCTAATTGGTATAAAATACCCTGGTAAATAATCCACTAAAAAGTTTGATACAAACCTTACAAATTTAAACAAATCTAACTTAGAACTTTTTTCAACTTTATTGAAATCATCAATCCAATTCACAACTCAAATCAAATCATTCAAATCATTCAAATCAATTTTATTCATTTAATTCAACTTTATTTATTTAATTCAACTTTATTCATTTAATTTAACTCTATTGAAATCATTTAGTTCTAAAATGATTCAATTCTATTAAAATCATTCAAATCATTTAATTTATTTAATTCAATTTTTTTCATTCAATTTATCTTATTCAATTCAAAATAATAATAATAATAATAATAATAATAATAATAATAATAATAATAATAATAATAATAATAATAATAATAATATAATAATATTAAATAGTATTATTATAAATATTATAAATATTATAAATAATATAAAATATTAATATTATTATAAATAATAATATTAAATTATATTATAATTATTATTTTTAAATAAAATAATTTAATTTTCAATTATTAAAAATAAGTCGATATTCTGTCTGCACCCTGATATATATTTAATATTTAATTTATTATAAACTTTTTAAATCTTAAATTTTTACTAAACTTTCTCGAAAAGCTGGGGGTCCGGGGAGTGTAGGTCTTTGATTAATAAATTCAAATATTCAATCAAAATTAAATTATATTTATTATTCGTATAACAGTATTGATTTTTCTAATAAATTATAATAGGAAATCATAAGGGAGTTAGAGTTATTTTTCAATATAAAGTAAATTTATAAAATAATAATGATTATATAAAATAAATATTCAAAATATCATTATTTAAAATATAATTTATATAATCTAATTAATATTATAAAGATTTTTAATAATCATCATTAATAATGATCACTTTTGATAAAGGGATAATGATTATATAAAAAAATATTTCTAATTACTACTTTCGAAAATTATAAAGATCAAAGATATTTTGATATTTAAATATATAATTTTATAAAGGATTTCAAAAAGAATTCAAATCTGAAATCAAAATTTAATTATCTTTAATATTAATAAAACGATATCATTTTGAAAAAAATAAATAAAGAATATATATAAAACTTGAATCTCATCAAAATAAATTCTTTTTTGTTTTGATTATTTTCATTACAAAATATTGATATTTTATTTTCAAATTATTTTCTGATTTTTATATATAATTTTATAAAGAATTTCAAATTGAATTCAAATCTGAAATCAAAATTCATTTATCTTCAATATTAATAAAATAAATAAACCTTAATTCTTTTTGAATGATTTTAATCTTATATTTATTATTCTTATCAAAAAATTATATATTCAATATAACTTTTTAAATTCATTAATAACTTTTATAATATGAAAAATAAAATCTGAAAAATTTTATAATCTGAAATATCTTTTTAAAATGATTTATTACATTTAATAAAATATCAATATTTATCAGATTTATTCTAAATGATTATATATATATATCAAAATAAATATATAATTATATTTAAATATAACAAACTATTAATTTTTATATATATTAGTTTTTAAAATAAAAATAAAACTTAAAGTTATTTTATAATTTGATTTTAAAGATAATAAAAAAGAAACAAAAGTATTCTAATCTAATTAATAATTCTTTATATATATAATATTCTAAATTAAGATTTATTTCAATTTTATATAGAACAATAAACAAATTAATAAAATTTAATTTTACTTGAATTCTATTTATATCTATATTTATATTTGCGGTTGCGGTTGCGGTTGCGGTTGCGGTTGCGGTTGCAGTTAGGGTTAGGGTTGCAGTTGCAGTTAGGGTTAGGGTTAGGGTTAGGGTTAGGGTTAGGGTTAGGGTTAGGGTTAGGGTTAGGGTTAGGGTTAGGGTTAGGGTTAGGGTTAGGGTTAGGGTTAGGGTTAGGAG